GTTACAGTCAGCACATGGCGCGGTCTGTCTCTGCAGAGAATCCTGCAGAGTCACACTTACTATCATCCTCTGACTGTCAAGTCTTGTAGTTAATAATTGATGCCAAAGATTACGACACAGATGCCACCATCAGGAGAAACCCAAGAGGCATCAGCGCCGAGCACTGACCCCGGGAGCAGCCCTGCAACCAGACACCTCATCAGCACCTCTGACAGGGATATCCAGTAGATCAGGGAGCTAGCATGTGTGTGTGTTTCAGTGTTTGTGTGTGCTGATGATGTCTGAAATGTTAATCTTATTTTAACAAGGCTGCTACAGGTACAGTGAGTACAATAGGGAACATTAGGCAATAATAGGGGTAGGGCTGGGATGATATGCTTTTCTCCCAATTTCATTCTTCTACAGTTTTTTGGATGCCGATTCGATTTAAATTGCGATTCTACAATATTGTCGATTTTCTTGATTTTTCGTCTGCATTTTTAACACCAGTGAAACAGTTGAATGATTATGATTGTCTCCTGACTATTCCTGGAACCATATTTCCCCAAAATACACCTCACATGTAAGTCAGTTTTTAAGATTTATTCTTTAATTTGAAAAAAAAATTTTGAATTTTGAACATAAAATCGATTTAAAAATTGCAAAACAAAAAAATTGCGATACTTATGTGAATCCTCCCACCCCCACATAGGGATCAGATTTGAAGTTGAAAAGCTCCCTTGCTCACCCCCACTACAGATGAAGCAATGGTGGCCTTCAGGAACAAGACTCCCTCATGATGCATAATATATACGATCATAGACAGCATGTAAGGCAGAGATTTGGAGGTAAATGTTGTTTTTTTATAATGGCAAAGTCAATAGGAGAGATGGATGTGATAATATGCATCATTTCTATCAATTCTGTGTTGATAAATTCTGCTAGATTCTTCAATGTACCTTTAGGAAGGGCTGACAGGTAACAGGGTCAAACTGTTGCTGACCATTACTGATATTGCCACTGGGACTGGTTTATTGCTATTGAAGCCTGTTCAGTGGTAAGCTGTCACTCACAAAGACAGAGGAAAAGAGATTTGTCTGCAAGAAGAAGTTGTATGACATCAGAAAATAGAGAATGCACTTTTAACGAATACTCTACACAAAGTTTATGAGACTATATATACATTTACGTGTCTGTCTGTGAAGTTGCCTCTGCATTGTTTCTTTTAGCTTTGATCTTAACTGGTGAACAAGTGGTCTTCTTGGCAATGGTGTTGTAGTTTAATGCCCAGCTCTGAGGAACTTTCCTGGCGAGCATGAAGCTGGCTCCTGCAAGAGGATCTTAATTCTCAATGTAAAATGTGGCAGAGGTTAGAAAGATGTGGTGTGAACTGGGCAAACACGGCTGTGATTAGCAGGGCAACAGTTGAAACTTGACCTCATTAGTTTGATTGAAACAACAACTTTGGGAATGAGGACCTTATTGTTAAAAAAGCAGGTAAACCGATGAAGAACTGTTTTAGTCCAAATCTGCAGGACTAAAGAATGAGGAGTTTTTAACTAACACAATGCACTGTGGTTCCGCTGTGGATAAAACAAAGATTTGCCAGTTATATGATTGATATTTGCATATTTATTGGTCACCCTGTGTATTCCAGGAAATAGAATAATGCAATAAAAAGTCAGCTGACTGAGGCTGGAAACAGGGTAAGCCCATGAAAGCAATTTTGGATATTCAAAATGGGGAGTCTCTTCAGATGTGGTGTTGTCTGTGGCTTGTAAGAGTGCCAGTCCTGGTCCTTGCCATCAACTTCTCTTCCTTTGGCTCAGGATTTTCGTGATGGACAGAGTGTTTTCATACGCTTTGGAGTCTCCAGTGTCCTGGCCTGCCACCCAGCTGTCTGTCTTAACCTTGAGATCTTGAATTTCGGACGCATGTGCTGACCATGCCAGCTCTGGCATATTCAAACGTGTGTGTGTGTGTGTGTGTGCATGCATGCTACTGTGTCACTGTCCATCTCCCTACATGGACTCTGACTCTCAGCCTTATCAATGTCAGAGGTCTGAGCCAGACACTCCATGTCGCCTTTTGCCGTGACAGACAGATCCTTGGTGCTCTGTAGCCCCTGGGGTCAGGGTTGGCATAATGCAGGATGCCGATATAAAAAGAGCCCTGCAGCATAAAATAGACCTGTGTCATCCTCACAGCATCTGCTTTTTACAAGACCCTTTGAAGAAAGCGCGGCATTGCGGCCAGTGGAAACAACAGAGACCACCTTCTGTTTTGGTGTAGGATGTTAGGAAGTAAAAAGTCTTGGATACTTTTCTTTTCTTCTTCTTGAAAATTGCTTTATTATTCTTGATAAATCTGTGGTAACTCTTTTTTTATGCTGGGGTCTTACAGAGTCCTCATGATTATAACTCAAATTTGTTGTATAACTCTATTAGACAGGATAGTCCTTACACAATTGCAGGTGTCCATTTTCTGTGAAATTGCACTCACCTCAAGGTGCACCATTACCCATGACAGCATATGCTAGAGTAGCCACAGTGAGATGATTTTAACTTTTCACTCTCTCGGTCAGCAGTGGAGGCGAGGAGGGCAAGTAACACGATTTATCCAGCTCCGGTCCCTCTTTGTCCAACAACAAATTCACCCCTCTTTCCCCCTTTAGCCTCACACTTTGTCCCCCACTGTCCAGCCCAGCTAACCACCCACCAGCTCTAAATCCTTTTTTGATGGATTTCCCAGCAATCTCTCCACTGCTGGCATGTATGTGACACACACACACACACACACACACGCCCCTTGAGATCCAAACAAACTCTCACACAAATTGATCTACTCTGTACCTGTCTCACTCACCCCATTACATCTTTGACATCCAGTTGACAACAGGTATTTATAATCCTAATACGGTGTCTTGTTCGCATTGATGAGCTGAGAAAATAATTGATGGATGGTGGCAAATTTGAACATCCACCAATACTTAAAATAGCCGAAACTGATGCAACAGTAATGGAACATATGAAAAATGGGATATTTTCAATGTCCAACTTTCCGAAACAATTTCCGCTTATTAAAAAAGGACCAAACAGCATGACTTCATCCACTATAGCTGCTGATCATGTTCTTTTTCAACCTTGTAATTAAGAGCAGATATTATTTTGAAGACCTTACGTGTTCAGACTGTTGGCATTAGCGGAGCTCTGTGGTGCAGATTATGAATGGGATGGGTAAAACACAGCAGGGAGGGGAAAGGCAGGACGGAGCGGCCGCAATTTAGCTCCAGGCTGGCTCCACCCCTCTCGTCATGCTGTGTTGTTTTGTTGTGTTAACCATGACAACTGTCAGAGTGGCTCCATCCAGCTTTAGGATTATTCTGCTTGAAAGAGCCGAGTATAGGATGGATAAGGAGGCGAGACAAGAGGAAAGGAGAAGAGAAGTGGAGACCAGAAGGGTGTGGAGGGGGACTCTGTCTGAAACTTCATTTTGAACCATGTGAAACCTCTTTAAGTGATCGCATTTACGCTGCATGACATAATATTCATGCGGTCGTGAAGAGTAAACCTACCAACAACTGCTTTAACAGTTATGACAACATGAGGACAACAGCTGTTTGAATAATGGAGCAATGTTATGAATCATTTAGACCACAGTGACCATCAGCAAGTCTGCCAGCCAGCCTGACTGCACATTTTTAAAAGCTACCCTTCTGAACATCTGGACGCTCAATACCGCCTGGAGATCACATTAGCTTATTCTGACAGCATATTTATTTACTCCAGTGTTAGCGTTAGCAATGCTACAAGTCCTATGGGATGTTATCTATCATGCTGCAAAGTGTAACATACAGAGAGTATTATCTTCATCTTTGAAAGTGTGTCTGACTACTTGTCTAAAGGAGGCTCCTTTTTTTTTTACTTTAGATTTTCTACAAGTATGTCATCCATCTTTATCAGAAATACTCAAGCAGAGGTTAAGATTTTTATTTGATGTGAGTGTTATTGTGTTTTTTAGAGTAGATTTTAAGGTTCTTTTATTCATTTTTAAAGCTCTTATAGGTCTTGGTCCTTCCTATTTGTCTGATTTGCTTTTACCGTATGAGCCTAGAGGAGCCCTCAGGTCTTAAGGTATTGGTCTTTTAATTGTTCCCAAAGTAAAAACTTAAACATATGGTGAATCATCATTCTAACATTATGGTCCCCATCTGTGGAACAGCCTACCTGCAGACCTGAGAGTGACACCTTATGTTCATATTTTTAAAAGTAAACTTAAGACCTACCTTTTAAGTCTGGCTTTTAGTTGAATTTTGTTTTAATCTTTTAATCTGCATTATGTGATTTTACCCTATTTTAGTCCTAGAGTTATTATTTTGTGTTTTATTACCTCTTTTTAATTTACTTTCTGTTCTTGTTTGATTTTAAGACTGTTTTATTTAATTAACTTTATACGCTTTATCACCTTTATTATATTTTATCATGGTTTTATCGTTTTAGTCCTAGATCCAGTGTTTCCTCATCTTATTTAACTCAAGATAGTGTGTCCTCAGTCATCTGTGGCAAGTAGATGAGTCCTCACCTGATCTTTTGTGAATGCATCTGTATGTGTTGAATGAGGGTTGCGAGGGTGGGTGGGGTTTGGCAGTTGTATTTTTTATTTATTTTATTTCATTGTTTTTTTTGTGCTTCATTCTATGTATGAAAAATGCTTTAAAAATAAAGTTTGACTGATTGATTTTATCATCAATGTGAAATGCCAAAGTTAGAGGTGATAATTTTGCTTTATGTCCATTTTTAACTTATATATATTACAGAACATTTAAGCACATCCGAAAACAAAAACAGTAAATCATGATTGTATAAATAAACTTAAAACCAACTTCCATAGCTTTCTTTACTAAAAATAAAATTCTAAAAAGTCAAACTATTTTGTTCTGTGCTCTGTTTCAGTAATGCTTTTTTTTCACCTTTGGTACATCTCTGTTTCTTTCCCATGCATCCCTCTTTCTTTTTGTAGGAATGCTCTCTGTCCTCCTGCTAGCTGGGTTGATTCTGGCTCTGTCCATCCCTGGCACAACGTCTGAGTCAGCCACACTGCGGTTCCTGGGGCAGACAGACTTTGTTGTCAACGAGAGCAGCACAGCTGTAATCCGTCTGGTTGTGGAGAGAGTGGGAGACCCGGTCAATGTGACAGCTTTGGTTCTGGTAAGACATGGGACAAGCTGATCATTGATGAGTCGCTGTATAATCATTTTTATCAACCTGTCAAATCATCCGTCAGTCACTTTGACTTTTGTCCATAAATGACATTGGTGAGTTTACAGACTCATTGTGTTCATAAAAACCCTTTGGTGGGAAAGGGCTTTGGCTTTATGTCCTCCACATGGGGGCTCATGTCAGCTGCTCACAGTGGGTGTCTGGTAAGGCGAGCTGGCAACACAGGGGGGTATGGCAGAAGGGGTTTACCATGCTTAGTGATGTCTTTACCATATTTCTTGCACAAATTCTACATAGTAAAGCTTAAGATTCAGCAGAAAAAGACACCAGCACAGACAAAGAGAGGAAAACAGTAGCTGCTCTTTGTTAAAGGAAAGAGCTGAAACCGATCAAAGTATTTGGCTCAGGACTTCCTCTGGGCTCTTGCAACATTTCAGCTTTCAGTATCATGATGTTTTTATTGTTCTTGTGCCTTTCTCCCTTTTTCTTATTTACAGTTTGATGTGTTTGACAAGGATTTCATCAAAATTTACCATGAAGGGTAGGAATCTTACATTATGTTTATATCTGAATTTTATATCTTCATGTTTCATCGTGTTTTCTCAGCTAGAGGGAGTTGACACAGGAGACTTTGAAGCGGTTAACGCTGCAGCTTTCCTGCTGTCCACCGAGTCCAGTAAAACCATATTCATCGCCGTGAAGGATGATGACTTGCCTGAAGCTGATGAGACATTTACCTTTAACCTTACACTACAGGTAAATAGATTTTCTTTCTTCATAGAAATGTCATTTCATGCCTACTTAAGCATCACAACTTTTTTTTTCTTAAACTATGTGGCTTTTATGTTCCAAATGCAAGTGTCAGGAATGATGAGAACTCTTTTCTCCAGAACTTCAAGCTTCCTTTCCACACAGTCCCACTGTTCAAATTCTGCCCCTGACCTTCTTTAACCCTAACCCCCTACATAGGGTTAGAATTCAGGGGTGGCAGCAGCAGTTAGTCTGGAAATCTCTGAGCTGTAGGGTCTTTGATGGGTCTGATATAGGACTTTTCCAGGACTGGCTTGAATGGGGACAAATGTTGTCCATTCCTGTTGAAAGACACTTTTGTAAAAAGAAAATAACTTTGACAGCCAAAGCCTCACCACACAGTAGATTAAAGTGATTCTCTCGTTCAACATCGCCATCGACTTTGATGGGCATGTCGGTGCTGAGGATTTCTCTTGTGTATATGGTGTTTGTTCACTATTGCCCCTGACACAAGATTGAAGATTACTGGAATCCGTAATGATGAATGAAAGGATTCATAACAAGTGCATGAAAAGCTTTCATTCAAAGTCCTTATCATCAAAAGGCAAACTTTCTCCAACTTTGTTCCAGTCCAGCAACAGACAGATAAAGTTAAATAAAAATGACTGAAAGCTTTCAATTATTTCTCACTTTAGTAGTTGCCAGAAGAACAACCATCACAACCCTAAATGCCTTACACCAACAGACTATCGCCATGGTTTCATGTAGCCTTTAGCTGCCAAGTTTGATTGATGAGTTGGGAGGGGTCTGCTTTTGCCATCTGCCTGTATTATCCCTCACTTAAAGACCTAAGACAAAGGTCATTGTGAATCACTGTCAGCTGTTTATATTCATGAAATAGCAACAACCACCCCTAGCTGCTACATGAGTTGTTGTTTTTTTTTTTCTGTGGTATTTTCATTTTGTGACACCTGGTGAAAATCCAGAAGCGTGCGCCACTTAAGTGAAAGACCAGCTGAGGCCCACTTATTCCTTCTGTTTACATCACAGCCAAGACAAAGCTTCGGTCAAACACTGCCCTATCAACTTACTGAGGGTGTGTCTGGAGGATGAATGTTCCCCACGATGGATGTTATAGATCAGTCAAAGACAAGTTGTGTTTATCAGGAGACTCTCATTATTGCTGTCAGTTCAATCTGTAGAAAACTGTGTTGTAATTTTGTTAGAAAACAGTATGAAACAACATGATTTGGTATAGCTGTTGTGGACCAGAGCAGGTGCAGCCCAACAGGGTGGTGCATGGATGAAAGGTAAAAACATTCATGGTTGAGGCATAGATTAGGGGGTGTAGCGGTTGATGTAGTGCTGCACACAGATAGAGAACAGATAGAAGCTGATTTTAAAAGCATATGTTTTAAACAAAATTGTGAAAGAGCTAAAGAATTCATGTGCAGGAATAATTCGTAATTAGTCTTTTTGACCTAAATCTTGCTCTGTTCACAAATCCTGTTTTATTTAAGTTTGTGTATGTAGTTGGACACCCATGAGTGTGTGCGTATATGTCTGGGCAGCTTCCTGGCTCAGCCAGCGGCTTGGCTTTGTGAATTCGTGTGGATTCTGTGTCTGTGGGTTGACCGCTACAAGAGCTCAGCAGCGGAAAAGAAAGCTCTATTACAGCAGGGGAAAGCCCTGTTTGAATAGGGGGATAAATTCAAGAGGCCTTAGCTCTGTCTTGTTCCCCATTTTCCCTTTTTGCTTGTTCTTATCTTAATATACACACACAAACACACACACCCAAAAAAAAACAAAAAAAAAAAACACTCAGTGGTCCTCCAAGTGGGCCCTGATTGGCAATGGAAAACATTTCAAAATGGCTTTTGGGCAGAAACTTGTGTTTCTGTTTAGCATCTATGTCAAGGCTCTAATAGTTAATCTCTTGTTATTGAAAGTTTTGGCAGAAGCCTGTGTACTTGAGTTAAGACATGGTGGTTCTCACCACAGTTGTTCCATGAGATGCTTGTGAAAACATTGGTAAGCTCACTAATGGAAACCTTGGAAAGTTTACCTCAATAACAAGGCTGTGGTCTTTATCTTTAATAGGGTTCAGAAAAAGGGAAACCCCCCCTTTGTTACCATCATTGGTTATGGTTTCTTTTTGTCAGGTTAAGAAAACACTCGGAGTGTAAGCCTTGTTAGGGCACTGTTTGATGTTAAGCAAGCTGAGACGTCAGGTTTATCAGGTCTTAGTGCCAAATCACAGACCAAAGCACAAGTCCCAAAGGGGTATCCCACTGTGAGCTAACCTGACAAATCAGCCAGGGTGAGACCAGTACTTCCTGTCTTTGTGCCTTCCCACCAGGCCCTCTCAGTGGGTGCACAGAAATGAAGTGAAAACAGAGGACAAGGCAGAGGTTTTTTTTTCTTTACTACCGCAATACAGATTAAAGGGGAAGGCTACAATGAGTTCTTGAGTAGGAACTGCATATTTAGTTAGTTTATATCTAATCCTTGCATCCACTCTACTTTCCAGAGCTCCTCTAATGGCGTGACACTGGGAACACCAAACAAGGCAACCATCACCATCCTGTCCAATGACAATGCCTTTGGAATTATTGCCTTCAACTCAGTAAGAAACACAAAACATCTCTTGCACCATAAACACGCACGTTTGTGTCCACTGGTGTTAGTAAGTCATGGGGGAAAGTGAAGAGACGGGGATGGAGTTTGTTTGAACCCTCTGCTGCTGAGAGAGGTCCAATTCTGACAGTATTTGGTTGTGGGAGGGGTTACTACATAGTGACCGTGGGTTTCTCAGGCAATTCAAACCACAGCACTTATCAGTGGGAATGTATAGTGTTCCCATGGTAGCTCTGAGGAATATTTGGAGCTGTTTACTCTGACGGCACTCAACGCTTTCACAAGCTGGATAATGATTTGGCTTCTCTCGAATCAATAAAGGCTGCAGGCAGCGGAGAATGTGTTAGAGCCAGAGAGCTGAACACATTCCTGTATATTATTTCTTTATTCCATCTTTTTCTCCATATGCATTTTGTTCTTAATTACTGAAGCTGTTGTAGTGGTACTTGAATTTTACAGAAACAAGTGAAGTGATATGTGCTGAATCTTCACAGCACATTTTTACTTGTTCTTAAAGATGAACAAATCAAAACCTAGTGTTTTAAAAAAAAAAATCTTTTTTTTTTTTTTTATGTTGTTTGTATTACTGTGGCATCCATAACAGGGTAACAAAGCTCATGCACAAAAAAGGACCAAAAACCAAATCAAGAAAAAAAAGTAATTTAATGAAAAAAACTTGTTTTTGTCTTTTAACTCACAAAGTCATTTCATGAATGTGGAACTCTGTCTTTTAGCGTGCCACAAAATTTCTGAATTTGAAAATTTAATTTACCATGGATGATCTTAACATATGTGTCATCAGAATAAAAACACTACAGAAGCCAAATGTCCATTTTAATTCCTGTAACTCGAAAATAATAATGCGTAAACCTAGTTATGTTTGAATCTTCAAGCTAACAAACTCAATGCCCGTAAGTCTTTGACATTGTGACTAAGGTTCAAATATAATGGCGGAAAAGACATGCGAGAATTTCACAATTGACAACATGCTGAATTGATAATATTTTGCTGCTCAGGTTCTGTCACTGTTTGTCAATGTCACTGTCTTTCTCTTGTTGTCTCAGACTGAGGAGGTTGTGGTCGATGAGCCAAGAGGAAGGAACCATTATGTGCCTTTCACCCTAATTAGAGAAAAGGGAACATACGGGACTGTGACTGTAAACTTTGAGGTGAGAGGACATTGTACTAGAACATTATTATTAAACCATTACAGAGCTTGATAACGAGCTAATCATTTGAATCAGGTGTGTTGGAGCAGGGAAACATCCAAAACATGCAGGACAGTGGGCCTCGAGGACTGGACTTGAGAACCACTGTACTAGAATTAACATGCAAATTAAGATGCTCAGATTGATCATTTATTAAAAGAACTGAAGGGGTGATTGATAACTGAACTTCTGATAAGTGGTCTGGGGGTTTTTGGGCTTGCAGAAGCATTTACATGAAAGTTACTTCTTATGTTCAGATTTCTGGAGGACCTAACCCCGCCTTTGAGGACCTCAGTCCGGACAAAGGGAACATCACCATTCCTGTTGGACAGTCTGTGGTGCAGTTTATCATCCTCATACAGGACGACCAGGTACCAAACTTTTCCTCTACAGCTGATCAACACAAGCCAATTCCTAATTAGTACGTGGCCACTGGATCAGATTAACCTGAGTGGATCTGTCCCTCCATCAGTTTAACTGGCATATGTTCTAGACTGTTTAAATTTTGGATGAGAAAAATTTAAGTATGATTAAATTGAATTAAAAAGGTGTTGTGGCATTTGAACAACAAAATATCAGCTCAGATAAGTTGTTTTAGTCCACTTATCATCCCTATCTTTTTATTTTGTACAGTTTTTGAGTCTGCTAAGTTTTTGCATTTTTTGACACCGAATCTCTACATCTGTTTAGAGCGTACAATGGTTGACTTCGCATAAATGTTTCTCTTCAATGTTTAGCTCCCAGAAGATGATGAGGTGTTTTCAGTCAGGCTTACTAGCGTGGCTGGTGGAGCTCTCCTCAAGCCCAATGCCAGCAGTGTCCAACTGAGAATCAGGCGTAATGACAGCCCTCTGCGGTTCTCCCACTCTATCATGGCGGTACAAGAGTCTGCTGGGGTCATTACCCTCAATCTGACCCGTGGCCGGTTGACTGAGGACGGGCCACTTGTCGGCTCTGATGACACCGAGGTTACTCTTTTACTCTAGTTTTTTACTTTCTATATGTTGAAGAGTAAATTCCACCCGAGACGAATGTGAACAAACCGGACTGTACTTTTCTTAGGTCTCTGTAGATTACATGGTGGTGAGCGGTGACGCACTGGGCAGTGCTACACCAGCTGTGGATTTCCTCGATCTACAACCAGTCAGGACCATCACATTCCCTCCATTTGTCTACAAGTCCAGCCTGCTGTTCAACATCAGAGACGACGACGTGCCAGAAATTGCTGAATCCTTCCATGTGGTCCTGCTGGAGGAGACCATAAAAGGAGATGCTGTGCTGGTTTCACCAAATGCTGTGCTTGTGACCATCGAGCCCAATGATAAACCTTACGGTGTCCTGTCAATCAGCAGCAGCGCTATCATACAGCCGATCACTATCAATGAAGACCTGACACAGAGGTAGATAACACTTATAAAACTCTCTTGACATGTGATTTAATTTTTTTTCATGCTTGATTTCATTCAGTTAATATATAAAACATTCAATACAAACAAGGAAAAATCTCAAACGTGAATAAAAAGGGGCAGAAAGAAGAAAAATCTTGTAGTCTGCCCCTCTTTCATAAGATATTAAGCAACTAAACCCATCATAAAAAATAAGCCTAAAATAAAGGGCTGCAGGCCAACATGTCTTTTTACAGTTCATTATTTCTTATTTTCAAAAACAACCCACAAAATAAACAGGAAAGACCATGTTGATTCATATTTTTTTTCACAAAACAAACATACCAAGACTTAAATTAACATATTTCCCTGTATTTACTCGACATACTGGCTTTGACACTTTTAGCTTCTTAATTTTTTTTCTCTGATTGTTCCACAAACTTATTCCTCTCAATTATCCACATTTGAAGTTCTCATACTTGCATTATATGAATGTACAACATTACCATGTCTCTGTTTTCTCATCCCTGTAGATTTGACGGCATTATTATTGTTAGAAATGGGGGTAGCTACGGTGCTGTGTCAGCCAACTGGTCCATCAGTAGAAACTCCAGTGACCTCTCTCCAGTGTCTGATGATTTGGGGCCTGCAGAGGGAACAGTGAGATTTGCTGCTGGTCAGGTGACGGCTGTTATTCCAATAAACATTGTGGCGGATGATCTACCTGAAGAGGCAGAGGCTTTTACTCTCAGGCTGCTGCCTGATACTGTAACTGGAAACGCAGAGGTGGATGAACCCATGGAGGTCAGTCATGAGAAATTCTTTGGGAGCAATAATTTTCTATTAAGCCTCTCTGTGCTGGTGAAACATGAAACACGAACTGAGAGAAAACAGCAATGGCTGCACTTGTGAGGAGACGTATACTCCAGATGTTGTGCATGTGTTACGCATGTGTGAGTGTTTGTGTTTGACCTACCGTAAGGTACAGTGGCAAACTTGGCACAATCTACAAAAGTCGACCCCTTAGTGTGTCACTTTACTCTGTGGGTGTCCGCTTGATGTGGCTGAGTGAAAACAAAGCGGAAGCAGCAGGCCCACTCCGTGTGTGGTGTGTGTGTGTGTCTGTTGTTGTTTTTTTTTAAGAAAGCGTGGGCGAAGTGGTGACAGTTTTTTATAGTTTAGGGCTTTGTCCGAACCTCTCTTGGCCATGTGTGAAAGAAGTGGGCAGATCTGAGTCTTGTTTATGTTGAAGGCATGAGATGAGACACATGCAAACTCTGCTTTGGTCGCATAACAGACACACACCAGAAAAACCACCTCAGCTTGTGAAGTTAGAGGGTGTGTTTGCCATCTGTGCAAAAAAGAGTTGGCTCGACGGAAACACCTCCAAAGAATTAGTTTGGAGCTTCGGCAGCAGGGCAGGTTCACCAGCTTTAATTGCTATGAGTGTTACAAATGATAAATTATAGACATTACTGAGCTGTAAATCAGTGATTGTGAGCATGCCACGCAATGCATCAGACAATTACAAGTTTACAGGAAACGAATAAGCCTCATACCAATGAAAACTCCTCTCGCAGTCTTAGCGCAGTTAATTAAAGAGGATGGCTCTCTAAAGTTAGCTCAGGGCTCTCTTTTACTATTTTCAGTCTCACTTGTTTTCCTCCCTCCGCTCCTCACCTCTCCTTCCTTTTTAACGTTAAGATGCAGTCGAAGAACACAACACAATATTTTCCAAGTAGCTCACAGTAAATCTTGGATTAGCTGCATTTATCCCCTTTCAAGCTAAAAATCATCAACCTTTCTATCATCGTGCTGCCTGACGGTACTTAAGCCATACAGCTAAGGCTTTGTTTCAAATTGAAATTAATACATGGAATTAAGGATGTATTAAGTTTGGTGTTTACTACAATTTACAGAAACCCATTTTTGATCATTCCCAATCTGTCAAATATAACAAGCCTGTTTCCTGTTTTTGCTGGTTTGTAATTTGTGTTTTTATTCTTTGCCTCTTTCTGCTTCCCCAGGTTGTGTTCTACATTCAGGACAGTGACGATGTCTATGGGCTTTTTCGATTTGACTCTGCCAAAGAGCAAAGCATCCAAAGCCAACCAGAGGGTCGATTCTTGTCACTAAATTTCCTGCGAGACGGTGGTACACTGGGAGACGTGACCATGACTCTCACAGCTCTCTACATTCCTTCAGGCCCGATAGACCCAGCACTTGCCCGTGACCAGGTTTTGAATGTTAGCAGGACCATTAATGTGGTGTTCGCCCGTGAGAGGATGGTACATGTTGTTCTGCCAATCAGGAATGATGCTTTTTTGCAGAATGGAGCTCATTTCTTAATACAGGTAACTAGCTCGAAGTAAAGACCAACATTTAGGTCATTTATCTGTTAAAAACATTTGTTTTTTTGTTATAACTTTTCCTCTTTGAATGAAATTGCTATTTTAAAATCGCAACGAAGCCAAAGTTTTCCTTGTTAGCTCCAAAAAAAGTGCTTTTTCTCTTAGTGTTTGCACTTTAGGCCAAATCAGTGCAATCCAAAGTTGAAGTGCCTTATTTGCATGTGTGAATGGTTTGACACTGGCACTCAAATCTGGCATGGATATACAGAGTTTACCCAAGTGTCCAAACTAACAACATCACCTAGCACCTCAGAGAAAAAAAGTGCCAAAAAAAAAAACGCCTTTTCACTTTTTGAATGGCGTAATCACACAACACATCTTAAGGAAGAGGCCTTGAGTATACATGCACTTAAATTAATTGGGCACCAAAGGGCATTCCAACATGACAGAAATGATATGCTAATGAGATAAACTTGTATCTTTTGTTAATTAATAGTTGCAGTAACGTGCTTTATGAGAAAAAAACTTAAAACTTTAAAACTCATTACCCAGTCTTAATGTTTTTACAAATAAAGTCTCTTTCTTTCAGTTGAATACACTAGAGCTGGTCGACATCAAACCTCCAATTCCTTCAAACAGTCCAAGGTTCGAGGGAGCTTTAAACCTCACCTTGACTGTCACACCTGACATTGCCAACGGGGAAATAGGCTTTACAAGTAACACCCCAGTGGTGGTTTATGAACCCGAGGACAGCAACACCAGCACAGTAAGACGCAATCTGTGTTTCCACATTTGAATTACACAAGTTCGAGATTATGCCTCTTTTCAGATTAAAAATATGTTCATAAAGCGAGTTTACAATATGAAAATTCGGTTCATTGGAGGTTGATCCTGGTGTCTGTGCTGCAGGTGAGCATCCCTCTCCGGCGTGATGGGACAGATGGTCAGGCTGAAGTGTTCTGGAGTCTTCAGCCCACTGGAATCAGTAGAGAGGATATAACTGCTAAAGACCTGGAACCTCTCAGCGGCTCTGAAATCTTCCTCTCTGGGCAGAGTGATGCTTCTATTAATTTCACTATCATGGCTGACGATATCCCAGAAGTCAACGAGACCTTACTACTCACTCTGGACAGGTGAATGGCTAATGAACTTCTGAATTTGTCCTCCAGCATAGTAACTTTTTTATCTGAGAGTTGCTGTTGACACAAGTTAACCTTTCTGGGTTAAGATTGAGGGACTGTGTTTTGTCCCTCCTTAGGTTTTCTTGAGACATGAGGGTATATGTGTGTATGTGCTCATTGGGGGTTTAGAGTGGGTGTATCTGCTCGTTTGTGTTCTGAAAAGTATGGCTGCTCTCTCTCCCTCCCACTCATCCCCCCTGCAGGGTGGAGACTGCACGCTTTATAGTGTACTTTGGGTAAGTGGAGAGTGGAATGAACCTGAGCCTTTTGTGTGGCGTGAATCAGGACTTTGTTTTTCAGAGAAGGGCCCACTTCAGGATTTCTGGGGTCTTTGGTTGACGTGGGGATGAAGGGGGGACTGGGGTTGGATTGGGGGATTTAGGGATGGTGTGAAAAGGGTAACCCAAAGGAGAGTGGTTGATGGGAGTAAATAGAGAATCTTCTTTTTGTCTTTCACTCTAATTTAACCAGGCTCGATTGTGTTCCCTTTTAAAGATGTCAGTGTTTGTATGCATGCAGAGCCTTGGCTGTGACTGTTTGTTTGGAGTGCTCTATTCTGTCGGGGCTTTGTCTCTAATTTAGCTGTTGTGCGATGCTTAGTTGGCTCCAGTTTTCTCAACATACACACACATACACACACCCCTGAGAAGCAATAAAGACGAAGGCATGGGGTTGACTGACATTGTTATTAAAAGTGGCCTAAGCAGCGGGATCTTAGCAGTCGACGCTCATAATGAATAACGCCACTCAATATAAGAAATGCCTTACAAAACTTGAATCAAAAGTTTATTTATTTTTTTATCTGCCATCATTTGATATTTCTAGAGCTGAAAATTAAAAACAATAACTTAAAAAAAAAAGGGAATTCTTATCTTCGGTTTAAGTCAGGTGATTAGGGCTGCACCTAATGATTATTTTCCTATCGATTAATCTAATGATAAATTTTTTGATCAGTCGACGAATCTATCGACTAATTTATCGATTATTCTAACAATTATTTTTTATCAACCGATTACTATAACAATAAATTTAACCAAAATAGCATGTAAATACTTGTCCTATTAGTATTTAATTCAATGATTTAGTCAAGAATCTCTTAAAATCAAACAAAACAAAACATTCATGTTATAAAATCCGGGAGATTTTTTGCGGCACACACCAGGCAGTTTTGGGGTTACTTTGTATGGTGGGTATGAGCTAATTATGAGAGTATTTATAATTAAATTGCTCATCCAAATAAGTTTAAGTGAAGCTGCACACTTTTTTGTTTTGTTTTAACAATAAAAAATGGCAATAAAAAAATCATACCTGCGATATGCCTTGAACTTATTTAGTCTACTAATATTAGTGTTAAAGTCCTCATATACTTTACGTGATGTTCATATGCCTTTTACTCTTAGTCTGAAACAAGTTCACAGCATCGTAGTGAGAACAGTGTAATTACTTGGGTAACCTGTTTACGCTCTACTTTCATCTACACTAATACAATTTATATGCGTATTTGTGTGTCTGTGTGCATCTCAGGAGTAATGTTGAAAATCAAATCCTAAAAGCTGGCTACACCAGCAGAGAGATCGTCATCGTGGAGAACGACGATCCAGGGGGTGTGTTTGAGTTCTCCCAGTTCTCCAGAGGTCCATGGGTCATTAATGTAAGTAAAGATCTTTCAGTGTAAACTATAATATTTTGTCATGGTGATTTTGTTCCTATTTCGACTGTCGTTGCTGAGTTTGGTCATCTATAAATGTTAAATGTATTCAGGAGGGTGAAGCTGTGGAGCTGCATGTGGTCAGAGCTCAGGGGCAGCTGCTGAAACAGCTGGTTCGATACACGGTCATGCCCTCAGGCAGCACTGAATTCTACGGCGCCACGGGCATCCTGGAGTTCAAACCAGGGGAGAGAGAGGTGGTAGTGGCACTTGTGGCAAGGCCTGATGGAGTGCCTGAGGTAAGTTTATGCCCAGTCCAGAGTTAACATTTGTATAGTTTTCAATATAGATTGACCAATTTTGACTAAAGTGAATCAATTTTTAAGGTCAAGCTAGGATAGTAACAAATAAACCTTATGTGGATGTATAGTAACTGTGATTTATGTTTGTGTATATGCATACAGCTGGACGAAACTTTCTCTGTGGTTCTAAGTAGCCACAGCACTCCACCCAGTCGCCTAGGTAACCACAAGGAGGTTAACATCACGGTGCGAAAGAACGACGACCCTTTTGGCATCATTGAATTCATTCAACCAGGACTGACGGTGGCCATCAATGAAAGCAAAGGGGACGAGACGCACAAGGGTACTTTGAAGTTGGAGTCCTTTTGATTAAATTGACACTTTTCCATGTCAAGTTGTATCTTATTTACACTTAAAATGGAGCTAATTGGAGTGAACCACAGCACATTGGTCTACATGTGGGTTGGACATGGAGATGAGGAGAAGTCTGTGTTTTAGACTATTTGTAGCTACGTAAAATATATTTTAAAAAGTTGCTGGTGTCATGTTTGAGTGAGATCTTGTAAATGCAGATAAAGCCTTATAAACTTGTTGAGTGGCAAATTTGAGCCCAAAGCTGATGATGCAGTCAGGTTAGAGCAGGGAGAAGCTAAAATCTGCCTCCCAGCTCCTGACTGCTTTGTCTTTGCATCCAAGTACATGAATACATCATCTCTATTTACTGTGATTTTCCTCCAGCCGTGTTTCCTGTAGTGAGGAATAGAGGTCACTTTGGAGAAGTGTCAGTTTCCTGGGTATTGGAGCCAGTACTGTCAGAGGACGTGAGCCCCGTCCAAGGAAATATAACCTTCATGGAGGGGGAATACCTCAAAAATCTCACTCTCTTCTCTGTTCCTGATGAGGTACAATGATTCACTCAAAAATACATAAATTCCAAGTTGCTGTTGAGTCATAGTTTTAATACCAGCTTCATAATGTCTTTTTATTGAAGATCCCAGAGGACATGGAGAATTTCACCATCACATTGTTGAATGCCACTGGTGGTGCAAGACTCGGAAACAAACTTGATGCAGATTTACAGATTTACAAGAATGATGACCCGATTTACTTTTCAGGTGAGAATGCAGTTCTTAAACCTGTGATGAAGGATTCACTTAAACTGTTGTAGAATACAGATTTATCAAAGCTACTTTTATTTACTTTCATTCCTCTCTGGCTTACTCCTCATCTCTTCTCCCGTCCCCTTAGAACCTGTGGTTGTCCGGCTTCAGGAAGGTGCTATAGCCAACTTCACCGTCCTGAGAGCAGGGAGGACGGACTATGTAACCACGGTGATGTACCGTGTTGAGTATGGCAGTGCATCTCCAGGTGACCTCACCATGCTGAGTAATGACACGTTGTTGGTATATGACGTGGGTGAATGGATGAAGAACATATCTGTGGCTGTAGAAGATGATGATATACCTGAGACTGATGAGCCCTTTTACATTGTTCTCTACAATGCCACTGGTGAGTATGAGCCTCTGTTTAAATTACTTTCTATTTTGGATCATGTCATATTGTAGATTCATGTAGTTGTGTAGGATAATAAAAGCAATATCATCTGCAGTCCCTCTTGTCTGGAACAGAGTTGCTTTTCTCTCTGTGTTTTCAGAACCAGGCGATCAAACCTCATTTCAAAATAACATCCCCCCTCTCCTTCCCTGTTTATCCCTTTATCTGAATGTCAGCAATGATTGTATAGAGTGCAGCAGCGAGGTTATTATGCATTGTCAGTGGTAATGCTGGAGGCTCTTTAATCTCCGGTGTTGTGTGTCAGGGATGAGAATGCCAGACCAGTGGGCCCCACCAGGACCTTAATTACCCAACTCAAGACCGTCTTAGACACAAAGATCAGCCACTCCACCGGCCTCTCTGTTTACTAAGTGACACAGAGGATAGTAAGAGCAAGGGTTAGTTAAAGCAAAGAGATTGTCCTTTATGGTAATTTTGTTAAAAGTCAATAACCCTTATGTTAAAGATAACCAAATCCAAACTGGGCCCTTGACTTTTTCAAATTCCCTATTTTAATTACTGTTTCAGCAAATTCGCATGCATGGTATGGTTAATTCTTCTCACGGCGCAGAGTTAGAGCTTGTGAGTGTTCGATGCAGCTTTGGGAATGTTCTGTCATCAAAATATCACCCAGTGGTTTTTATGTCCCTCTTGATTTGATGAAAAGACATGATAGAAGAAACACATAAAGACTCTGTCCTTGGCTTTTTTTTTCTTTCAGCTGCTTCAATATGAAATGCCTTCATCTTTTTTATTTATCATGAATAAAAGGCCGGTCCTCCTGGGCTTGGTTGCCATAGTTATGGTGTGCTATGGCAAAAAAAACAGCCTCCTGCAATGCGTGAAATTGACCGTGACAATTTTAATAACTGCAGTGCAACTGTTGTTGTCATCTCTTGCCTCTTTTTCATGCATTAGATCCAGACATGTAGTGATATTTCCAGCTAAAATCCACTACCCTGCATGTTCACACAGGTGACACTGTTGTGTACGGAGCAGACACAGCTACTGTGGTGATCGAAGCCAACGATGATGCCAACGGGATTTTCTCTTTGGATGCCACAGAGAAACCTGTGGAAGAGGGCAAAACTAATAATTTTTTGTAAGGAACAGGTCCACATTTTTTTTCTTTTTTCTAAATATGATGATTTTAACATTCATAACAAGTTAAATTCAGGCCCAACTGTTTTTACATATGAAAAGTTTTTGTAAATCTGTTTATTTCTAGCATCTCTGCATTGACAAAATACTCAAAAGTTGCCTTTTTAAGATGCGAAATTTCTCCCTTTTTTCTTCTGTTCCAGTGTCCTGCGTGCCAGAGGCCATTTTGGTAATGTTACAATCTTCTGGCGGCTGTATGGCAATGACTCGGAAACTCCTTTAGAGGAAAACCAGGAGTTCACCAACACATCTGGCTTCATCACCTTCACCACAGGAGAAGAGATCAAACCCATTGTCCTGGAAGCCATCTCAGATAAGCTTCCAGAGTTCAATGAGTTCTTCGTGCTCAGGCTGGTTAATGTCTCAGGTTAGTTCAAGATAAAAGTGGCATATCCTCCAGAGAATGGAGATCATGGAATAGAGTTAACTTATCTACACAGTGGGAAGTAGCAGCTCCCATTACTAAAGGAACACCTCTGTTTCTGGGTTTGAATATTTACTCAGACCTTTGCTCCAAAATTTCAACAACTACTTCAATCCCATTTTCACTTTTGAGCTTGTCCTGAAAACCACTCCGCTTTTTTTATCATTGTCTTAGGTGGTCATCCTGGAGAGGGTGGACAACTTGCAGAGACTTCCCTGAATGCCTCAGTCCTCATTCCGTTTAATGATGACCCATTCGGTGTCTTTGCCATTGCTGAAAGCAACCTGGACCAAGAAGTAGCTGAAGATGTGCTCTCAGAGGATGATATGTCTGATGTCACTTCCTTCACCATCCTCCGCCAGCAGGGTACTTTTGGTGATGTGCGGGTTGCCTGGGAGATTGTTTCTGGACGATTCCCAGAGGGCCTCCCTCTGATGGATGACCTGCTCCTTCTAGCTTCCTTCCCAGATGAGGTTGAGCTCAGGCCTCATGCCAGGCGACACCACTCTGCCACAGACACGTGGTTTTTCTCTGGACTCCCAGGAGCTTATGGGGCCATCTCCCCAGAAGAAGTGCCTGCTGCTGTTGCCAACTTCACTTTCTCCGCTTGGCTTGTGCCCAGCCCCAATACTGACGGCTTCATATTCAGCAAAGGCACAAGGAATGGGACTTTGTATTGTGGAGTGAAGGTCCAAACCAATGAGTCTCATGTCACTGTGATGTTGTATTATACTGCCATTGGATCATACAGTCCACAGGTGGCCAGAGCCACTGCTGAGAAATATTTAGAGGATAAATCCTGGTTACACATCATCATCACTGTTGATGATGGGATCGTTGAGTTTTTCTTGGATGGCAGTCCTATCCCAGGAGGACTGAGAAGCATCAAAGGAGAGGGCATCGCTGATGGTAAGGAAAAAAATTCAGCAAAACTGTACCTGTTGAATGTTGTCATGACTTTTAATCATGCTGCGAATTTTGTTTTTGAAATACACCTTTATTCATTTATTTAATTTTCACTTACTGTACATTTTTTGTAGTGCTTAAAGGGATATTCCGGCATAAAATTAATTTAGGGTCTCACACACCGTAACATCAAGTTAGACACCCCGTCGAGAGATGAATGTTGCTGACCGCTTGCTTCTCTAGTTATACCAACTTGAGTAACGACCACACCAAAAAGCCACTCTATAGCCACAAATAATGCTCAGAACAGCACAGAACTTCATCAACAGTACAAGGTCCTAGCCACAGCACTAGCCACCAAACAACTTTTTAACTTTGCCTAATTTCTTTAGCAAAGAGACTTAACACAACTTACCCACTCTCCTTCAGCAGCTGCTTGTTTGTAGTGAGACCTCGGGCCAGTCCAGTACGGACTGCTGCGGGGTGACACAGCTCAAGGAAGAACATTTGTGGCCATTACTTTATAATTTTCTTGAAGTAATAATCATCATATTAATCATTTTGCACTTCAGATGCGTTAGTTCTTCTGCCTTAGCGTCTCAGTCTGATTGCATTTCCATAAAGAAAAGATCATAAATGTTGTTCCTTGAGCTGCATCACCCCACAGCAGTCCATAGTGGACTGGCCAGAGGTCTTGCTACAAACGAGCGGCTGCTGGAAGAGAGTGGGTGAGTTGTGTTTGGTCTCTTTGCGAAAGAAATTAGGCAAAGTTAAGAAGATGTTTGCTGGCTAGTGCTGTGGCTAGGACCCTGTACTGTTGATGAAGTTAGGTGCTGTTCTGAGCATCATTTGTGGCTATATAGTGGCTTTTTGGTTAGGTTTGTGTGTGACCCCTCAGATCTCTGTGTATTGCTATCCTGCGGTCGCTACTAAAGTTGGTATAACCAGAGAAGCAAGCAGTCAGCAACATTCATCTCTCGAGGGGGTGTCTAACTCAGTGTTATGGTGTGTTTGACCCTAAATTAATTTTACGATGGAATATCCCTTTAACACCAATCTCAAGAACCAACACCATACACGGGCCAAATTACGATGCCTCATTGCCCCCTCTTGTCCTCAGAGTTACTTCCTACTGTCTGAGCACCATGGTCAGAGAAACTCATGTAACTTGTAAAGATCATGTTGGAGGTGATGAAAGTTTACGTATGAGTTCTTTCATCAGTGTGAGTTTTTGTGTGATCATGGGCGAGATTTCCAGCTCCTCTCTCACTTTTCACGTATGGAATAACAGCTTGTCCGAACGTTTACATACACAATACAGGCACACAATCAAACACGCATACACCCACCTCTTAGTCACTTCCTCATTGTTCGGGACTATTGAGGCTCCGCCATGCTTGAGTGACCACTTAGCTTCAGCACTGCAGGATATTGTTGCTGCTAAAGGGAATCAGTCGGCATCTTCTTTTCTTCGTATTCACTCTAATTAACAGAGACAATAGTCACAGACTGTATTGGACCAAAACCCCCCAGAGGGAAAAATGTTCTGATGGCTCCTTGGTTAACTTCAATCACAATAGATATATACATAACCATCAATCGTGTCATGTGTCATTGTCTGCTTCTCAAATCATCAGTGGAATTGCTTTGTGTTGGGGTTTTGTACTTGCTCACTGTGACAGATTTGCTGTATTTGTCCCCTTTTGTACCCGTCAGTGCTAACATATGAACGAGTGATGACAAAGTGCGGGCTTTTGTGGCTTTAATCAAGATTCTGTTCGTGGTCTTATTAGACTTTAACGAAACAAATTAGTTGTATAAACTAAGGAGTGACTTTAAGTTGTTCATGTCTTATCTGTTGAACTGATTGGTTAGAAAACATGCAAAATTTTTCAGGATTTAAAGTTATGAGAAATGATCATAACTTTATCAAATCAAGAGTTTTAAGTTTAGCAACAAGACAGAAACTTTGAAACCTCTCCAGTGCCGTCTCAACATCCTACAATCTTGTTTAAGATGAACAGAGTAAAATACAACAAAAATGGGCTACAGTGTTAATGACTCAGCACCACATCAGTCTCCTAAATGTCAGTTTTGTGTTTTTTTATGTGTTGACAGTGTTGTGTTTTACTCGTGTATCACATGTTTCAGTGTAATTGCTTTTTGGCATTTGCCTCTAACTGGAAAATGATGCACAATTTCCCCCTGTGTTGTATTTTTACTTTAGGACCTGCGTCAGTTTTCATCGGGTCAGATCCTGAGGGTGAACAGCGGTACACGGGCCTTCTTCAGGATGTTCGCTTATACAGAACAAAGCTGAACCACAGCCACATCCACGAGCTTCATACCCAGCCTGCCAAAACAGACCTGCGCAGCATTTCAGGTTACCTGCGTTACCTGCAAGAGGATAGGCAGAAGTCGTTTGTGGTGGAGGTCAGGGATGATAGTGAAGAGGAGGGGGAGGAGGTATTCTATCTACAATTGGTTGCCGTTCATGGTGGAGCACGCCTCCCCTTCCCCAGACCTACAGCTGTATTGCGTGCGATGAAGAGTGACAATGCCAACGGACTTTTTGGCTTCACTGGTGCCTGCATACCTGATGTAAGTGCAGGGTAGTAATTCATGTCTTTCCTCTGATTGTTTTAGTTGTTATTAGCATCTTTAACCACCTTTCAAAGATGAATGAGTACTGATCAAAGATATAAGCCTGAATCTACATGCTTTTGTACAGAGACACATGTAATCTAAACCGACTGGTTTGTCAGTCCCTGTCCTGCTACATATTTTATCACTCTTCATGCCTGGCTGCAGGGAGAGCATGCTCTCTGTTTTTAGTTTGATTAGATACATGGGCTCACATGTTAGCCCCTCTCAGGTAGAGCGACAGCTGGTAAGGCTGCAGCAGGTCCGCCTGTCAGGGCATTCCTGTAGAAGTGGAGCAGGAGTTCCAGCACTTGAAGTAGGGATCTAGTTCCTCGTTTCCATCAGCACAACAGGTGGCAGGGCCAGGAATGGCATTCCATCAGAACTAGAGGATCTTCTTTATGTTCTTGATCCTCTGGGGATATGTGGAAGTAGAGGCATGTGGACTATCAGGTGCTTCTTCTGTAAATCACATTATTACTGTGCTAGAATTAGAAAAAGTTTCCTATTTAAAAATAAACTAAATGACTGCAAATGACTCTCCTCTTGTTGTTCACTGAGTTGTCCAATTTATTCCCTTCTTTTGTCCTTATAGACCACAGAGGAGGGCTCCACCGTCTCCTGTGTGATTGAGCGTGTCCGGGGATCTCTGGATCACGTTTATGTCAACTACAGTGTCACCCAACTAGACAGTGTGGACAGTGAGACCCCTTCCCATCAGGATTTTGTAAATGCCACTGGAGCTGTGCTCTTTGCGCCTGGACAGCGCTCTGAGGTGTGTGTACTGTGCGCATGGGAGAGAAAACCTCTAAAGTCAGTCCTGGGTCACAGAAAATACAGTCTCTTAGTAGAGATGTTGTTTAAGTGAAATGTTGCCACACATTGTTAAATCAAACAGATACTGTATACAGGTTGACAGCATATAGGAAAGTCACATAGATTCAGTGATGCAGACAACCAGCCCCACCTGGTGGTCAGTTGGTTTGTAAATTTACCGAGGAGTCAACAGGTGTCTTCCAACATACACACTCCTGTCACTTAAAACAGACATTAAAACCTCATTTTACATTAAATTGCAGTGCTGATTTGCTCATTTAGACTCATATCTTTCTGTTTCTGTAGGTGTTGAACCTGCTGGTGTTGGACGATAACCTCCCAGAGCTGGCAGAGTCCTTTCAGATAACGCTGGTGTCGGCAGAATCCGGTGATGGAAAGCCAGGCTCCACACCCACCAGCGGTGCAAGCATCGACCCAAATAACTCTGTCAACACCGTCACTGTCACAGCGAGTGATCACCCTTATGGTATTTACACACATGCCTGAAAATGTTGCAGTGCAATATTTAGTCATATGCAGTGCTCAGCATAAATGAGTGCACCCCTTCAGAGTTGTTAGAAAACTTTTAGTTTCCTTTCAAAATCAACATTTTCTAAGTCAGACTATACAACAAAATACTCCCCCAGATGTATGCCGTTGATTACAAACAAGATTTTTAAGTTGCACACAAAAAAGTACTTTTGTCACTTCAAAATCAGGATGTAAAAATGAGTACACCCCAATCAAAGTTCTGGGAGCAAAGCTAAATTTTAGTTACCATATCACACTTATTCTCATCTTATGGTAAATAAAATGTGATGTTAAACTCAGCTTTTTAAAAAAATTGTACTTTTGCTCATCTAGATATTGAGTAATAAATTACTTTTGATAGGGAGTGTACTGACTTATGCTGGGCACTGTAAATGTAGTGGTCAAAATCTAGACTGAAATGCTCCCTTGTCCAACCCAGCAACAGTGGCTTTCTAAAACAAGATCCTCTTAGACACGTGACAAGTGTGATTCAAGATTCAAGCTTTTTATTTTTATATAAGACTTTTCTCTCCGGCTCACGGTGTAAAAACTACTTGAAATAGTTTAAAAAATGCACAAAAGTAGAATACAGAAGAGTATAATATAGTAGAAGAGTTATTCATGTGTCTGCATCTTTGTCTATGTATGTAAACACTTGTATACACATGCATATCTAATGACCAGATCTTCCATTTATTAAATTCTTACCATCAAAACCTTCTATCGCTGCAAATTCTGTAGAGTACAACAGTAATTGGTATATCTTTTAATAGTCTTTCAACAGGTGAATTTTACATGACCACTCACTGAACACAAAACGATGCATGCAGTTGTTTTTTCTGTTTTGTACTTCTCCCAGTATTCTTACCAGTATTAAAACACAATAACATTCACTCTTTCTTTAAAAAAGGCCTGCTGCAGTTTCAACCCAGCCCCCCTGGAGAAGGACTGATCTCTCCAGCGATAGAGCCTGCTCACATAACTGTTAATGAGGAGGATGGACAAGTACGTCTGTTGGTGGCCAGGGCTCAAGGTCTTCTAGGAAGGATCATGGTGGGATACAGGACAACCCCCTTCACGGCATCCAGTCCAGAAGACTATGAGGTTAGTTTTCATTAAAGTCTTAAATCTAACTGATCAATGGAAGTTGAAGACTTAGTTTTTCCCTGATTCTCTGGTTTCTCTTGTCAGGACACAGAAGGCATGCTGGACTTTCTTCCTGGGGAAAGGTTAAAGTTCATCACTGTGACCATCGTTGATAATCCTGTCCCTGAGCTGGATAAGATATTTAGGGTGGAGCTCTACAACACTGAAGGAGGAGGTGAGAATTTGACCCAACACAGTCATGCTGGTGGATTTCACGCTGCTGTTTCAGTAGACTGAGTTAATTTTTTAGAATAACCTTTACCTTTGTTCGAGCTGGAATGACCCCATATTTGCCCTTATGTGTTGTGTGTGCTGTGCTCCTGTATTCTTCCATGAACTCCCTACATATGCAACTGCCTTCCTACACTCCTTCCCATTTGCCCTGCTCCTCTGGTGTGATTCAAACCTGGTGTGACACTTGTTTGATCCATCAGTGGATCAATTTCTGCATAGTGAAGGGAGTGGTAGTGGTGAGAGTGACTCTGACTACCTCTTTCCATCCTATCACCATCATGGTAAGTACCCCCTTCCTCTGCTCCCCAGACTGCTTCTTGTTTTGGACTTTAACTTTCCTAACCGCATGATTTCTCACTCCTTAAAGTTTCAACTAAGTCTGCTGTGGATCAAGTAACTGCTGCTCCTATTGACAAGCATTTTCCTGACTTAACGTTGAAATATCACCTTTTTTAAACACAAGAATTACAGTTTTGTGTCTGTAGGAACTTGGAAAAATCTCCTTCAATCTAGTAGTCTTTAATCTGTGTCAGATATTTTAATCAAATTGAGATCTTAAGTGCATGAAGACAAACACGTATATCTCTAGGTTTCTGTGTGCACATACACATTTGTTTAATGTCTGTGGTATTTACATTGAATTCTAACCCCTGTGTGAGAGAACTCAAGGAGAGTGATGTGGGAAAAGCAAATAGCCTTGAGCGAGAAGTATGGGCGCGTGGGTGACATAGAATAACATCTGCTCTTTCAATGCTCCTGACTGTAAAATCCTTCTGTATAAAAGGAAAACTACAATCTTTGAATTCTCATAATTTTTCTCTGACCGTTCAGAACACAGGGTTAAATCTCATGTTTTGTTTGTAGCCAGCTTGGGAGTAGCGTCCCGCATCACAGTGACCATTGCAGCCTCCGATGACGCCCATGGAGTGTTTCAATTCAGTCCTGAATCCCTGTTTGTAACTGGGACAGAACCAGAGGATGGACGCAGCTCAGTGGTTCTACAGGTCAGTGTCTTAGACAGTTAAAAATGATGCCCTAGAGGCTCAAGGAGATGTTGATGTTGCTTAATTTTGATTTGACATGTCAAAATTTTAACACATTACACATTTTTTTATTATTATTATTATTTGAAGTTTTAGGGTGGAACTCATCACTTCCATGCTTTCTTTTGTTCTTCCCCAGGTGAATCGGACCTTTGGAGACCTCTCAAATGTTACTGTGTTCTGGGAAGCTGATCCCAGCTCTGAGGGAGAACTCCTCAGCAGGTTTGGGAACATCACCTTTGGAGTTGGTCAGACTTCAGAGGACATCATTATCAACGTGGCCCAAGATGAGATCCCAGAGCTGGACAAGAGCTTCACTGTGTCCTTAGTTAATGTCTCCCACGGCCGTCTGGGTGCCGAGACATCTGCAACATTAACTGTGCTCGCCAGTGACGACCCTTACGGTGTCTTTGTATTTGCAAATGAGACAAGGTCTGTTCGACTTCCTGAAGCTGACTCAACTGTCACTCTCACCATACTGCGACAAAGAGGCCTGATGGGTCAGGTATGTCCTGCTGTTACATCCTTACTTCATAACTTGTTTTCAGCTAATAACTAATTTTTTCATTGAACATAATTTGTCCAGGTTCAAGTGACTTATGGGACACTGACTGAGGCAGAGCCAGAGCCTTACAGGACCCCCGGAGTAGGCCGAGCCACAGAGGGGCTGGATTTTGTCCCCCTCCTAGATTCTGTGGTGTTCTTGGCCAATCAGAGTGAAGCAAACATCACCCTCCAAGTTCTCGATGATGAAGATCCTGAAAGAGATGAGTCAATTTTCGTGAAGCTGATCAGTGCCCAAATCATCAAAGGAGAGCAGGAGAGATCCAGTAAGATACTACATGAAAAATATCCTGATACAAAAATCACCATCCAGCTACGAAAAATTGATGACGTGCGTATACTCTCACTGTTCGTTCCAGTTTTCAATTCCCCATCTCTGGGCTCTCGGCTCGACACTGTAGCCCAGGTGATAGTGGAGGCGAGTGATGATGCTTTTGGAGTCCTTCAGCTGTCAGCATCTGCTGTCAGTGTTGCCGAGCACTACGTTGGACCCATAATTAATGTGACACGTGTTGGAGGGATTTTTGCAGATGTATCTGTCAAGTTCAGAGCGGTGCCTTTGACTGCCAGAGTCAGTAAGTGTTGAGCACTGAGATAGGGTTTCTCTTGCTGGAAAATGTTTTTATTTGTGTGAATGTGAAGGTAACACTTTATGATAACTATCCATTATTTCAAGTTAATAGTTTATTAGTAAACTGTGAATTATTGAGTTATTAATGACTTGTTGAAGTGTTTGTTAATGGTTTGTTAATGACTTATAATGATGCCTTATAGAGTTAATGTATAATTAATAAACTGTTAATTAATAAGTTATAAATGACTTGTTAACTGTATGTCAATGATTTATAACCATAGTTTTTAGATAAGTAATAGATCATGAACAAGCTATTAGTAAACTACTTACCAATGACTTGTTAAGTATCTGTTAATAGTTGATATATGTAATTGGGATGATATTCTAAAGATGCAACTATTCTTCATTTACTAACAATTACTAAATAAGGAAGAGTTGCAGCTTTAGAATAACGTCCCAATTAACAAATCATTAGTAAGTAATTTACTAATAAGTAATAGATCATGAAAAAGCTATTGGTAAACTACTTACTGACTTGTTAAGTATTAACAAGTCATTAGTAAGTAGCTCTATAAGGTATTTTTATTGATTCTGAACAACTGTTAAAAACACTTACCAAGTCATTAATAACTCATTAATTAACAGTTTACTAATGAGTTATTAACTAGTTATAATGGATAATTACTATAAAGTGTTAACAAGTCATTAGTAAGTAATTTACTAATAGCTTGTTCATGATCTAATACTAATTTACAAGCTATAGTTACAAATCATTAGCATACAGTTCACAAGTCATTTATAACATTAACTAACAGTTTATTAATGATAGATTTACTCTATAAGGTATCATTATAAATCCTTAACAAACTGTTAACAAACACTTAACAAGTCATTAATAACACATTAATTAACTGTTTACTACTGATCTATTACATTGTTTTAACGGATGTGTTATAACGAGTGTTTCCAATGTGTGTAATCCTTCAGGCGAAGACTACAGTGTTGCTTCTACTGATGTGGTCCTCCTAGAAGGGGAGTCCAGTAAATCTGTACCCGTCTATGTTATCAATGACATGGTCCCTGAGCTAGAAGAGACCTTTCGTATTGAACTGATCAACCAGACAACTGGTGGAGCCCTGCTAGGGGAGCTCACTCGTGCCATCATCACCATACTGCCATCTGATGACCCTTTCGGTGCCTTTGGTGAGAAATCATCTATGAAGTGTTTCTACGTTTTTAGACAAATTTTTCATTGGCTTACGTGTCTCTCTCTTGGTTTTGTTTCTACTCAGCCTTCCAGGCTGTTCCAGTTACCATAGAGGAACCAGGATCTAACTCTGTAGATGTCATACTGCCTATAGTTCGTAATGCCGGTACTATTGGCACTGTGGTTGTCCAATGGCAAGCCACTGTCAATGGTAAGCTTGCAAAGGGGGACATCAGACCCACTTTAGGGGAGGTGAGATTTGCTCCTGGGGAGACCATGAAGACACTGCGAGTAGAGATTTTAGCCGACGATGTACCTGAAATCACAGAGGTAAGAAGCTAACAGTGAAAATGCCAATATAAATTATGTGAGAAAAATATTCCACTTATTTAAAAATGCATTATTAATCACACTCTATCTTTGCTTTATAGATAATTAAGGTGGAGCTTACTAGTGCCAGTAATGGAGGAAACCTTGGAGCTGATACATCTGTCGACATAATAGTGCCTGCCAATGATAATCCATATGGGACTGTGTTCTTTGAACAGTCTGTTTACCGTGTTCAGGAGCCCCTGGAGGGAGTTTATAGAGCCAACATTACTGTCCGCAGAAGGTACTTTTATGTTTTGTTTTTCTCATGACAAAATTAATATTGGCGCAACACTGCTCAGACATAAGTGGTCGTTTCCTGTGGCAGTGTTTTCTCCATCATCTGTTTCAACTTCATTTCAGGGGCGGTCACTTTGGTCGCTTGGAGATCGTGTACAGCACCTCTGAGATCGACATTGTTGGTATTGCTCAGCAAGATAATCAGAACTTGCTGACTTACTATGATCTCCCAAAACCGGGCACCCCTTCCTCAGCCGCCCCCCTCAGGACAGTCAACATTACCGGTCAGAGAGACCCTTTGGCTGCGTGTGCTGCTGCATGTCTGAGAGAGCGTGCCTGCCAGGCCTTTTCTCTGTCATCAGGAGTGACCCCACTTTCATGCACATGGGTGACTTCAGGGGCTGACCAGCTAACCTCTAACTCTCAGTTTATGACCTATGTAAAAAACGCCACCGCAGCTGCAGTCTTATTTAGTGCCCAGGCTGAGGCAGGAGGTGACTATACTCCTGTAACAGCTCAAAGTGCCTTTATGGATGACGGGTCAGGGACTGCCAACCTATCAGTTCCAATATTGACTGATAAATTTCCTGAAATGGATGAGAGCTTCAACATACAGATCTTAAAGGTAAAACACAGACATACAGTTCATATATACTTTTTAGATGTATATTTCAGCGTGTCTTTTATAAAAAGTTGACTTAAAATGTTACTTTGTGTTGTTTAAAGGTAGAACTGATGAATCTGACTGCGGCACCAAAGAACCTGCCTTCGATTGGTCAGCCAGACAAAGCCGTCGTCACTATTGGGATGAACGGAGATGCGTTTGGGGTCTTTTTGATATACAGCCTCAGTCCAAGTGCCATAAACGAGGGGCTCTATCTGGAGGTTCGTGAAGAGCCTGGGGTTGTGGTGCCCCTGGTCATAGAGAGAAGAGGAGGGAATCTGGGCACTGTTACTGTAGAGTGGAGGTTTGTTGGAGGGAAAGCCACACCAGAAGCTGACTTTACTGGGACAGGAGGGACTCTGGTCTTCAGTGGTAGGTGGATTACTTAGTGATAAGATGGAAAACAATAAGAGCTGATTGAGAATTAGGAAAAATACACTGTTAAACTGTCATGATAGGCTCGCTTTATCTTGACGAGGCTACTTTATTGCATTTTTTTAAGTATGAGAATAATTAGAAGCACATTAATGTGTGCAATTAACAACTTCTTTTCTCCTCTGTGTTGCCAGGTGATCTGAAGAAGACGATAGAGATAGTAATCAGAGATGATATTCAACCTGAGGACAACGAGAGCCTCATGATTGGTCTTGTTAGTACAGAGGGAGGGAGTCGAATCCTTCCCAGCTCTGACACCGTGACCATAGTGATACTGGCGAACGATAATGTGGCTGGGATCATTGGATTTCATCCATCGTCACGCTCCGTCATAGCCAGAGAAGGTTGGTTGCCGTTTGGATGACAAGCAGATGGATTTAGATATTAGATCTATAGTATTTTTGTCTATGAACATTGACTCCCATACTTTACATTCCAAATCCATTTTTTTGCCACTGTAGTTATTTTTAAGTGCAAATGTAAGGGAATGCCCTCTCAGTAATGACTTCACGTAGCGATAGGTGGACATTGTGGTTGTTTGTCATAGTTATGAAATTATGAGTGTTAAGTTAAGCAGTTTAAGTCTCCTTGAATGGAGTTCATACAGAAATTAACCCACTAGCTGTGCCGTCTGTCTTCTTAAGTGAAAGAAACAAAATGAGAGAAATTCAAATAAGAAGTCAAAAATGCTGTTGATTGATAAGGAATTGTATTTGAACCTTCATAGAAGTACTATTCATCTTCAAATAGACCAAACTAAAAACATTACTTGGTAGGTGATTTTTCAGCATTGAATCGAATTCACTCTATTTATCTGTTACTAAATTGAGTAAAGTTAGGTCTAATACTTACAAATATCTCTTGCTTTTGATGTCAGTTTGCAGTCTGACTGCATTTTGTTTGATTTTACAGGTGAGATGCTGTCCTTATTGGTGTTGAGAACGGCTCCAGGTCTGGGAAACGTCACTGTGGACTGGTCTGTAGAAGGACCTCGTGTGGACCAGACTTTTACCCAAACATCAGGGACACTTTTCTTCACTGAGGTATGTAAAACCATGTATTTATGAATATTAGATTGTATTATCATGGCAGAGTATTAAGTCACACACTTTGGCACAAATCAGCATGTTGTGAGGCTGGTTAAACGTTGGAGCTACTCAACCTACAGAATCAGCTGAGCAGCTGTAAAACTGTATTTGCTGTTTCTTCTACAGGGGGAACTAAATGCCACCATAGTCCTGCAGCTTCTTGATGATGCCACACCAGAAGATAAAGACGAATACAAAGTTTTCTTGTCCAATATACAAACTTTTGGTAATGCATCTATCTCTTTGACCAAAAACGGTGCCTGAAATAATACTCAAAAAGCTTTAAATCAACCCAATCAGAATTGATTATTGATTATCATTACTCTTGCTTGTACACAGGCGTTGTGGCGACAGGCCATGCTGCTCTGGATGCTCAGGGCAGTGAGGCATTGCTCTCTGTGGACACCAGCGATCAGCCTTATGGACTGCTGAAAATTGCCCCATCATCCCAACAGGTGACCACAGAGGAACGGGACCAAACCATTAATATCTATGTCAGTAGAGAGTTTGGAGCCTCAGGTCAGTGGGAAAAAGTGAACTTTACAAACTGATTAGCTTTTGATTGACTCATTTATGTGCCAAGCTTTAAGCAGTGTCTGATATTATCTAATATCTAAATGTTTTTGGACAGGAGCGGTGAACATCACATATGAAGTTATTAGAGGCTCTCTACAGGATCTGTCCCAGGTAGAGGGTGCTCTTGCAGACCCAGGAGAGGACTTTGTTTCTGGTGCTGGTTCTGTAATCCTTCAGGATGGGCAGACATCTGTTGCCATCCCTGTCACCATACTTGAGGTAAAGCTTACATGAAAGGTCAGGCAGTCTTTGCATAACCTCTGTGCCTTTTTCTGTTATTTGAAATGTCTTTTTGATTACTATAAAGTGTTTCTAGAGTTGCAGTGTTAACTTGTCTCTACATGATTTCACAAATGTCTTAGAAACATTGTTTTTTCATTTGTTTTCAAGGATGATATTCCAGAGTTGCAAGAGTTCTTCCTGGTCAACATAACTTCAGCAGTTCTCATCTCAACCCTTGCCACTGTTCCACGACTAGGTATGGAGAAGTCAAGCAGCTTTACTGCAGTTGTAACTAAATCTCCTATATTTGCCCAACATCGTCATTCCATTTAAGAGTTGAAAGACAAGCGTACTGTATTCACTTTCTTTTCTGTGTGTTGCATTTCTTTGGATGTGTAATGAAATGAATGAACTTTTCTTTCTTTTTCTTCTTCTAAATCTCTCACCGTTTGCTCTGTTTGATGAGTAGAGGTTGTTTTTTGCACCCTGCCAGGTAAAATGCTGGGTCATACAGACAGATGACAAAATAGAAGCAAAGACTCACTTTAGTTCATGTTGAATCCCTAAAGTGAGGATGTCTATCGCCTCTGTCATCCCATTAGAGGGAAGAGCCACTGCAACCTTTTTCCTCAGGAAAACATGAGAAATGAAACCTCCTGATGGTAGTTTTCTCTGCAAGATGGACATGTCCTATTACCAGGGCATTGGAGGTCTCTGAAACAGCAAATTAGATGAAATCATTTAGAAATCACCAGAACTCTCTACAGTGGAGTTCTGGTAATTTCCTGAATCAAGACCAAGAACATTTGAAGTAGTTCTGGTCCCCATCATGTTGCAAAGACTCATCATGAGGAGTTTTCCCTTTAGTTTGTCACTGTCTGTGTGTTTGCATACAGCTAAAATCAATGTAGCTTGATGTACAGTATCCCTGTATGGTACATTAAGCTACAATAATTTAGCTGACTGCCGAAGCGCACCATGAAAGAGCTTGGTAGTCACTGCTACTGCTTTTGCATAATCCAAACCACAGTCCAATTTATGAATGAGTAACTTTAGAAAGTGATGAGTCGACAGAACATTATGGGCAGAGCAGCACTTGGAGACTCCCAGAATACTATCGGTCCTCTGAGTGGAGACACACAGTAAACACACGGCGCTTTTTTGGCACCAGTCATTATGTGGCTTGGATGGCGAGATTGATGCTTTCAATGATTGAGGAAGCCTGGGGATTTGTTGGGAGCCGAGTAGCACTGTGTGGTGAGGAGAGAGAAAGCCAAACTAAACCCGAAGCTGGCCTCCCAAAGTCTTGGCCATGGTGTGTATGAGAGGAGACTATTCATGGGGTCATAAATCAGTACATCCAAAAGACTTGGCTGCTCGGCCTGCCCAGCCACTTACAGGAGACGCTTCTCAGCTGTAATCTTTTGGTCAAATGTGCCATGACGGAAGTTAGGTTGCATACATTTTCCTCTTGCACATCCTGCCATTGATGCTTGCACTTCAGATAAAGCCGCAACGCTATTGCCAGCTCTACAACTAATAAATCTAATTCTCTCATTATTGACGATCTAATGCCGTACGGATGTTTCTGCTTTGTGTGTTGTCCGTTCCCCAGATACCCAGGGCCTGTTAGCGGAGGTTAGCATTGCTGCCAATGATGGGATAAGAGGAGTCATTGAATGGACAAACACCATGTAAGAAATGTCCCAAAATAAGTGTACTTGCGTATGTTGACACATCTCCCTCCTCACTGAGATTTATTCTGCTTTCCAGGTTTGAAGTGAATGAAACAATGGGAGCATTTACTCTGGTGGCTTATAGAAACAAGGGGGCATATGGAAACGTTTCCCTTTTCTTCTACGCTCAGAACCTTGAAGCTCAACAAGGCCTAGACTACAATACAAGTGAAACGGTCAGCATTACGCAGCATTCAAGTATTGCACACATCCGCACATGTCTACAAGTGTTCTACATGACATTTTCATTGTCTTCAGGCATGTAAATTAAGTGCAGTTATCCTCGACTTTACCGAAGCAGAAAGTCTGTAGAGTCTCCACAAAAATGCCAAATCATGCACCTCATTAACTGAAAACTCCTCTGTCCAACCAGATGCTTCACTTTGTGGATGGTGAACGGTATAAGTTTGTAGAGGTACAGATCATTGATGACAGTATTCCCGAGGGAGCTGAGAGATTCCAGCTTATCCTGTCTGAGCCTTCTCCTGGGCTGCAGCTGGGAACAAACACAACAGGTAGGTAGAGGACATTGGTATAAGGATACAGTCAATAGTTTGTGAAAATGTACAATAGCAAATGTATGGATTGGGTTATATGATTTTGAAGTTGAATTAATAACTGTGAAAGATCAAACAGGTCTCATACTGTGGCCCATGACAGAGCAGTGTTTGTTTCTGCTCTGTCATCACTACCGTGCACTAGTACTGCGCTTAGACTTTGAGTCATCTTTGTTGGCATCTACCTGCAGGATCTGACCAGGGGGGTTTAGATCTTATCTCATCACTCCTCAGATTTCTGCATGTAAAATTAATTTGGGAGGTGTAAGAATGCAAAAAAAAAAAAAAAAACACACACTTCAGACCTTTACAGCGTGGGTTGTCAGACAAAGAACTGCTTTGCAAAGATATGTTAGTCAGGAAATCGTGAGAATGACAAATGTCAAGTGTGAGATCAAAGCAGCTGAAGTTGCTTGTCTGAATCAGCTCACAGCTGTTGCTCCATTCATATTGAATCAGGCTCTCTGGATTATGTTTCACCAACAATCTGATGTGGGCTTATAACAGCTCACATGGCTGTGCGCCTTACAACAGGCTTTTAAATGAGTCATGCTTTACAATTAAACCTCTAGTCATGCCAGTCAAAGAAACTGAAACACCATGTTATGCTATTATCTTATTTTTGTCGTATTTTGTATAATTGTTAGCTTATTATTTCTCATTTTGTACATAATTAAAACATTATTTACAGTTTAGCATCTTTCTGATTTCTTCTAGCAACTGTAAACATCCTTGCTAGTGACGACGGACATGGCGTCATTTCCTTTAACACCAGCGAGCATTTCTTACTGAGGGAGCCCACTTCTGTGTCAAGCCTCAGTGAGAGTGTGGCCTCTCTGTATGTGGTTCGAAACCCAGAGGAAGGCACATTTGGCTCTGTATCAGTTCAGTTTACCATCACTGATGCCAACGGGAGTCTGGCAGAGGGTGACTTAATACCAGCTCAAGGATTTGTGGTACTGGAGGATGGAGTCCGATTTAAGGTGGGGAAAGAACATTTTCTTTGGGTGAATGTAAACGTGTGCATGAGAGATGGTTTACACAGTTAAGATAAAGTTTTCTATGGCACTTCAAATACTGCCTCACAGAACACTCTAGCCAGTATTTACTTGTTCAAGAATGATCTGCAAGTTTGTGTTTTAAACATAATAAACATTTTGAGTTTATTTTCGTCTGTGTTGTTTCAGATGCTGGAGATCTGGGCTGTACTTGATGCTGAGCCTGAAGTAAATGAAACCTTCACTGTGACCCTGTCAAACCCAGTGGGAGGTGCACGACTGGGTGGCCAACTCCAAACTCTCATCACCGTCCTGGAGAACTTGGCTCCTTCTGGCCTGTTTCGCATCGGACCTTCTATCAACAGGTGTCGATACAGCTGATCTGAAGCTTGAATTTTAATCACACACAGAACATAATTCCATAAATCTGAGCAAGATATTTTGGGTTGCTTCGGGCAATCTAGTAGTACTGATATAATATGTTTAAGATGACTAATTTGTGTTCTCTGTTCAGAACTAAAACTGAAGTGACTGCTGATGAAGGTGGCAGGACAGTCTTCCTCACCGTGTCTCGCAGTAACGGTTTGGAGTCAGCTGTCAGTGTGGAATGGGAGACTCTGTCTGATACAGCGATTGCAGCCGGTGAGACTTTTTCTTTTTTTTTTCCTGCTTTCTTCCTGTCATCCCGATGAGTGATCTCTTTAAGCTTCTCTTCTTTCATCCTCCTATTTTCTAGAGGGTCTCCTCCCAGTAACGGGTGTGTACCAGAGCTTTGAGGATATGCCAACCTCTTCTTGGTGCTCACTCCCTGAAGGGCCCTCTGTCCTGGCCATGAGGCTGGATGGGAGGCCCATGGTAGGATCCTCTCACACCTTGGCCACTCTGTACAGGTGGCAGGGTGTCTTTGTGCCAGTAGAGGTAGGCCATCAACAGCGTCGCCCTAATTACATCTACTGTAAACCTACTGAATGCTTGAAAGAAAAAGCCACTCTTTCCTTTGCTCATTGCAGTCTATTAGGATTCAGGAGCCAAGCTTTTGCGTTGGGTTTGCAGTAAATGGATCGACCTATGTTGGCATCACACACAGTGGCCCCCCCTTCTCTCCTGCTGCCAACCTTAGTATTTTTAAATTGCACAGGGACCTTAATATCACATTGGTGAGTATAAACCCAGTCCTACTTCAGCAGTAATATGTCTTTTGTTGCCTTCATGTTTAATCAAACCATCTGATTTCTAGGAGCAAACTTTGGGTGTTGAAGCTCTGGATGTGAAACACTTCTCAACCGAAGGCAAAGATTATCTAATATCATCAAGCCAGGTGAGCCTGACTCACAGACCCTTGTTTCTTATAGTGTATTAAGATAATGGTGAAGTTACTTTTTGTCTTCATGTCTGATTCATATTTCAGATTTTCGTTTGGACCGGCGGCTCCTTCGCCCTCCTCCAAACTCTTGACTTCGACCAGAACATCCTCAGCGTTAGTCCTTTCACTCAAGCAGATGTCCCCTACCTGTTGGTGTGCATAGACAGAAAGACTGCCAGCTGCTTTTTGCTGAGATGGACCAATGGAAGGTTTGAGAATCCACAATCTCTCCAACTCAACGGCAGGGCCATTCAAGTGGAGACGATCAACACAAGAGCAGAGGACTTTCTCTTGTTGGTTCTGATTGAAGGTGATCTGTCCTACTTTGGTGTAAAATTTATGTCGGCTGTTGTGTTAATCTGCACTTCTGACCTGCTTAGAAGTATCAACAAGCAAAGGTGAAGGTCCCACGATAATTTCACTTTGTCAGACACTTGGTGGTCTTTGCAATCTGGTGTGAAAACATACCTGCATATCTCCTTATCAGCCAAGATGATAGAAAATATCACACTCTTACAAAAAAATCAGATTTCCCAACGTGTCTACCTCCAAATAACTGTTTTATATACATAAGACAGTTGTGTTTTCAATAATCATTTCGCTATCTGCGGTTGTGCCCTCGGTATACTTTCTTTTGGATTTGCTGTGAGCAGCTGGTGGCATTGTATAAATAAATCTGTGATACTCTAGAAGGCACTCAGAAACTATGTGCCTGTTACAGACAGAACAGCCTTGTTCTGTTGCCTCAACTAAGATGACAAAATTCACAATGTAGGCCCAATTATATATTTGTACTACGCTCTGTATATTTTGATGAGACATAATCCCTCTGAGTCTGCAAAAGTGGTGAGTTTTTTGGTTCAGACCTGTTGTGGGTTTACTGGAAAGGCCTCAGAGTGGAGCACAGTCGAGCCACAGAGGGAGGCAGAGGTTGTAATTTGTAAGTCTTGGGTGTGTCAGTTAGACTGGTCCTTATTTTACATAAACATGTTATTCTAGCATGAAGAAAATGTGAAACCGTGTGTTTGTGGGTGTGTGTGTTTCTTTTTCAGGTCCCCCTTCGACATGTGAGGTGTTACGATGGAGCCCGGGACAGTCTTTACCTCAACTTTACCAGTCTATTCCTCACCCAGGCCTCACCTCTATTCACCCATTTGCAGATCCTTCTGGAATCAGTGAGCACAGTCCTTACAAGCTTCCTTTACTTCGAGAAAGCATTTGTCTTTTATTCACTTTATTAATGGAACTGACTGACTGTTTTTCTGCCTTTTAGCATATGTTCTGCTAGCTGGGAGAAATGGATCGTCACTTTACTCCTGGAGGCCTGATGTTGAGCTCCTTGCCATGATCCTGAAAGTCCCTCCAGCCATTAGCTTCTTGTCTCTCATGGTCCCATCCCTTAACAGCACCAAGACCCTCTTGGCTTCCTCGGAGGAAAATAGCTCCACTGTTTATGAATTCACTTTGGTCTCCAATATGTCCGATTTCATACCCAGGTACCCACATCATCTTTGCATGAACTAGAAAGTTAGACAAGCGGCTTTTAACTCACTAAGAAAGTCAAAACATGCGTCTTTTCTTTTCTTATTTTTCTTCACATTCAGTTTTGGGGAGTTGCACTTTGCACCAGGTGACAGTGAGCTGGAGATAGCAATCAACATCATAGATGACGACATCCCCGAGGAGCAGGAGCACTTCCAGGTCAGCCTGAAGAATCCAAAAGGGGGGGCTGAGATTGGATTTGGTGGTCAAGTGACTGTCTTAGTCCCAACTAATGATGATGCCCATGGAGTCATTGGCTTCTCTCAGGTAAAAAAAAAAGAACATTTTACTTTTAGAAGTCTTTGCTCGTCATACTACACTCATTGTAATAAACTTAAAAATTTCTGTTTCTTTTTCTCTCCAGAATTCTCTGTCTGTGGAGGTAGAGGAGTTGGAGCAAAATAATCAGATTTCTCTCAGTGTGGAGAGGAAGAGAGGGACTTTTGGCAGGCTGACTGTGCACTGGGCTGCCACTGGCAGTCTGACAGATATTTACCCCACATCAGGAGTGGTGAGTAATCCTGGCCCTCATGTCACACTTTAAGACACGCTGTTTTATGTGTTAAAAACATTTTTTAAATGTACTGGTTGCCAAAGTAAACAATATACAGAAATTCTCACTTCTCTTCAAAGTATAATTTACATGTTTTCATGTTGTAGGTAACATTTTCTGAGGGCCAGTCGGAGGCCATCATCTCGCTCACTGTGCTGGCAGATGGTGTCCCCGAGCTGAGGGAGACAGTCACCATCACCCTCATGGATGTCACCACCGTGGGGCTGCAGGACCTTACACAGGCAGCAGTCATCGACAGGCAGCGGGCTCAAGCTCTTCTCAGCATCCTACCAAATGGCTCTCCCTACGGGGTGTTTGGATGGCATCTGGACTCACAGTTTACACTCACACAAGAACCGCAGAGTAAGAATTCCTAGAGCAAGAGATGAGTAGATGATGAACCTGTTTTCACTGTATCACGGTGTACAGTGAGTTTTTGTTTTGCAGGTTGCAAATTCCAGTCATTTAGTTTTGCATAAGGAGCTGTTACAGTAATACTGCTTTCAGATTTACTGTAAAAGAGATCTGTAGTGATTTCCAGGACATGAAGTGATTTAGGATTTGCCTAATCTTTGTGTTGGTGGACATCCAGAAAGATTAAATGAACCCGATTAGTTGGGTAATAAACCGCCTTTAACCCCCCCCTTTCACAATCCACAGGGGTTCCGCTCAATGTGACCCTCTCCGTAGTGAGGGAACAGGGCTCTTCGGGAGAGGTGGCAGTCCACTACCAGACCAGAACAGCCTTGTACCTGCCTCCCTCCAACCAGGCAACTGCAGGAGAGGACTACATCTCTAAAGACGCAACTATCACCATGATCGATGGTGCTACAGTGGCACTTGTTACTGTCACAATCCTACCGGTATGGAGATCATTTTTAATGAATTAGAAGTTTGGATTTAACAATCATGAAATAAGAGATTTGACAAATGTTTGACATGAGAGCTAACACAAAATCAATGAAGGCTTTAATAAAATAAGAGTGAAAGCATGCAAACATGAAGTAACACTCTCGTAAAAAAATAAAAGATTTTCTGTCTTCTCTTTGTTCATCTTACACCTCCCACACTCATACCCATTCAGCCTGGTTATCCAGACTGACTCCTGTTTCTTGCCTTAGGATAAAGAAATACAAGCTGTGACCAGCTCTATAACAGTCCAAAGACTAGCCTTTAAACACAGAGTGTAGGCGAAAGCCAGAGGGAAAAATCGAACGCTGTTTCTCCTCATGTTCTCCTGATCAATAAAATCCCCAAATAACCATCAAACTCCAAAATTCACTCGCACATCTTCTCTAACTCTTTTACCCAAACAGATGTATTTGTTAGCATGACAATTTAAATCCCTCTGTACTGACACTTGTGAAAATATTATAAACTGAACAACATGTGTGGCTGGAGAAAAGTATGTTTTGTGAGGAGTCTTGTGACTTTGAAGAAGAAAACATTTTTGTCTTTAATTGAAACGTGTGTTTTTTTACAAGGATGACATCCCAGAACTAGCAGAGAGTTTTGTGGTAAATATCACCAGTGTGGAGATAGTGAGCGGATCTGTGGGTGCAGGGCAGCCCAGCCTGAAAAGGCCTGGTATGGAAGTAGCTGAAGTCACCATCCAAGAGAACGATGACCCCCGAGGGATTCTGCAGTTAAACGTTTCTGAGGTGAATACAAAACTATTTCTGTGATGATTTTGTTGTCATAATGATCGACAAATGATGTTCATTCAACATTTCATCAAACTTTCTTCTCTAGGATATCACTGGGGTCGTGCTTGCATATGAGATACCACCACCAGACAACGTCCTCTATCTGTCAGTTGTGCGATTGGCTGGAACAACTGGAAGACTGGTCCTGTACTGGGAGGCTCAACCCATCACTGCTGATCTTAATGATTACAGTCCCTCATCTGGGAACATCACCTTTCAGGACGGACAGGTAAATGGAAATTTTTTTTTCTCATTTGAAACTATCCTTCATTGAATATACCATGACACCGTAATGTTAGGTGATTCACAGGTTATTGAAAATATCTCAAAGGTTGTGAACTCAATTTCCTGTTCTCGTCTTTAGGGAGAAGCCAAGATTGCTATCAACATTTTGGATGATGAACTAGTGGAGACTGCAGAGACACTCAAAGTGAATTTACTGCGTGTGATTGGTGGTGCTCGATTGGGAGAAGAGACCTCTGTAACTATCAGCATCCCACCCAACGATTCACCGCTGGGACGGTTTGGATTTCAGGAAGTGGAGGTGAGTCTAGATAACTATTTTAAAACAGATATATTTGTACAAAAGAGAGCACTTTCCTATCTCTCCTTTTTACATAAAATATACACCAACCAGCCATAACATTGTGAACACACTGACAATCTAATGCAACCAAATACAACAGCTCTCAGTTATTACTTTTCACTTAAAATGTAGAAACTTTGTAGAAGTAGTCTTTATTCTTGGTAGCATTAGATTTTTCAGGTGTTCATAATCACTTACAACTGGTCTGGAACTGACTTTGAGTAAAACCAAGTCATCTTTTTCAATCTACTCTTAGATCACTGTGAGCGAGCCAGAGTTTGATGATGATCCTGAAGCTGTAGCAACACTAGCCGTGGTACGAAGTGTGGGAGGGGAAGGTGCAGTGACACTGAGATGGCAGCTGGAGGACCAAGCTACAGATGACCTCGCACCTTCAAGTGGAACTGTTGTCTTTACTGAGGTACAGAATGAAGGGCATGCTGCCACTGCCCAATCCCATACCATTGATTAGTTGTTTTAGTAATGACCTTTGACCTTCTATACTTTTCACACTTCAGACTGACTCAGTGAAGACGTTTGTGATCAGAGCCCTTCCTGACAGCGTACTGGAAGGAGATGAACATTTTACCGTCCAGCTGTTTCCTGCTGAAAGTGGTGCTGTCATCGACCCCATAAGTGGTGGGTACTTTAAGTAAAAATCTCACAGCCAGATTTAATTATGCATAATACTTTTAAGATCGTCTCTTATTCTTGTACTAATTCTAAACACCCCCCCATGAATCCCTACTAACCTGGTATGTCATGTACTCCTGTAGGAATGGCCACCATCACTATCAGAGCAGACAAGGCTGCTCTGGGTATCATCGGGATTGCAGAGTCCTCCAGAAACATCCTGATTGGAGAACCTCAGGGAGATTACAATGGCAGTGCTGTGGTCAGGTGAGAAGAATTGTTGTTGTAGGGAAGATAAGAGTTTTAATTCTCTGAAAGTCGATTTGAAGAGCATAAATATAATGTAAAAATCTTGTTTTATTTTCATCTCCAGCCTTGTAAGAGGACCGGGTGTGTTTGGAGAAGTCCAGGTGTATTGGAATATCACTCCAGCTGTAGCTTCTGAGTTTGAAGCAATCTCTGGTACTGTAACGTTCAAGGACAGGCAGTCTGATGCCACAATTGTTCTGAAGGTACTGGGAAATACGGATCGTCAAGTTCACTCATAAGTATGCTGTTTCTGTGAAGTCTACTGTCTGAGTGCTTTCCATGAAAATATCCCTGTTTTGTCACAATTCCAGGTCCTGGATGATGATATTCCTGAAGAGAGCCTTGAATACCAGCTCACCCTCACATCCGCCACCTCTGGACTTGAAATCAGTCCCATCGCCAGACATTCTAAGATTATTATGGCAGCCAGTGACAACCCTCACGGCGTGTTCTCCTTTACCCAGAATCAGATCAGGGTGACTGAAGAGGAAGGAATGGTGAGGTCAAACAATTGAGACTGACACAAACATTTCAGAAATCCTATTATAGTGGATTAGGCTCATTAACATGTTAGGTTGTGCTAAGAGAGGTATCCGTTTTGTTTTTCTCGCAGGTAAATGTGACAGTCACTCGCTTCTTAGGCAACCTGGGCAGTGTTTGGGTGACGTATCAGACCTCAGGCTACACTGCGGTCAGTGAGGTTGACTTTGTCCCAGCCTCAGGACGACTGCTCTTTACCCCTGGCCAAACCACAAAACAAGTTGCTTTGCAGATCCAGGATGACAGCCTCCCAGAGGAGCCTGAGATCTTCTTCCTGAACATTACTGAAGTGGAGCTAGTTAATGTCAGGTAGACTCGTTAAAATGGGAATAAACAGCGAGCGTAATTAAAAAATTGTTTCAAATAAGGTTTAAGTCAAAATAGAAAGTTGAAGCAGCTGCCGAAGTTGTGTGGTCTTAATTCTTTATTCTGTGTCTCCCTCTTGTGGCCAGTGTTGTGGACTATACAATGAGTGAGTCCGGCCTCCAGCGTGACCAGCCCCCGCTTCTAGGCAACATTTCCTCTGTCTCTGTGGTCATATTGAAGAATGACAATGCTGAGGGTATCCTAGAGTTCAGGCAGGACTTTGTCAACATAACAGGTAAAAGTTCAGGCAACGTCATTTGAACCTGTTTGTATTGATGTATTTTGTGTCATAAGTCTTTAAATACACATTTTTTTCTAATGGTTGTTCTTTCAGTTGAGGAGGATGTTGGCACTCTGTTGATCCCAGTGGTGAGAAGAGTGGGCACATACGGATCGGTCTCAGCTCAGTTCGTTTCTAGAGGCCTAGGTGCAACACCTGACCTCGACTACATCCTGAATAATGACTCAGTGACATTCGAACAAGGCCAGAACACCAGCTACATCAATGTCACAATCATAGATGACATGGACAGGTGAGAAAAAATATGAGAAATATTTAAAATGATCATTTATTATATTAACTTATGAATAAATACAGTATATCAAGCAAACAGATCCATCATGCCATTAATGTATCATAACGTAAAGATGTATTATGTCTTTAAATTCAAGTAATTCTAATTTAACGTTGTCTTCATCAGTGAGCACGCAGAGATATTTGAGGTCCTCCTGGTTGGAGCAACAGGTGGAGCAATTCTCGGCTCTCAGCAAGTTGCCAGGGTAACCATTGCCAAGAGTGACTCTCCGAGTGGTGTGGTCCGTTTCCTCAACGAGAGCCTAATTACCGTGGTCAACCCAAACTCCACTCTAAAACTCAGTCTTGTTTTAGAGAGAGCAGGGGGCCTGGTGGGCAATGCAACGGTACAGGAGACGATATAGTTCAAAAATACTTTTACTCAACCACAGCTGCACTCCCTAAGGTTTCATTTGACACAAAAACTTCAATCTCACATTACTCTGTTACAGGTAGCTTGGATTATCCTGGGCCCTAACAGCAGAGAGGCCCTTAATCCATCCAATACAGACATAAGAGATCCTGTGAATGGGTCGTTCTTCTTTAGAGATGGAGAGGAGAGCACACGCAGCATAGAGCTGAGGATTCTCCCTCACGGAGAGGTGGAGGTGGAGGAAACGTTTGTCATAGAGCTCAGCGTTTTGTCAGGAGAGATAGACGTGGATTCTCAAGCCGGTTCTGTAACTTTAAAGGTACTTTTTTGTTTTTCTTTCAAGATTAATTTTATACTATAATTGAACATAACTTGCGAACCATAGCACCTAATGTCCCCTCTTGTTCATCTGTCCTCCAGATAGAGAAGTTCGGTGATCCCAATGGTATAGTGCAGTTTACTTCACATGCTCTTCAAGAGCGTGTCTACAATGAATCCACAGAAGCAGAGGGTCCCTTTAACATTTCACTGTTGGTTACACGTAGGGAGGGTGTCATGGGTAATATCACGGTAAGACAACATCATATATATTTGTTATTTCTCACTCAAATCAAGCACAATATAAATCTTTGTGGTTGTTCTAGTCCAAATGTAACCATATTATCTCAAATATCAGGTGCACTGGCAGATACAGAGTGACTCAGATGTGACAGGAGACTTCCAAGCCTTGGCGGGCTCAGTGATGATCTTTGATGGCCAAAGGGAGGCTGAAATTATCCTCAGCCTCATGCCTGATACAGTGCCAGAGCTGGAGGAGCTGTACACCGTCCAGCTCACAGCTGTGGAGGGAGGCGCTACTCTGGACTCCAATCCAAACCTCATCAGAACACACATTAGGTTTGCCATGGTGTTTAACTCAGTATTATACAGTAACATTCAGGCCAGATGAAAAATGAAGTACTTAATCTTCCTCTCTTACTTTTAGGGTGCTTGCTAACGACGAACCTCATGGTGTCTTTTTCCTGGATCCTGAGCATCAGTCTATAGTGGTTGTAGGGTCAGGGTCTGAGGTCACCAGAGCTCTGGTCCTGAATGTGACACGTCTCGCTGGGCTGTTTGGAAACACAAGTGTGGGTTATAGGATCAGTGGAGAAATCAATGAAGAGATGGACATGGACGAGATACTGGGAAGAAAAGCTGAAGGAAAGCTGTTATTGAGAGAGGGTCAGACCTTCAGTACCATCACTGTACCCATCAGCAGCAAGGTATGGATGCTTCATAAGACTGAACAGCTTTATGAGTGACTGTAGAGAAAAAAGAGGACTTTTTTGTAGCCCATGTATAACATTTGTTTGCTACATTGCCTTTTTTGTAGGTATTTTTGTCAGTGGGTGAGAGCTTCACAGCAGAGCTGACTGATGTAAGACTAGTCAGTCCTCTTCTCGGCTCTCCTCCTCGCCTCCTAAAAGAGGCCAGTGTTGCTACAGTGACTGTTCCTGAAGAAGCTGCCAGCTCTGAGGCAAGTTATGGATGTTTTTGTTTTTTTGTTTGTTTGTTTTTGTGAAGATATAAACATTATTTTTAAAAGGAGGGGGATTATTATTGGCACCCTCTGCAGGACTCTTGGGGTGCGAGTCTTGCTATCCATGAGTGCTCTTTGAACAGGTCTTAGTGTCTTGCTTGAGGACACTCAGTTTGTATTTTCTGTCAATTATGAAAAAGCTTTTTCCATCCAGAGTATAGATCAGTAAACATCAGCTGTGAGGTACTGCATCATCTTTTTGAGAGATCCCTCTGTATAGATATTTCATTTCAAATCTTACATCATATTTTCTCAACTTAATATAGAAAATTAGTTTGTCTTCTCTGTGATCACTCTGAGCACACCGGTACTTGTACATGTACTTAAATACTAGTTATAGAAATTTTATGACGTACCTTGTGGTCACATTTTAAACCCTTTTCTTTCACATTTGTTGTGCAGGTTGGCTTTGCTTCCCTGGCTCTGAAGGTTTCAGACATAGAAACCGGGGCATGTGACGCAGAAGTGACTCGCACAGGGCTGTTTGGTGATGTAAGGGTGCAGTGGAATGCTGGATATCCGATAGGTCAGGCTCCACCCGGGCTCCAACGTGGTGTGATCAGGCCAAGTTCAGGTAAAACAGAGAAGTATTACATGAAACCAGTTATAGACCTAAATAGACCTTTTCTTTTCTTTTCTTTTCTTTTGTTAACCCAGTTTTATGTTTTTGATTAAATGAAAAATTCAATCAGGCTAATGGCAACCTGCATATTTTATTGTTGGTCTAATTTCAGGCTCACTGACCCTGGTCCATGGGGAGAGGTCTAAAGTCATTTCACTGACAGCTGTTGCTGATGCGTCCGATGCAGCATCTTACGCCATACACCTCACATCTGCAACAACGAGCACTGCTGCAGGCGCTGGTACCGTCAGGCTTAAGTAAGGCTTTAACATTGTCTGACTTCAGATATGTTGCTGATGATTTAAAGGTTCCTTTTGCTTAATAGGCCAGCACTCACAGAGACACACACTGAGTTTCTATCTGAGTGAAAGTATCAAATGTCAATCTCCCCGAACAGGTCAGGATCTACAGTGGCAGAGGTGGAGCCCCTGGGAATCTACCACTTCGCCCCTGATTCCCGCCAGATGGTCATTGCAGAAGATATTCAGACTATCACACTTTATGTCCAAAAACTCTACGGTTCTCGCAGCAACAGCACCCACCTGTCTTATACAACAGTATCAGGCAGCGCGGCAGCTGGAGAGGACTTTATTGCGGTGCCAGATGGCCGTTTGGTCTTTGACTCACCTCGCCAAACCAACGCTTCCTTCCGCCTCTCAATACTTGACGACTCCCTCTCAGAAGCTGATGAGCACTTTTACGTCAACCTTACAGATGTTCAGACTGTTGATCCAGATCAAGCGTGGGCAGAAACTCCGCCTCGCCTCAACCCTCAGCACAGTGTGGCCACTGTCACCATCCTGGCTAGTGATGTGACAGGAGGAGTGCTGAGTATTGGACCCGCAACGGTTCAGGTCCCTGAAGACAGGGATGAGGAGACCCAGCAGGAGAGGAGGGTGAAACTTAGAGTCCGCAGGTCTGACAGTGCAGCTGGGGCTGTGAGCGTCAGAGTTCAGGCATTTGGAGGTTTGTTTGTTTTATTGAACTGCTTTAACACTTTAGATTTTAATTTACTGTGATGTTTCAGATCCTAAATTTGTGTGTCTCTATCCAGATGGAAGTACAGCACCTCCTCCCTTCACCCTGGAACCAGTTGGGGCTCTGGCGAAGGAGGAACAGGACTTCCGCCTCGAGTCTACCATAGTGTCTTTACAGGCCGGTCAGAATGAGGCAGAGGTTGTTCTTGTCATCCTGGATGATTCAGAGCCTGAGGGAGAGGAAGTTTTCTTCATTTACCTCACTGATCCAGAGGGAGGAGCACAGATCACTGACAGTCCTCACCTGGGCTTTGGAGCTTTTACAAAGATCACCATCCTTGGTAAAAATGACGGTTAATGTAGTGAAAGATTTAAAAAAAAATAGAATTGAACCTAAATACAAAAACATGTTCCATGTTCAGAGCTGTAAATTGACCCCAATAATGTCTTTTGAGTCTTATCAGATGAACCAACAGAGGTATAGAGGTATCTCAATAGATGATGAATGACTCAGTCTCCTTTTCAGTTTTCATTAATGTCTCTTGATTTGCATTAAGTCCTTGCTCCAGCTTCTATTCCTGGCTTAATTTCTTACATAATCACTGCATTATTGGCTTATGATTTGATTATAATGCTTGTATGATGAATCACAATGTAATTGATTAAGAAGACTATGAGGTTATAAGGAAACTGGCTTCCTAATTGATCTTATTCCCTTTTCCTCTTATTCACACACCAGGAAGTGACTTCCATAATGGTATCGTAGGGTTTAGTCTCGGTTCTCTCCTTGGCAAAGTTTTGGATGAGGATTCAGAGAACAGAACCGCTATCCTCTATCTGCAAAGACAAGAAAACAGGTAATGAAATAACACTTTTTTTTTTGGTTATGGGTAAAAATGACCCTCTGAATCGATCAATTTCTGCCTGAGATATGTTTGCAGTTCTTCCTCTTCAAGTGTGTCTTCCTTTATTTAGAGTGTTTGAGGATTTGCAAGTCTTCTGGAGAGCAACCTTCAGCAAGGCAGCTCAGACTCTCATTAGCAATGGGGTAAACCTAACCAGAGAGCTCGTGCAGACCTCAGGAGCAGCATTATGTAAGAGAGGAGAGACTATGTGCGCTCTGATCCTGGAGGTCCAGGATGACGAGGTGAGAGCTGCTGCAGAGGTTTCTGATGCTGTTGCATGTTTTATTTTTACAGAGCTGAAAATCTCCCTAATCCTACAAGGAAACACTAGAATACAAATATGGTAAAATAATAACTCGATAACTGATCACCCATCTGTGTTACCATAGGAACCAGAGCTGCAGGCCTGGTTTTTGGTGGAGATTTATCAAGTGGGTGCTGGTGCCACCATTAATGAGACCAACCGGTTTGCCAACATCACCTTAGCGGAGAGTGATGACCCACAAGGAGTTGTGTACTTCGCCGTGGGCCACAGACTGCCCGTCGCCACCCTGATGACCACGAGGCTCAGTCTCCAGGTTCATAGAAGAGCAAGCACAGCCTCAGTTATGTCTGTACAATATCGCACTCTGGTACGTATGAAACACGTGTGCAATTGGAATATTTTGTTTTTCAAAATTCAAGTTGTGACATAATTCATAAGGTTTTTGACACTGAGGGTCCTGAACTTTTAGTATACTCTTATTGTTTATTTTTATTCGTCCAACAACAACAAAAAAATGTATCGGTCATGTCTCATGTCATCGCCACCAAAGCATCAGGATGAGAACATCAGCAGTATCTTGGCTGTACTCAGTTTTGGGGATGTAAATTATCCACAAGTACTTTTTTTTTTCTCTCGGAGATCAAAGTGACAGTTTTCAGTGCTCTCAAAAAAAGGTCTCAGTGAGACACATGGTAAGGTCACCTGCTTTCATCTCTTTGAGCCAAAACACGCTGTGAGACACAGAGGGTTTGATGCATAATGAAAGCGTTGCTGTCATTTAGATTTTTCAGCATGGTCACTGCACTCATCTACCTTTGGTCCGGTGGCAAAACAGACTGTAAGACCACTGTCAACCAAATCAGAATTTTTAGTCTTGATAGGTCAGAGTAGCAGGTTTTTTTTTTATCCTTTATTTTTATGATTAGATGTTTTAACATTAAACAAGCAGCGAAACAAAAGTAACAAAGAAGGTAGCAGACAGGTTCGTTACAGGCTTAAAATGCAAAAACTCACGAAAATGTTTGTTTCCAGAATGTAAATCCAAAGCTGGGCCGTGGGGACACATTCATTTATACATCACGTCCAAGTTCAGTCTTGTTTCTCTTCAGATCATATAAATCTTTCACCTTTTTCATCATATCCAACACAAATTGAAGAATGTGACATCTGTACAGGATAAGACAAGCATTTTCAGTTTGTTAAATTTGTATAAGATTTCCAGGGTTTCCAATACCTCTCAAACTTAGCACTAGCATATCTCAGGGAAAATGTCAAACGCTTCATTATATAAATCTCCCCTATGATCTCTGTCCATTCCGAAATAGATGGTAGGTCCTTGCTGAGCCATTTTTTGGTTGTTGCTTTTTTGCAACCAACCAATAGAATCCGTATCAAGTACCTGTCTTGTTTCCTCATGGTTTTTGGTAAATTCCCCAAGTAAATAAGACTGAAAGAGCGCTCTATATCTGACCGTAGGATTGAAGTAATTTCTTTCATTGCACATTCCCAAAATGGTGAAAGTGCAGGACACTCCCAAAAAATGTGGAAATGTCCAGCAGATATATTGCCACACATCCTCCAACAGTGACCAAGCTTGGGTCTGTTAGTCTAGACAACTGTTAGTCTGTTAGTCTCCAACACACCTGATTCAAATGATTAGCTCGTTATTAAGCCATTACAGAGCCTGATAACGAGCTGATGATTTGAATCAGGTGTGTTGGAGCAGGGAAACATCCAAAACATGCAGGACAGTGGGCCTCGAGGACTGGACTTGAGGACCACTGGTATAGAGTAGCAGGATTTTATAAAATTTTTCAGTGATTATTTATGCATTACATCATATAGATTCATTTTCAAATTAATGCTGGTGAATACGACCACGGTCAACACAAACATTTCTGTTTCTCCTGTAGGAGCTGCCTGGACATGAGGCAGTGGGCCCCTCTATAATCCACCCCGCTAAAGCAGGAATGGACTTTCCCAAACAGGAGGGCACACTAACCTTCAATGTGGGTCTTCCAAACGCATCATTGGACATCTTCCTCACACCTGACCTCGCCTCATCATTACCAACGCCAAAGCGCTTTTGGGTGGAGCTCTACAACGCCACAGGGGGAGCCAGGGTGCACCCTGAATTTGGGCTGGCTAATGTAACTGTGGTGTCAAACGCAGCAAGTGAAGCTACTTGGGTCTTACTGGACCAGTTACATCAGCCTCTAAGCCCAAATATACTAAACCAGGTGCTACAAAGACTGATCGATGAGGTCACCACGCCACTCTCTCGTGAGCAGATGACTGCTGTGCTTGAAGCCTTAGGAAAGGTAAGAGCATTAGAGACAAAAAAAACATCTCCTTTGAACGGATTACTCCACATTTCTTAAGGTCATTTGGATGAAGTATTATTGTCTTACTATCATAAAACCAAATCTTTGAAAGGAAAAATGATTCACTATATTTTACCAGAACTTTGTAAGTCTCAGTTTATCCTAAACTTAACTGCAAATATCACGATATTGGTTTGCACTTGAGTCTTTCTAGTATTGAATCAGAAGTCAGTGAAAAAGAAAGCATTTGTGTGGTTCTGTTTTTTCACAGCTTAAAGCCGGTGAGCCAGTGCATCTCTGTCAGACAGATCTGTGCTTAGGGGCAAACATCATCTCCACTTCCTTGCTCTGACAGATCAGAGAACCCGCTTGTCACCTGAAAAGATCTCAGTTGTCACTCTGCGTAACGGGCTGTGATCACCGCGCCGCTCTGGTGTTTGAGTTAACATATGGCTCAGCTAGCAGACAAGCGGAGACACCGGCGTAATTTAGAATGAAGGAGGAAGGTGCAGGGGGAAGGAAGAGAGAGCACAGACAACCGAGGAGAGCTGCACAGCATGAGAAAACGTGGTATAACACAGACGATAAGAAAAGAGAAGGAGACAGCTCAGAAAAAGTGGAAGTAATTCTTTAAAAAGAGCTCAATGACTGAATTCAGAAAAGTTCTGTAGAGAGTAGACACAGCCAGGAAGGATGGAAAAGATGACGAGAGCAAACATAATATCAAAGGGATCAAATTAAAAATAATACTAAAGCTATCAATTCATTGTTCTCTAACAATAAGCCCACAATTGTCTCTGTCTATTCTCTATCTCTTTCTTTCTGGTTTCTATGATCCAGGTACTTGCAGAAGCAGAGAGGACTCCTTTACAGCACAGTAGCCGCAATTTGACCTATGACCTGCTGTGCGCCTTGGCTAATCCTGGCAGAGTTGACACCCGGGGCCTCAGCTACCTCGCTGAGGTGGCTGAGAGATTTGCCTTCTCCCTCCTCACAGGCAGCCAGTGTGAGATGTGAGTGAGCTTGTTGACGGATTTTCCAGGTATTATTCTTACAAATCCTTGGATTAAGGTGCTCTTACTTGGTATTGCTTCCTTGTGTGTTTCCTGCAGAAGGGGTTCCATCCTGGAGACTTGTCCCTACATGACCATCTCTGCCCTGCAGTGGTACCCTACACAGATCAATGGACACAAATTCAGGGGGCGTAACGCAGACTTCTTCCAGCTCCCCGATCGCCTGCTCGCTGTACCAGCATCGCCCACAGCTGACTGTGCCAACCTCAGCCGGGTTCAGCTGACTGAGTTCAGAGCTGAGCACTGGTTTCTGACCAATGATACAAACACGGCCTTTAATGGGAAGGTATTGGAACAGTGATACAGATCAAGTCATTTAATCAGTCATCTAATCCAAACACAAACCTCTGATGTGTTTGGTTGCAAACAGCAGGTGGCAGTATTACTCCAACATTGACATGTGGTTCAGTCCACTGCTGAGCACTCCTTTCTTCTCTTTGTCACAAGGTTTTCTCAGCCAGCCTCCAGGACAGGGGGTCACAACCCTTAGAAGATGGCAACGAGGTGGTGTATCGTATCCACACCCCAGGACACCAAGTCAAACCAGGCCGCTCTGTGTGCCTTCTCTGGAACCAGACCACTGCAAGGTAATCCACTACCTGGCCAATCAGAAACATGAACTTACACAGTGAGATGACATCCAGAATGTTTCTCGTCACAGTAATCGTCACTTTTGCCTGTCATTTATGAAATAAGCGAGACTAATCCACTGAGTATAAAAGTCTAACTTAAGCTTCTCAAAAAGACCTCATGGGAAAGTTGCATCTCTCTGCTGTATATCTGTACATAAAGCCCACTGCACTCTGAATTCTCTCCCTTGGAGTAAGTTTGTTATGTACATTCCTGGGGTGTGGACAGAAACTTGGCAGGAACATTATGTTACAAGTTAAGAATTGGCAGGTTTTGCCGGAACAGCCACTTGGATGATGTCCCCCTCGGAGTAAAATAGATTAAAGAGGGTGGAGAGAAAAGTCAAAGTCAGGCAGAGGTGAAAGTTGAAGAGCAGCTTTCCTGCGGTGAACAGAAGGTCAAAGTAAAATTATGGGTGTATTTTTTTCCCCAGAAGGAAAATGGCCATGACGCTCTGATTTGTTACACACCATCTTTGAATGCAAACACACCAAACCCCACAGAGTATAATAGACGTACATGTAAACATGATGATGCATCCTCTCCTCTCTTCTCTAGCTGGTCATCAGATGGTCAATACTGCAGGGTTGTGAAAGAGAGTGGGAGCTATGTGGAATGTGCCTGCTCCCACTTGTCTATCTACACAGCCTACGCAGAGTTTGCCACCCTTGCATCCTACAACGAGGCCTTCTTTGCCTCTGGATTTATCTGCATTTCAGGTACAAAACACACCCTCACTTGCTTTTTCTTGTGTCTCTTCTGTTCGTCCTCTGCCTACTTGCCTCCTATTCACTTTACTCTCTGGTGGATTCTTTTACAAGAGCTTAATCTCTCACATTCCTCCCACATTGATATAAATAAGCACAGTCTATTTGTGCGAAAAGAAAAAGTCATTAATATTGGTTTGATCATGTTTTCCTCTTCTCCCTCTTTTAGGCTTTGCATTGGCCATAATATCCCATGTGCTGTGCTCCCGTTTTCCTATGTTTGCTGCCAAACTGCTCACTCACATGATGTTGGGCTGCCTTGGAACCCAGGTAAAACTGCTCTTCTCACATCTTAAGTCGTGCCAGATTTACTAAAAAACCAAAACAACCATAATCCCGGTAGTTTATGGAGGCTGGAATCTTCATACTCCCACTCAATCTGCATTTATTTCTTAGCCAGTTGCATCTGTTTTTCGTGGCACATTCTCAATAATGTATTAAATATTGAATAATAGGAAAGCTTGTGATATTGTAATAGAGGCATTCATCTTTCTTGTCCAAATGGATCAACACCTCATATATAAACACAGTGATAATGCACGGAAAGCAACACAGACCTTTGTTTTTCACAAAGTACAAATACTGGCAAACATATTCATGCATTCTTTATATAAAAACATCTACATATATTGAGAGTGCATGCACACACACACACATACACACACACACTGTATGCAACCGGCTCCTCTTGTTAGCCACAAGACATGTCACAGGTATTTTCTTGGAAGTGTGCATAGATGCGAACACACATCATCCAATGTCATTTGTTGCGTAGTTTGCGGGCTGCGCGTCATGACAACGCAACCATGCCCCCCGCACCCTCGGCCATTAAAAACGCAAGCTGTCACATAAGCAATGAGCGAGATAGATATGTGGCCGCAGGTTAGTCTCACAGCGGGTGCAGGCCATGCATGTGTGTGTATGTGCGCATGTGTGTGTGCGTGAGGGAGTGCGGGACTGGTAATTTTCCACTGGTCCCCCTCTCCTTGGTTGACAAACACGAGCCCCTACTAAAGCAGACTGTCGTTGGGGGCTAACCACCTCAGGCTCGACCTGTTTATGGCCCAGGCAGAGCCCCTGAACCTGAAAGGGTTTTGGATGGAAAATTCCGTCCTGTTCTGTTTCTTCGTCGTCATCGTCGTCGGTACTGTACTGCATGTTAGGCTACTTCCTTTGATGTGCACGTGTCTGACATTGTGCTATTATTTAGGAAAACATGGGTGTGTTTCTGTGGCCTTGAGTCAAGGATAGATGATGAAGGCCTGAAATCCAGACTGTTGCACTGAAGACTTACCTGAATGTGCACACTGGGATTAAAATGTATCCTCTAAATGTTCATCTGGCACGTTCTGGTCCACCACTGGGTTGAGTGCTGAACTTTAATAGACCCACTCCTGTCATTGTCTCCACTTAAGAATGAAGTGTAATTATAGTATGAGTTAGCTAGCTCAAGATAGAAAAACACAACCTACTTTAAATGCATGTCATCTTTTTGGTTGGCTTTTTCACTCTGTGTTTTGTGTTACTAAGATGTAAGTAGGCCAATACAAATTATGTGTATTTTATCATAATATATAAGCACAAAGTTACATTTCTTTGCTATAATATAACGTTGTGTCGGGCCACTTATAAGGGGCAAATACAATTTCTTTAACCACTAAATAAATGGTTGGAGCTTCATTTAGGTTACTTCATAGATATTACACTAAGAGGTTCAAATGTAGTTCTCAAAATGATGAATTAGAGTAAAATACCAAAGTTTTGACAGTGCATAAAACATATTATGATAGGGATCCATTTTTGCGCTCAGTTTTTATCAAGAGGTGACTGTCAATGACTGTCAACTTCGGGGTTCAGAATTGATATTTTACCTAATTTTGCATTTTAAACAGCATTGTTAAAAGCAGCTCTGTAGAGGTCATCGTGTATATTTGCAGCTTAAGCTCAGCATCAACAATTATTGTTATATTTTTCCTTTAAGAGGGCTGAAGATCATACAACCTGAGGATATGAGTTGTTGTATTATGACAGTTTTCTGAGCTTCAAAGCCCCAGTCTGATTTTCACTCACCATTAATTTGATCTGTCAGGTTGAGCTGACATCTGTGGATGCTGAGCTATGAGGAAAGTAAATTGAAGCTGCCAGTTTCACTCCTAACCCCTCTGTGAGATTGTGAGAGTCGAAACCAGGTAGAAGACACTACCTGCACTACTTGCCTTATTTTCTTCAATAAGCATCCCCTCTTTGGCTGCAGACTTTACATATTTTAGCATGATCTATGAACTATCAAAACTATGAAAACAGATTCCCGAACATTATCAGATTTTAGAATGATATACATAAACTATTGGTTTTGGTGTCAATACACTGACAGGGTGACAGACACATGGCCAACATCAATGACAGACCTACTAAGATTTAAAGTGAATTTTCCCATCCGCCACCTTTCAGTCTGAGATTTGTGTGTATGAGTGTGTGCGTTTAAATGCTCATCCTTGTCACATCAGAGGTTGAGCTTTGACAACCTCTTGCTCTGGCCAACAGTTTGTCCTCCGCTCAGCAAGACAACTGAAGATTGTCTGTGCAGAGTGGAAATTTACCCAGTGCATATGCAATGGAAGTAAAGCTTCAGGCCATATGTGAGTGTGTTAATGTAAATGTACCAACATTTGCATGACAACAATGAGGGATCGTATTTGAATAATAGCAAGTTGACAAAAATATTCAATATTTTATCAGCCAAAAACAGCAGTTTAATAAACACACATTGTGCGTATTTCAGTTTTCTTGACCTTTTTAAGAAAATGAACTTTTGCACTGACAAAGACGTGCAGTGTTTGACTTCCTCCACAGTTATACGCAACTTCAAACCAATAAAATCTTGTATAAACTCTTAGGTCAGTTCCTTGCGGTTCAGTTTGTCTCTAAGGGACAGATCCTTTCCTGCTTAATTCTGCTTTATTTACAAAAAACATAAATCTATGACGAAAATTACAGCAAGCTTTCACATCTGATGACATCTTTTGGGGTTAGTGGGCTCTGTAAAAAAAAACACATTTCCAGTTTCTTCCATTTGAACTCCCTTTCTCTTGTTTTCTTATTTCACAAGCTTAAGGGCATTTCATCGTCTTACTTACGGTCATCCCTTACCCACCACTCCAGAAAAAGTAAAGAGTGTTTGTCTTAAATCCTTGCCAAGGGGATTCCCAGCAGAGGATTAAAATGATTTCCAAACAGCACATGGCAGGGGTTATTGACGTTGTTCGAAGGAAAGATGAAGAACTGGCACAGAGGCAAAATTTATTCCGCTCCGTTTAAATTCAATCTTTGGCACCCCCTCGAATTAAGAGCTGTTATATAAACACGGATAAAAGTCTCTTAACATTGTTTTTCTTTTCACTGTCTGGTTTTGCGCTTGACCAAAAACTTCACATGAAATCTTTCAGCCTGGTTGATTTCTGAGCCGTTTTTGTGCTAATGTGGGAATAAGAATCTAATCTCCATCTCTACTGCAAACAAAGCACAATGTGATTTTGGATGCGATGTAATTAAACCTCCTTCCACATCTCAAAACAGCCTTTCCCACACGCTCAGTGAAATGTTTATCCCAGTGGTCCTAGTGCTTTATTCCAGTATATGGGAGGTGTTTAGGTGACTCTTAGTTTGGTTATAGAGGATTTCCTGTTAGCTCTGGGAATGGATCCAGCATTCAGAAGTCTGTGCCTCATCCAAACACACACACACACACACATGCCTATCCACTCACTTCTACCCTGTTACACCGAACACCCTCCACCCTTACATCCCGTCTCTAACAGAATAAAGAATCCATGATTGCTGCCGCCGTGTTTCCTAAATGTTCCTGTTTGTCGTCAGTGGTTATGTGTACGTGATGGGGGAGATTTAAGTTTTGAACAACCGCGCACTCTCCAGGAAAGGGGATGTATGAATTGCGTAATCCGAGTCCTTACTGTGTCCTTTTCTCCGGAGCTTGAGCTCAGCACAGGTCTTTGTAATGTAAGTGGGTGTTTGTGCTTTTCCAGAGGAAGTTTATCTGTTCCCATCAGGAACAATCAAACATTAAATCGATAAAAGTGAGGTCTAGATGACGTCAAAGAACACACTTTTCAGATTAGATTCGGCCCTTATGGCTTAAAGTGTCAAAAAGAAAAACGAGAGGACAACTTGAGCACTGGAGTGTTGAAATTGAGAACTATTGTTTTTGTCAAAAAAATTGAGACAAATCCAAACTATCTAAAGTATCTGCATAAAACGTCCTAAAACTGAATAGATCAAAGTGTTCCTGTAAGTCTTTACACATTAAAAGGATATTTATGAATGTAAATGGACCAGTACTATATATCCAACTGATTCATTCGCTTAGTTATGTTATAGCCTCATTCTTCACTCCAGTTTTCATGAAATGAAGAAGTCCTCATCATGTCCTTGGTAACACTGTGCAGCAGCTTTGGGCCCTTTTCTGTCTGTCAGCTGAAACTAATGGCTGTTAAGTATGAAGGGGTGTAATGTGACAGCAGACGAGGCCTGCCAGTGTTACTGTGTGAGTGTGTAGACGGCACAGTGGAGAGGTGAAGACGGCCTCTTGGGAGACTCACATTACGCTCCACTGCCTGGTCCAACACTTTTCTGCCTGGTGTCGCCCTGACTCCTCTCCTCTTCATCTGATCCGTCTCCGCTCAAGTCAGCAGCGTCTTTCTTACACTGTTCATCATGACCTTGGCTGTTTTTGCCTGACTCTGATAAACAAGACCGAACTCTCCTCTTTGTCTCTTTATTTCCTAGTTTTACTTTCATTTCTCTCTACCCCCGCTAGCTTTTTTCCCTGCTTTTATTCCACAAAATGATGATGAGTAATGCCCCTGTTTCTATTCTTTGTCCCCTTCATCATTGTGGCTGCTGGGCTTAGCAGGGAGCTGTGACATTACAAGCCTACAGAAAGACTCTCTCAGTCTGTTTTTTTCTGCTTCCTCTCTCTTTATCCTAGTGAAGTGGCTGATCACATCCTGTGTGACTCATCAGCTAAAATAATGACAACACTCTTACATTACATAGACACTTGGTGCACACAAAGGGTTTTTTATTTGTCTGATCATAACCAGGTATCTTGTAAACACAAAGTGATATTCCCTGTTTTTTAGTTAGCATTTTTTGAGGGGGGCTCTAAGTAGCCCCAGCTGTAGTATTACAACAGTAGTTACATTAACTTCTTTTAATAATTCAGTTAAGTCATTAATCTCCTAATTTATTTTGTACAGTATTGCAATAGTTAGTTTTAAGATAATGACTAGAGCTGTGTTGTTTTTTGCATTGTTCTTTTTAATTATTTACATTTGCAAAGGTTTTGAGCAGTTAGGCTTCACATGTTCAACTGTTACAGCTTCTAATCCCTGCAAAGGTAAAGTAAACTGGATCAAGTATTGATCCCCTGACCATCCGTTCTCCTGCTGCAGACTCTGCCCTCCATGGACTTTCCTCTATTTCTAAACACAAGGCTGTAGCAGTCATTCACTTTTCTCATGGTGTCTATAATCAGGTCCACTTTGCCTTGCAGCTGTGAGACATGGCACTGGCATCTGACAGAGGTGGGGGAAAGTCCCTATGTTGCAAGTCCAAGTGGAGTCTCAAGTCTTTGCTCTCAAGTCTCGAGTCAAGTCCAAGTCAACACAGACAAGTCTCAAGTCAAGTCCAAGTCCTGAACTTTTTGTTTCGAGTCCCAACCAAGTCCTAGGAATTTTGTTTCGAGTCCCAACCAAGTCCTTACCGTTTCTTTCAAGTCAAAAACAAGTCATATCAAAGCCATAAACCATTTGTTATATGTCAAGATTTACATAAATCATGAGCATTTTTCACTATTTGCATTTATTTTTAAACAAGGGTTCTTGTTTGTGTTAAGTTACATAGTGCAGCTTTACCCAAACTATTTTACATGTCATACAAAAAATTATCAGATAAACTTCAATGATTAGAAATTTAGACAATGTGCACAAAAATAAGGAAGACTCAAATACAATTAGACATTAAACTGATACTCTAATTCACTGTTCCAAAACAAAACAACAGAGAGGCACAAGGCAACACGTGGAAACAGGCGGGCAATACTAGCGAGCAAACTACTAGCAGTCCTACCGGTGTTGTTGTTATGAGGGGAGCTAGAGTTTGAGACAGTGTTGCCAAGTTTCGTGAGAGAAATAAGGAAACAGATCTCCAGAAACAAGACAAAAACAAGCGAATTTTTTATGCGGGAAATAAGCAGACTTGGCAACACAACACGGTGTTACCAACGGCCGTAATTCCTGACTATTAGTTGATGCGACACTTTTTAAACGGTTTGGGCTTGCTGTAAGGTATTAAGTGACTTGAAAAGACTTGACTTGACTTTTCAAGTCACTGGGCTCAAGTCAAGCCAAATCAAGTCTCAAGTCTTTAGCAATCAAGTCCCAAGCAAGTCCAAGTCATTTCTTGAAGTTATGGTGTGTCTTAACCTCTGATGATGAGCCAACAACAAAAGTTTCTGGAGTCAGTGTTTTAGTACAAGGAAATCAGAGTTTGACCTGAAAGGATCATTAAACTTCAGGTTTCTGTTTTATGTCCTGAGCTGTCCAGACTTCAGGCACCTTTCACCTGGTTTTGTGGAGTTACTCAGTTTGTCATCCAGGACTTCATCGAACAGCCACTCTGAATGATAAACACTGGAGTTCAATGTCCTCAGCAGTCAGCTCTATTTTTGGCGCTTGACAGCTTGTCTTGGCAGACATTTGTGTAAAGAGTGGAGTGAACTTTGGAGGTTTAGGGGGGAAAAAATCATGGTTTACTCTGAAACTCTTGAGGTCAGTGGCGTTTCTGTTCTAGCGTGATGTTTGCTCTGTTTTCGAGGTTAGACTGAACAGGATGTTTCCCATTTGGCTGAGTGTCTGACACTTAATATTCACGGTAATGCTGTATGGTGTCAACCCACTTTACAGTTAATAATTCAATCCGGAAGTTATTACTCAGAGAGGTTATGTTAAAAGTCTTTAGATATATTTGAGATTTCCTCAAGCAGAGCATGTTGTGACATTACAGAGAGGTTGTGATAGTTCTGTGATGCCAGCCTCATGGCCTGAAATAGAGAGTCGCCTCACTTCCTTGAAAAATCAGGAAATACTGAATGGAGAAAGGAAATTATGTATCCTCTGTATCTCCTGCTGTATCTATAATTGGGTCTTTTGTTCTTCGCTTATCGGAAAATTGTCATCGGCGTGTCCTCTGCACAATTCAGTAATTTGAGGTTGAGGTAATTATAACATTGTAGGCTGAGACATCATCACCCCAACAACAAACATACACTCAGATAAACAAATCCACACACATGAATGCATAAATAAATGCTCATCATATTTTAAGAAAAAGAACCCCTTTCTGTACATTGTGGTTTTGAAACACATGCATATGCTCACATTCATACATGTGCAAACACGCATAAACATGCACAGATGGCTGTATGTGCACATGCCCACTTCTATCAGCCTCTCCGTCCTGTGCATCCACACACAAAAACTCCCCGAGTCACTCACAGCCTGCAGCTTTCTGTCACTTTGGCCTTTAGGGGTCACTGTAGCTCCACAGACAGAGCCAAGTTCAACGTCAGCCTAGAATGAAGTGACTGATCAATAACTCCCACTGAGCTCTTCTTTTGGGGACCAAGAAGTATTTGGAGTACAGTTAAAATACTTGCACTGATATTGAGATGAAAACAGTCTTTCTCGCTGTAAACGTCTTCTTAAATGAGATGTTTAAACTTCAATATCCCACCCTGCATCAGGACCATCTATGTAAATAAGTCTAATGAGCTACAAGCTATTTTGCAAATCAGTTTGGCAAAATAACCACAGCCACAGGATGAATTCAAGTCCAAGCATTGCTCTCATTTAGTCTAAGTTGGAGTTTGTCGTGGATTGAGGCCAAGTGATTATACAGAGCGTGATAGTACAGCTGTGGCTCTGATTAAATCTAAATTACACTGTGTGTTACCAAAGCACAATGTAAAGCAAGAGTGTGTGCAGGAGCAGCATGAACGCTGCACAGACTGTTTAACTCAATGGGCCTCTTCACAGATTGATTAGAGTTATAGTCATGCATTGACTGACAATCAGTGCTGCAGAGCAGCCAGTTTACACAGAATGGAGCTCCCCTGGATCGATGGCCTGTTGGACAGCAGTGGGTGAAGCATCTGTGAGTCCATGTAGGTATCCGCACACTCTCAGATCAATACCATTCGGCTCGCTATTATCCTTTCACTGAGAGAAAAAGCAACAACTTTGGTGAAGCAACAGGTCACCTTAAAAGGGTGTGCATGTTTTCTTACAAATACAAGGAGGTAAAGTCAGACCTGTGATGGCAATGGAGGTCGTTAAACAGACTGAATCCATGTAGCACCAAAGCAGTCTCACATTAGATGTCACATTCATACTCTGACGGCAGAGGCTGTGCCCGTCTGTATAAACTAGTCCTACTCATGCACCTCTGTCACAGCCATCAGGGGCAGTCTGGACTTGTTTAGCCTAAGGAAACTTTGGTACTTCAGACAGCAGAACCGGGAACTGTACCCCCAACAAACCAACAAACTCTATTACTGAGCCACATGAGCTCGTCATAATCATATCTTATTGGTGTATTGTAATAACTCTACAAGACCTAGGAAGCCTTGAACAAACATAATGTCTTTTCTTTGTAATATATATGAATATTTGTCATGTTTGAAGTCAAATGATTCAAGCATTACTTTAGATGGTTCAGTCTATTCCTGCTGTATAGCTCAGAAAAACTCCAAGAGGCTTGTTTGTGGTTCAGAAAAGTCGGCCCACTGTGAGAGTGTGTTTAAGGAGCTGACCTTGAGCAGCTGTGTTTTTATTGGTGTGTGTATGCACATGGGTCCATGTGCGTGTGTCTCGTGCCTCACAGTGCAGGAGTTCTCTGTCTGCTCCCCAGACTGGCTCACACCAGATGTTGAGGAAGGAAATTGGAGAGCCTTCTTGAAAGCAGCCCCCGTTGTGATGGAAAGCAGCTGCAGGTCTCCAGCAGCAAACGTCTCTTTGACTGAAGTGTGAATGGGAGAAAAGAGAGAGAGAGTCTGCTGGAGTGCACATAAGTGTGTTTCATTGGGGTGTTCTATATGAAGGAGTTAGCTTTGGTAGAATCCTTTATGAGTTTACCATGAGGGAACTACAACTACAACGTGGAATAATTAGAAAAAGAAATTTACTGTTGATTTGACATTAGATGTACTACTTTTGGTTGTGAATTTAAGTTTTCTTAGAACAAATCTGGGATGTTTTTTGGTTTTCATGTGAAAGAAATGACTGTGGGAACTTGAGGGAAAAGTTTTAGCTTGTTTTAGCTGAATTATCACTTTGTCACAGCAGATCACAGTAAAACTCCCAAACCTGCAGATATCCCAGCTCATTGTTTATTCTAGGAATATATCATTCCCAAAATACATGGTAAGTTTCCTTGATATGATCCCTTTCCCGTTTGACGGAAGCACAGAGACACTCATTTACCGTCCGGCCACTTGTGCTCACGTAAGCAGATCTTGATGGTCTTGTTGTGGTTGTTTGTATGTAAAACAGACTAAAGGGGAGTGGGTGTTTATTTGACGACAGCTGGCTCAGCGAGAAAGCCTCAGCCTGAGGTTCAACCCAAAACACCTGTGAACTTTACTTTCAAACTCCGACCTTACGCAACTTGTCATGCTAGTCGAAGAAACCTCAAAGATAGCTGCTCATCAGCACACTGTGTACCTTGTGTTAGTGAGGCGACGCAAAATGCTGATAACTGAGAGGGGATGTATTTTTCTCACGATGAAATATGATACTCCAGACTATTACGATTTCATAGTTCTTCATTACAGATGCTCACGCTAAGCTCCTCTATATTTTATTTCTTATCGTCCTGACAACCTCACGCGTCACGTCACTGAATGTTGAATCACTCCTCCTTCTCCGCACGCAGTGGCCCACTAACCCAGCTATCAGCCATCCCCGTGTGACCTGCTTCTTGCCACCGCCTGTCCCGTGTGCTTCTGCACATCAACAACGCACACGCATGAACTGACAGGCACGTGAGGAGACTGATGATGCTCGTTCATACTAAAATGTGTGTGCAATGATGTTGAATGGCATCAGATTTAGTAAATCACCAGCAACTGAAATGCATTTACATTAGCAGTAAACAGGCATTGCAGAGAAATGTGTAATATGACACTTTTTTAGTGAGTTGGTCAGCTGCAGAGACATGGTAACTTGACAGGTAGAAATTGCTTCATCAAGGAAACGATGTGTTAAGGAATAACAGTAAATAATAACAATAAATCTTATATTTTCTTCCTTTTATACGATTGCTTTATATATTTCTGAACAAAGACAGAGAAGAAAACACCCAGAGTGCAGGCTGAGGCTGGAACCAGCTAGATCAGACCGGTAGCTGTTAGAGAGGGGGGAGGTGAAGGAGAAGAGAGCAGGAGGAGGAGGAGGAGGAGGAGGGGGAGATGTGATGAAGGGTGGAGTAGGAGATGGAGTTTTTGGGGGGTTGGAGAAAAAGACGGGATAAGGGGTGGGCTGGAGGAGGGGAGAGGTGGAGGTTAAGTGTTCTGGACACAAGGCTGGATGGATTGGCTGGCAGGCAGACAGCTAAGGCCTCATCCCCTCAGTGATGTAATGCATCAGGCTGATGCTATTTTTAGACACACTGGTTCGCTCAGCTTCCTCAGCGTCAGCACACAGGGCTATCGATCAGCAGCACTACTCATTGGGAAGATGAGATCTGCAGCAAGTAGCCGCTCGACAGCAGCTGCACCAAAATACAATGTTTCCCTGCATGCTGTGTGTTTCTGCAGCATTTATCAGACCTCTATTTAGCAGCAGCCTCTTTTATTCTCTAAGATGTTTTGATTCATTTTTTGCCGGTTCTTCTGTTTTCTCTATTTTCTTTTGATCAAAAGTGACTCCAGGAGACATTGTTTCAGTTTGCTGTCAGCATTTTTTTGTGATCTAACACTGCAGAGCTGAGGTTGGAAAGCAGACTTTGTGTTTTCCAGACCTGTCTATCATATCAAAGTGAGGTTAAATCTCTTTTTTTTAAAGATAAGTCGAATCACTCCAGGCAGCTGGAGATCTGTTACAGAAACAACAACAACAACAACAGTGAACTGACGGTCTCCTGGGTGCTTCAGGGCCATAAAACAAAGAGGTTCTCTCTGATTGGATGTTGAGGCTCGGAGTCTTAACCCTGTTGACAAGGCCACAAAACATTCAGTGAAAGAACAGCAGCTTTGTTTCCTACTTTGTGTTCACTCTCCAAGACCTCTCCACGGCCCTTGTCTCCTCTCCAGTGGTCAAATCAGCCCGTATGTGTCTTACTTTCTCTCTTACAACTTCCTGGGTGCTGTGGAGAAAACTGCACATATCAAATACACATTGTTCGCACAGCTGGGTCATGAATAAGTATCATCTACACTGCAAAATAGGGGGGTATAAAAACACTAAATCTGAGGGAAAAGGTACGAAAAACAAGTGAAATTATCTGTCCATGCAGCATGATAATTTCACTTGACAAGATTCTTACATTAAGAAGCCAAAAATCCTGGTTGTAAGATCAGATTACTTAAAATTTAACTTTTACAGCCCTAAAATAAGTGAAATGTACTAAATATAATTATAATGTAAGGAGAAAATGCCGGTTTTAAGATGAGATAACTTAAAAAGTAACTTTTTTACAGCCTCAAAATAAGTGATATACGTATACTAAATATAAGCAATGACATATTTTGTTTTCCTACTTTTAGCAAATTAAGCTGGAGATTAGTTACACAAAAAACAGAAATTTTGCAAAAAAAATACCTTATATTAGTGAAGAATGACTAAACTCTGTTTCAATTCAAGCAGGCTTATCTTGAAACAAGACTTACTTAATCTTAAAACAAGATTCCTTTTGATGAGACTTTGGGAGAAAGATGCTTTTCTAACTCATTTTAACAATTATTTTCCTCATTTTAAGATTTTCCTGCCTGTTTGAGACAAAAAAGATTAGGTTGTGCTTGATATAAGATTAAAGTGTAAAGTTAAACACTTAAATAAGAAATTAGGTCGTAAAACAAGAGAAATTATCCAACACTTCTAAGTCTAAGTTTTTTTGTGTAGTGTGCTCTCTAATGGCTTCTTTTTAGAGAATATAACCACACATAAAATCCACACACTGACATGTCATATTTGGAGTCCTGCAGCACGTCCCGGTCTCAGCCTGAATCAAGTCTGTAGCCTGAAGGTCTAGACTTGTCGACTCCTGTTCTCTTACACAAAAGAGAGGAGACCCTCAGACAAAGGACAGAGCAGCAGATAGGGCTCTGATAAACTCTATATCCACACCTGTTACCTGCCCGCCCTACTAACCCGTCCCTGTGGCAGGTCATCCTCAGTGCTGACATGCACCTGTGTCCTTTTCACAATGGACTGCACAATGGCCACAGTTGTATCTATGGCCTCTATACCTACTTTGCTAATCTCAGCAAATAGGCTGCCACAAAAGCCATATCCATGTCAGTCCCGGCTCTGTAACATACTGTAGTTTCCTGCTGAGTTTAGGTGTCTTTCAAAACCACAAAGGATGACCTGAGCATGCATCTCTATGGCCTGACCCGGTCTTTATACTGCGTTGTCTCTTTGACAAAGCCAAAGCATGAACTGATCCAGAAAAAAAGAAGTACTTTGTTTTATCTGTCCAAAAGTGCTTCCTCATCCTAGCAGGTTACCCAACTACTTACATTGAAGTACTTCATGGAGTTAGCATGTCAGCTGAAGCTAATGTGTTGACAACCGCCTGAGGGGTCAGTCTGCTCTGTCATAAATCTGATCGACTTCACTTCCCCCACATCCCACTTCCCCCTCCCGTCTGTGGCGCTCTAATGTCAGCGCTGTGTGTTTCATGACATTTAACAGCCCTGGCTGAGACATTTAGTTTGTTTGTCCTCAGTGTAATTAGCTTTAGGGTGGATGGATGACTCTCTTATCTCGGTCACACCCTGTTACTCACAGCAGTTTCAGAATAGAGATGGCCCCTTATACTTAAGTTTCTGTTGATGCCAGGCTCAAGCTACAGGTCGTTCCCAATGACGTCTTCCTCTAGAGCCTGTTCATAGCCTTATTAGATAGACTACTAGAGCTGCAGCATAGAAATTAAAGGGATATTCAGGTGTAAAATTAATTTAGGGTCAAACATACACTAACACCGAGTTAGACAACCCCTTGAGAGATGAATGTTGCCGACCGCTTGCTTCTCTAGGCATGTCAACTTAAGTAACGACCGCAGGATAGCAATACACAGCACTCTAAAGAGCCATAAACAAACCTCAACCAAAACGCCACTCTATAGCCACAAATAATGCTCAGAACAGCACCTAACTTCATCAGCAGTACAAATAGGGTCCCAGCCACAGCGCTAGCCACCAAACATCTTTGTACCTTGCCTGATTTCCTTAGCAGGGGGTGACGCAGCTCAAGGAAGAACATTTATGATCATTTCTTCATGGAAATACAATCAGACCCAGACGCTAAAGCAGAAGAACTACCGCGTCTGTAGTGCAAAATGGTTAATATGGTGATTATTACTTAAAGGAAATGATAAAGTAATGATCATAAATGTTCTTCCTTGAGCTGCGTCACCCCACTGTAGTCCGTAATGGACTTCCCGAGGTCTCTCTACAGACAAGCGGCTGCTGGAAGAGAGAAGGTGAGTAGGGTGTGTCTAACTCTGTGTTAGGGTGTGTTTGACCCTAAATTAATTTTACGCTGGAATATCCCTTCAAGTTTCAAAGTTTTGCTGACTCTGATACATAAAGTAATAATGGAGTCTCTCTTGATGGATAAATCTCCCTTTCAGTACACATCGCTTAAGCTGGACACAGACACTGGCATCAACCTTTAATATCAGGTGAAAGAAAATTAGCATTGTAGAAACACTCCTAGGTGACTTGAATGTATCCTCATAATATTTTTAAGGAGTTACATGCCCTGCCCTTATTTACCCATTTGACGTTAAGGCTCATATGTTAGCCAAACCTCAATGAACAATGATAATAGAGGATTATGTAATGAGCACAAAAGCCATAAAAGTCAGGGCCTGCCCCTGTTAGAGTTTGATTGTCTATGTGACCACTTTTAAGGCTGTCTGACACACACACACACTGACTCTAATAATAAAAAAAAAATCTTTCATAATCACTCATTGTTATCTGCTGACTCAACCAGACTTGTTCACCATACCAGTTAATCTGGTTTACATCCATCACCTGACCTGGAAAACTCCCATCCCCTCTTCATGGATGATGAAAACACTCACACACTGTCACATCTGTAGGACAGCAAACTCTTCAAGTCTATTCACTCTACTGCCCTAACACACACTCTTCTAATCCCCTTGCCCTCCTTTCCCTACAAGGCCATTTCTCACTACCAGTTATGTCATCGTTTGAACACAGGTCAGTTGTTTCAGTGGTTCAATAGTTCTTCCCTAAGGCTACTGAGGCTCATCATGAAAGACCAGAGTAAATGTGTGTGGGTGCATTTCTTAAAGCTGCTTCATGTCGAGACTAGTGTTTCAATATTGGCGATATATTTGTAGTTATAGCCGAATGTAATTCAAAGCAACCCTCGTGTTCATGAACAGAGTCGGACTGAGCCAAAGTGATTGGCAGTGATTTGTTTTTATTTCCAAACACACCCGATCATAACTAATTCCTCTCCAGATCATTTTGCCATGACAACGCCAAAACATTAAGTATGCGGTGGAGTACATGTCGCGCTCTACTGTACCCTACGCTTAACTTCTCAAAATTAAATCCCTCTGTGTTGAACAAACACGCGCGTGTGCGTTTAATGTTTGCTCACGATTGTGCATCTGCCATCCTGAAGTTTATTTAGCATTTCTCGCTCGGTGGTTTCCCTTTTGTTTTGCATGTGAGAGGACGGTGGTGTGTCACACTGTGCATTTGGCCAAATGAGGTCAACTCTCTGCCAAATATACACAGGCCTGCTGAATAATCGTTGTTCCCAAAAACTACCTCAACAGATTTCCCACTCGGGCCCGATTCCAGGCAGCTCAGGCACGCGTTCACTTCCTGTCCTGTCCATGCTCCTGCACACACCCTGCAGAGCCTGGATAGGAGCGGACAGGGGACGGGAAACTGACTCAGGCCTCCTCTTTTTTTAAATCTAGACTTTTTCTCTCTCTTTAAATAGAAGGACGGAGACGGAAAATCCAGAAATGTCAATTTAGAATTTAAACTAATAAAGAATTTTTTAGGAATAACCCCAACACAGTACAAGTCTATCAAGCCTGAGCAACCCTGTGTCTGTTTACCTGGTTACTATAGAGACTATCTTTCTAGGCAATTAGCTGAAAGCATAAGGTAGCTCTGACAGAAAACATCAGCTTGTTTTGAAAGCATTAAGAGCTTTTTCTCATCCTTACAAACCTGTGTTTGACTGTGTTACATCAAATCAAATGATTGTTCAGCTGTCAGATGTAATTGCCGTTAAGTTTGGGTTAAAAAGGCTCCGAGCTGTCCAAACAGGCTCATTCTCAACTAAAGCCATGTCTGCCACTGTAAGTCCCTAACCACTGGGTGTAATGAATATAATTTAACTAATGTTTAACACCAAGTTATCATTCTCTTCACATCCCACAGCTCCTACTCTCATTCATTCACCCCTCTTTCTGGTCCGTGGCACTGGCGACGGACTGCAGGTTATGTAACAATCGGCCAACTGCATTGGCACCACACTCTGTCAGTGCCAGAGGTTAATGAAGCTCAGCAATGGACAGCAGAGGAGCAGTATTTTCTGCTGCCCTCATGGGTTTTCCACACTGTCCTGCCTCCAATGTTACAAATTGAATTTTGGCCCTGATGCTCTTCCACCTACAAACATCTCCCTCCATTTCTCTCTACCACACACACACACCTTAAACTACTTTCTGCAGTTATTTTACACTGCCCAATCTCCGCTATTCTGAGAAGTATTTCACCTACATGTTTGTACAAATCTTAGTGCATGTAGGAAGATACAAAAGCAACGTATTTGTCAGTGTTGTGGATGCTTTTATTTTTTGCTTCCTCCTGTATAGCTTGCTGCATGACTGTGATGTAACAGGTCTGCAGGATAGGATGTGTCTATATGTGGTGGGGTGGGCTATCTGAATCCCACTGTCTCCTTCAAAGCTATGAAGATCACTGCACCTGTTCTTTTTTTTTTTAGTGCAGTTGAGAATAATGGAAGATGTGACCAGCTGCTGCAACCAAGGATAAAGGGTGAAAGGCTCATTAACACACAATGTTTCTGTTTCTGTCTTTCTCTCCAGATCTGCTTCCTGGTGTCGGCTTTCCGTGGACGAGTGTTTTCAGAGGACAGCTGTGCTGCTTTGGCGCTCTTCTCTCACTATTTCCACCTCAGCCAGTTCTTTTGGATGCTCATACAGGTAACAGCGCTTACATACACGCAGCACCAGACATTTTTGACTTCAGAGCAAAGTGTTACCTAAAACAACTCTTATATTATGGGTAGTTAGGGCTGGGCGATAAAACGATAACAATATATATCGAAAATTAATCCCTCGATATCGTTTTAAAACATGGTCAATATGCTTTTCAATAACCAGCATTCTGCTATATTTTGGTAGACTATACGAATAGCCAATGAAAGGGGAGTTGCTCAGGGTCTGCTTCAGGCTGAGCCAAGCATGTGCTGAATTAGAACCAAGTAGCAAACAACAGTGTGGTGGCAGACTGCAGCTACAGGCAACCATAGCACTTAAACGCGTGAAGCCGACAGCACTGTCGCAGAGAAAAAAAGAAAATTAGTTCTAACCCCTGTAGAAATGCAGATGAAGGCTCAACAGATGATGACATTGTCGACAACACTGGCACGAAAACGTTAGTGGTGTGGAGGTATTTTGTTTTTTTTTTAGGTCAAGCAGAGTAATGTGCTCGGCTAATAATTATGTCGAGTTCATGTTCTTGCAAAGTCGGGGAATACCTCAAATCTTTTTCACCACCTGAAGCAGTGCCACGCAGCAGAGCACGCACAATGCAAAGGTTACAAACCCTGAGCGGAGCAAGGAGCCCATGGCACCTGTCCAGCCGAAACAGCCGACCATTCAGGCGGCTTTCTCTAGCGCAACACCTTACGAAAAAATGTTGAAAAGACACAAAGACCTCACAGATGCAGTAGCTTGTTGTATTGCTACCAATAAAATTATTTTTTATATCGTGACCGACTGATATGAAAAAAATATTTCATGATAACTTATTTCCCATATCGCCCAGCTCTATGGGTAGTATTTCCAAACCTGCACAGCCACTAACTGAAGACATGCCCTCATGAAATCACTGTTTTCTTCATCATGATGCGTTTCTTTTCACTTATCTCTACAATTGATGCTGTTTTACTTGGATAAAGTTTAATGTTGAGGAATACTTTGCGAGTCCTCATTGCTGTGTAATTAGATCAGTCTAGCTCCAAAGCCTTAACAATACAGTGTATTTACTTTACCTCCAATCACACAATGGGCCCCAGTGTTTAACTCCAGAGGGTCAAAGACATCATCCTGTTGGTGAAAGAAACACAGATCGGAATAAAGCTGATGAACTATTGTTGCATATCTGATTAATTGTAAGATATTTACTTTCACTTAATCTGAATATTATTTGTCACATTATATTTGATGTTTTCTTTGTGAAAGGCTAAGTAAAGTCACCACTCTGTCTCCTGCTCTTTTTCCTCATGGCTTGGCATGAACAGGGGACCCATTCTTTCTTTTGTCCCTTATGTGGACCATGTGTTTTTCCTCTTTTTTTTTTTTTTTTACGTAATAACAAGTGAAACTTCATCCCTCCACCACGTGAGCTTAGGCAGGTTTTGATCAGAGGGTAAGATGAAGGTACCATAATGCTGCATGACATGATCTTTGACCCTGGACTGGTACCACTTAGTAACACCAAACACAGGCAGCTCATGGCCTCCTCCTGCTTACCCATCTGACCTCTATTTTCTTTTTTTTTTCCTCCTTTTTTTGTGACATAACTGCAAAGGAAAATGCCTGGCTAGAGCTCAGCATGCACTCATGGTGAAGATATAGAGATAAGATTTATACTTGTTGAGCTGGTCAGGCTTCATGAATACACCGCTGTTTTAACTCCAAATTACTGCACTTGTTTTATATGTTACAATATTGACAAGTACAAAAATAAAACCAATCTTTGCCTCATACAAAGCCCAAAAAGCCATAAGCTGCTGGTATAATCCAACTCTAATCCTTCAGAGAGACTAAATAACTTGTGACCTGCTGTTTCAGCACATGGATGTGGTGACACGGGCAAAAGTGCATTTCCAGCCTATTAAAACTAAGTGACCATGCAGAGTTAATAAACCCTTTACTTATGTTGATTCTCTTCCTCTAAATGCTGTCCTTTAAATAATTCTTTATCCCCTGCATCATTTTATTCTTTCTTTTATATACTTTATGCAGTTTATATTCTCTTTAAAAGTGATTATGAATCCATTTTGATTGAAAAAGTAGTGGCTGACCGCTGTGTGAAAGGCAAAGCCTGATCAGTATTTCAAATCTGCAGGTGCAAAATACCGACCATTCCCCTCATAACTCAAAATGTCTTTAAAGTGACCTGAGTCCAACCAAGAGATAACTAGATAGGACATGTGTAAAAGTTGTTCAGGCCGGGTTAAAAAGAGGTCCGCCGTAAAATGTGATACATGGCCCAGTATCCAGAGAAGACCTGTCCTTAAATGACTCTCTCACTGTCCTGTCTTACTCCTTTCATTTTCTGTCTCTTGCTTAAGCGACTGTATCTTTGTTTTTATCACTTTACAGTCTTATACAGCTTTTGATCTTTCAGAGGATAATTGTTGCAATGTCTGCTGGATTATTATTATAATTAAGTCTTATAAGATACACCCTTTAGATAAGCTAATAGAGAGTTTGCACACTAGATTAATATTGATTTTAGGCTGAACGTATGCAAGGTTTTATACCACAGGGTTTGTCTGACGACCTATATGAGATATCTTAAGGGATACTGGTGCAAGCAAAAGTCTTTTAAGTGGCTTACAAAGTGTGTTTGGAGTATTTGGATGGAGAGAATTTTCCAACGTAAAAAGCAGTTCAGACACATGTGGTATTTGTTAGCGTAGCTGTGGAGCTGATATGATCTTGCGGTGGAACAAAATCTTTAAATCCCCTCAGAGAGAGTTCAGTGAAGAGTCAAAATAAAGCAGAGAAGAGAAATTTACTTCACACTTTGTTTTTTATTCCATCACTCACTCACTGAGATTTTTCTTTCTTTGCCCTTGTTCTTTAACACCCCTGCCAAAAAAATCTTATCTCATTTCTTTATTGTCAGCAACAATAGTAGCTGACAGTGAGTATAAAGCCGCCGCTTTGGCTTCCATTGATGTGATGCGCCGCACTGAAGCCCCTCTGTTCTCACTGATGTCTCCTTATCGACCGTAGTAATGTCTCACCGCTCATTTTTCCCCCTATCAGGTAGCTGCTTTCAGCTAAGTGGCTGATTTGAGTGGGCGCCAGAAACCCATCTCAGACCATGAAGACAACTTCAAATCAATAGCTGCAGTGTGTGTGTGGGGGGGGTGGGTGTGTCTGTTTGTGAGTATGTGCTCATCCAATATGCGCTGAAATGATGCCAGAAACAGACAATAATTTAATCACTATCCAGACACTTTTTTTTCCCCCATCTCTGCAGTGGATCTCAGAAGCAACATCAGCTCTCTGAGGATCAGTATAATGTTACATAACAATAGTGTGCAGCCACTCCAGTAAGGAGAAACCTGCCAAATCAACAGGACTGGTCTGCAGTGTACTCTTACCTGTTTTTTTCCGTGCTCACCGACCTTAAAAACAACCTTCCTGAGTGTCAGTTTCACAGAATTGGAAAAATACAGAAGCTGTAAAGGTTTTTCTTTTAGATATTGAAAATCCTAACTTTTGGCCATAGTCCCATTTACAGCTCATACAGCTTCTTGTTGCTTTTAAAGCAGCCCATAATTTGGGAACAGAGGAACTGATTGTTCAAATTTTTATTTAGGTGTAACATTGTTAAAAAAAAAAACCATCTCTCATTCTCTTTGTAAGAGCTCGATGCACCAGAGGGTAAGCACTCTGCTAATCAGAATGCAAACTGAAGGGAATACTCTTAATGTGAGCTACAACACCACCTCCACATCTGACCACACCTTACTCACTTTAAGACCAACACACCCATGGTTTAGACGGTTGTAAGAACATTTCACTATTTGCACAGCGTTGGTGTTGTATTGGAAAGTCAACGCAAGCATCACACCACAGCACAGACCGTAATGTCCACAGGTATCATTGTGATGTTTGTGCAGTACGATATAAAATACAAAGTCCAACAGTCCATAGCATTTGTGCTGTATCAACTGTTCCTATAGCTTTTTTAGAAACCATATAGTTTATGAAACAAGTGACCCTGGATATCTGTTTAATTTGGCCTTTGTTGTTGGAAAATGAAAAGAGTGAACTGATTTTCATCTTGGGTTTTTATTTGATAGAATTAAGCTTCAATAAAAAGATGAGTGGATCAAAAAAACAAGGTTAATGTCTTTAAAAAGACACATTTCCATTAGGTTTATTTTCTTATTTAATGCTCAGAGTTTTTCAAAAACTGTATTTGATTCGGCTGGAAATTGCCAACTTATTTGAAAGCGTATTGATCTGTATTTGGCCTGTTATTTGACCTTGTTGCAATACATAGTTTATTTCTCAGGCTGCAGAATCGACAGTCAGCGAGCAGTGAGACCTCTGCAGAGGCAAAAGCTCAGCACAAAGATACTCATAATCCATTTTACTGTATGTCAGTGGCTTCTGCATGTTCACAGCCAAGATAAGAAGGAATCTGAACGATAACGCGCTATTGTCTCAGCGCAGTGAGACGCCAATTTGTTGCACAACAGACACCATTATGTGTGTGTTTGTTGCATCCGCGATTTTACAATGTGGTTATGGGGGAGACAGAGGTTATCCGAGGGAGAGGTCAGCATCCCTTGACCTCCTGTCAGTTGCGTCATAAGGACCTGCTTATGTGATCACAGACAGATGGACAGTCACAGACACAGTGGACAGAGAAGGAAGAGCGCTTGCTTTCCTGCTAATGCCAAAAAATTTTTTTATTTCTTTCCAGAATTTAAGGCATTTCATATTAAAACTTATCATAAACCAGGCCTGCATGCTAGATAGGAACATTCCAGAGCTACTTCACTGTGGCTTTGAGTTCAACTTTGAACTTTCAAATGACTTTAAAATGAACTTTTGCCCTTTGCTCCTCTGCCGTTTGAGACCGTCAGACAGATATCGTCTGTTAAAGTCCATACAGAGGGATAAGACATTGTGTCTGTGTCGCAACCAACAGGTGTTCAGAAAAGCCGCTTATGTAACAATGAAGAGCTCCGTTTATCAGACGGATGAGACTATCAAAGCCTGCTAGATTACAAAACAAATATTGTGGATGTTAAAAATGGAGTAGTCCAAATGCCGTCTTAAGGTAAAGGATAAAAAAAATCCTGCAAACTCCAAACAGATTGCTTTTCCTCACAACTTTATTGAGCTGCTTTAAGTTTAGGAGAAATATTATGGTCCCTGAAGGTGTTGCGTGTGTTGGCACATATCTTGTTTTCCGTTCACAAGTTGTTTTCTCAAACTGTGTCCCCAGGCGGTGAACTTCTGGCAAGTTTTGGTGATGAATGATGAGCACACAGAGCGCCGGTACCTGCTCTACTTCCTGCTGGGATGGGGACTTCCTGCTCTGGTCATCATCATCCTTGTCATCGTCTTACTTGGCGGCTTTGGATGGACTATACACGCCGTGTACGGGCTGGTGCAAGGAGATGTGTAAGTGAAGAGTGTAAAACACCAAACAAGCTCAAACACTAACAGTCTTCGGAGCCGACGGCAGGGTGGAGGAGGAAGAACAAACACCAACTCTAACGTAATCTGTTTTCTTAAGAGAACTCATGAGCGAGTGTTTTAACGCCGGTGTGAGTCAGTGCAGGTGACTTCAGTTTCTCTTTAAAGGCTCGGGTAAATTCCAGTTCAAATCGGAGCTGAGCAAAACAGAAATCACCTGAGGCGCTGACATCATGTGAGGAGGCAGCTCGTCCAATCAAATGAATGAACAAATTCATCTCCCCACCCAGAAACCAAAGGGGCGTAGGACGAGGAAAGGAAACGCCTTAAATAACCTGTATAATGCAGGGCTTTGTAGGTGTATGTGTGCGTGTGCTTGTGTGGATTAAAAATAACTGGTGACCCTCTATGTATAGAACACCTGAAACCGAAAACAGAAAATGAGGTCACCTTGTAAAACCAGACACAATGATCAGTAGTCAGGTGTGAAATGACTCTGTATGTTTTTGTCTGTGTGTGAGTGAGCAGACTTTGATAGTAACTTGTCTAAGTGCAGTGATCGTCCTGCATGACCAGCAGAATAAAACCCTCATGAAGTTAAAACCCTTAAATATATTTAAAATCAGACTTGGGTGTTACTGTTGTGATTAACATCAAGAGTGTATTTATATGTGTGTGTGTTTCCTGTGGGTGGGCAAGTGTATTACAGGGAGCATATACATGAGAGATTCAAGGATACAGAGGAGGACTCAGTTTCTGGGGAAGTGCACCTTCCTGTCTGAAGGAACGAGGCAGCCTTTAAATTTTTCCTCCTTTGCTCTCTTCATGAGTTAAAATAATCCTCACATCTCTATCTCAGGTGTCAGACTCACGCCTTGCTTCAGGGAGTGTTATTCTCACAGCTGATGTAGTTTATTTCTACATACACTCTAAAAACCCCTGGGTTAAAAACAACCCAAGTTGGGTTGAAAAGGAACTGACTACTTTTTGGGTTATTTTGACCCAGAATGTCAAGTCAACCCAATCTTTGAGTTAATTTGACTCATGATCTTGGGTTAAATTGATATATGCATTTTGGGAGCTTTGCTTTTACAACCTGTACCTTGTTTTCCCATGTACTTTTGTCTAACTGATTGTAGGCCATAGTGCTAAGGGTCTCGCCCAAGGACCCACACTGGTGGATGTAGTTTGCGCGTTACAGATGTGTCTCATGCAGGATTTGAAACCCCAACCCCTCGGAATGCTGTACCTGCTGAGCTACCCCAGCCACCCAATATATATTGGGGTAGCTACACCAAATATATATATATATCATATTTTATATAAAATCAAGGTCAAAATTCACAATTCACATTAGGCCTGGAAACCACGTAGAGTCAGTCGAACCCAACGTTCTGACCCAATTATCGGGTTACTCTCTGAAAAATAACCCATAATTATTAACCCATTCAAAAAACCCTCAAATTGTGTTACAGTAGAATCCATATGACCCAAGAAATGGGTATGGATCTGAAAGATAACCCAGAAATTTAACTCATAACCCAAGAGTTTTTAGAGTGTAAATCGAATCATCCATGCTCAAATAAAAAGCTGCAGTATTTTGATTTGCTTTAAATTTTTTTCAAATTAAAAAATCTTGATAGTAAAGAAGGATCATGAAATGAGAGCAGCAAAAGGGAGGATTCATGCACAAGTGATCTGAATAATCTGCCCTCTCGGAATTATTTAACTTTAAAAAAAAAAACATTTTACTAATTTTTTCATGTCTTGTGTCGCCTTGACAGAGACTGGATTGAGTCTTGGTTAATTAGGCTGTTTTATAGCCAAGCCATAAAGCAGCTGAAGTAATTTCCTGTAGAGGAGGACATTTACACCTGATGTCTGTTTATTCCCTAAAGCTTTATTGCTGTGGAAATGTGGATTCCATCTTCAGTGTCCTTGCATCATATTATGTAAAGTCAAAAGCCGCACAGAGCCGCGCGTATATCAGGGACTTGATTACTATTTACTTTCCGAGTGAGCTGTTGCCTCGCCCTGCAATATCTAAAAGGTCCCAGAAGCACTTTATTACCTCCACCCACCCATTGAAAGGTTTGCTCTCTATATTTATTCCCAAGTTATACGCTTTGGTACAATGGGCTCAGAGGAAACGTTCTTTGTTCACTTTCTTGTGAGAAATTTGGTACAGTGGGATCTCATCCTCTCACAAGGCTTCCGAGGAACAAATATCCATATTCCAGCGTGTTTACACTCTCATGGTCAGGCTGTTTTGATGGACCACAGTGATGCAATGCTTTATTTAGCATACCTCACATCATGTTATGGCTAGCACTGCCTCATTTATTTCTCTGGGATTACTGAGGCCAGTGTGGAGGCCCTATCAGTGCTGTGTGCTCCCACCAAGCCAGAGGCCAAGCTTGTTTTGTGAAAAGGGCAAAATCACATGAGTCCTCCGATTGTTGTTTGGCATTTTTTGTTTATGTAAAGATGATGACTTTCCCAGACCGAAACGATCTGCTCGACTTTCTTCAAATAAAGAGTACACATTTGTGATTGGACTGAAGCTGGGAAAGGACTCCTGAGATTTGGATTGAAAACAAGAGAGAAAAATAACTGAGTCATACTTTGTCCTCAAGGAAGAAAGAGAAGCAACCTGGTTGAAAACAACTCAAAACGAATAGCCATGAAGACAGAATCATAAGAACTGACCTAAAAGTCGCCCTTTTATTTGGTGACTTTTGATGGTTTGTTTCAAAGCCTGAAATTTAGACTCTCCATAAAGATATTTGGAGGTTTTTCCTTCTGCCTGTATCTGAGGATGAATCAAGTTTATAGTGTTGTTTGTTTTGTGAAGTTTTCCCTCTGACTTTAACTGGGTTAATACTTTAGATCATTGTTGAACTTGTATGTCATCATGCTGTAGCTGCACGGTGACCCACTTGTTAAGAAAGTGGAAGAACAAACTTGTTTGTGTTCGTGTAAGTTAAGAAACAGACGTTTTAGCGTAGGTAAACATGGAATATTATAATCATCTATTCTTTTTTCCTTTGAGTCTCTGTTTGAGCAAGATCAACCTTTTACTCTACAGTTGTTAAACATGTCTAGCCTGTCTCTTCTCTTACAGTCTGTTTTATTTTTACATGCACATACTGATCACTCATGTTTCTGTCCGTCCATCTCTCCAGGTGCTTCATCCCAAACATCTACGCAGCTCTGTGTACGGCGGTGCTTGTGCCTCTCATCTGTCTGGTGGCAGTGCTGGTCGTGTTCATCCATGCCTACCAAGTTACTCAGCAGTGGAAGGCCTATGATGACATTTACCGCGGGCGAACAAACAGTGCAGGTATCCCACAATTCTCAGCGTATATGAATGTGTACAGCAGCACTGACATAGAAAAACTGAGTTTTCGGTAAGATGATTGAAAAGTCGCCTGCTGTCAGCGCACCCTCAGAAACTTGAAAGTTTCAGCCTCTATTTTGCACGGCTTATCGGCCCTGTCTCCGCCTGCTGTGTGTTTACCTTGGGGATTCATAATACAAGAAGTATTTGCAATAACTTCTTTCTCTACAGTAAAATGCTCACAGCCACAATTTTATTCAGCCACATAACGTTTATATCATTTAAGTAATGATATGATTTGCAAAGCTAAGTACAGTTTAGAGGAACATTACTTGAAGAGATGTGCTTTTACTCTTAAATCCTAATGCTGCATTAAGTTATTTTCAACTGCATATAAAGGTTATTTAAAGCACTTATTGTAGTGTGGTTACAGCAACAAGAAATAAACCTCACATTTCACTTACAGTCTGTATAAACCAGTGGCAGTCATCAAGAGCAATCGTAGCCTCGCCCTCACAGGAGGATCCTGGCCCTGTTGTCCCTCAATATCACAGCTGTAATCGGTGACTGTCTGTGAGAATCAGCAGGCTTTAGCTTGTTTGGCTCAGTCAAGGCCCTCCAGTGACAAAGCAAAGCCTGAATTAGTGCCAGTACTTTGGCTGGCAAACAGTTCGCCCTCCTCACTGTGTGTGGCCTCTGAAGCAGCGTAGGAAAACAAAACAGTTTGGTTTGCATTCTTATCAACAGAGCGGTATTTTTTCACTCACAAACCAGGCGGATACCTGTGTCAATCTGTAGGATCTTTTGACCTGACCTGTGCCTTTCCAGTGGGGGAGGTTAGACTTTAGGAATATGTTGCTGCTGTGTAGAATTTAAAGTACAGTCTCCAAGAGGAAAAGTCTGAGCAGTAAAACAGCCTCTGGGGTAAGCACAGGACACACGATTCAAAGCAGTAGTCTGCAGCTTCGGCTGGGTGTGTGTGTGTGGCACACAGAGGACAGACCGGCCCTTGAGTTGTGAATATGTGTGTCCACTTTTGTTGGGAACAGCTGCACTTTGAAAAGGCTGCTCGTGAATGGGAGTTTAGATTTATTTTAAAAAACACACAAGCAAAAAGAAAGTGACCTGGTTTGTTTTATCTTAGCTCGAAACGGCACAATGTTACTTCATAGTGTATTCAAATGCTTATTAAAACATAGACACAACATGCACACAAACACTAATGACTGTTTCATCATAGATTGCTTAACCTTTTTCTCCATTTTAAGGTCTTGATTCAACATTGTATTCTCTCTCTCTTTATGGTATCAAACTTTTACTTTTGAACAACTTGATAATAACTTTTCTGGACGTGTGTTGATTAAGTGTTGTCCTCTGATGAACTTCTTTATCAAACATCATCAATCTACACGCGTGAGTTCAGCCTCAATGTTCTCATCTCGCTTTAACTAGTTCAGAACCCGCGTGACAGCTGATCACAAAATGAACATCTAGGTGGCCGGAGTTTTTAAATGCCTGGCTGCAGCAACCGACTGATATGATAAGCTGAGTGCCAGTGTGCGTGTGTGTGTGTGTGTGTGTGCGTGTGTGTGTGTGTGTTTGTTTCTGAAGCCCACATGTTAAACTCACAGGGCTGTGAAAGATATATCAGGACTTTTGACGTCATTGAAACAAAGCAAGTGTGCCAGTGCGTGTGTGTGTTTGTGTGTGTATGCAGGATCACCTTGACCTGCAGGCAGACACCCATCCATCTGCAGAATCTGGTAACCGGCCATTTCACCCAGTGTAAGCCTCACTGGAACATAGAGACACTGTTTTGAATGCAGGGTGATCTTTAACGTCAGTAGTTAGTAAACTGTTATTGTCAACAGAGCCGAGTTAAATGAATAACTATTATTGCTCTACTTTTTATGTTTCCATGTGTGCCCTGACTGCACTTTGGTCGATGAATCATCAGGAATTTGGATAAATAAACGTGTTTGCGAGGTTCGATTTCAAAATACTGTTTTTATACACTTTATTTGGACGTCAGATGTGCTCCTCTTGTGTGTGGTCTTACTAGTTTAACTCAAGTTTTTACATCATGCAAGTGAAACGCTCTCTGATTACATTTTCACCTGATTAAATTTGAGCTGTAAATTTGTCGTTTCTTCTGAAAATGTCTCCTCTCCTCTCCTGCCTTTGTGTTCACACCTATTTCACACAGAGAACTGGAACGTGATGTGTTTGCGGTGGCCCACACACACACACACACACACACGCGCTCAGTACAGCTTGTTATCACAGCTGCTGACCCCTCTGTGACAGTAATGTCAGCACCGTCTTGAGTTTCTGCCTGGTTGTTTTCACTGAATCATATTCTCCTCTCTGTTTGTCCTCTCGCAACAGGAACCGACTCTGCTCAAATGTAAACTTGCAGCCTGTCCTGCTGTGGAGGACAGTAGCTCCTTTTTTATGAAAAGAAAATCACAAGAAAAAAGAAGTCTGAGCAGAAATGACCCTTTTGGCACTTTAACTGTTTGTTCATTTTAGCTTCACCAGTCAGGAGACACCCATGACAGTATCCAACATCTCTCCCTTACATGTCTGCTGAAAAGCTTTCATATGCACAAACACAGAAAGCTCGTGTCTGCTCTGCTTCTTTCTGCTGAGTCTCAGTGGTATCAAGATAGAGGGTCAGTCAGCGTTTTGCAGTTCGTCTCAGTTTGGCTGTAGGAACCTGCTCTTACTGCGGGAGCGCGGCTCTGTCCACAGACTGGAATGTGCTTACATGGTTGGAAAACTCAAACCAGGGGAGGGAGGCTGGGGAGACAGATGTGCAAGTCAGAAAAAAAGAGAGAGAAAGGATGATAGAGAAAGTATATTTGGTTGGAGAAGCAGTAGAGAGCATCAGACAAGTGAGATTAAAGATAAAAAGAGAGACCACAGGGTGAAGCAGATTTTCTGGAAACCTGTAAGCGTGAAATATGAAATAATACTAAAATAATAGAAAGCATTCATGGGAGTATAGCGAGAATTAACAATGGCTTACAGGATATATGCGTTCGAAGGAAAAGGGAGAGGTCTGATCAGGAAGAAACGGAGAAGAAGGAAGCATTGAAAGTGTTACACTCAGAGGAAAAGCTGCGGGGAGATAAGGAGCAGAACTTGGAGCAGACCGAAACTGACAGGGTGGTGGAAGTAGCACCTAAGTGAGGGCTTTTTGTGCAAACTTGGGCCCCGTGCCCTGTGTTTCCATCCTACTTGCGAAGTGAACTGTACAGTCTGTCCTACATAGCTCCGACCAACAGACTGCAGCTAGAGTGACTCAGTGGTGTGATTTTGTATCAGTTCATTTTTCATTTAAAGGTCAGCATTTCACTCAGACTGGGGTTAAAAGTAGGTTTTTAAAAATGTCAATCGGTGTTCATTTCTTAGAGAGCTCGTCCCAAATGTGGTCTTACACATGAATACTGATTTTTTTTGAGGGGGAATCTTCTCAGAATACCAATTTGATGAACTAAATCCTTATCTGTGAGTAATATGGCAAATACAAAATACTCAGAAGCCTTCTCCAACAACAGTTAATCTCCAGTGTGAACCTGCATTGACTTAGACGAGATGCCATCCTATGTTTCCCAGATATTGCTGAGAGTATTTTGAGTTAAATCACACTCTTCAAGAAACATAAATGCTGAAATGGAGACATCTATAACTGGCCAAAAACAACCATTAGTATTGTTAGACTGATGTATTCTTATGGTCAGGGTGCATTCAGCCACATGGATCATGTTGTTAAAGGTACATCATGTCCTCAGCAGCGCGATCATCACTAATGGAAACAAAGCACCAGTAACATTTCAGGCTAAACCAATGAGGCTGTCGTCTTGAACGGCTTCGTTTCTACAGGACAAACCAGAAACAACCAAACCTTTTTTGTGTGTGTGTGTGTGTGTGTGTGTGTGTGTGTGTGTGTGTGTGTGTGTGTGTGTGTGTTTGGTGGGTGGTTGTCAGCAATACCAACCAATAGGAAGCAGGAGAGGAGGAGGAAGGGTGTTATGTGCAATAGGATTTACAGTGATAGAAGGTTTTGATGGAAAATCTTGACAAATGGAGGATCAAACAGGAGCTAAGCAGTCCCATTTCTGCTTGATGTACCTTTAACAGTCATTTCATGTCCGGGTTAAACATCTTTCACTATCTGAGGTACTGAAAGTATTTATCACCAGGATCACCAGGCTGAGAAGGGCATTTGGGATCGGTTTTCATCAGCTCTGTTATGAAGCCAGAATACACCCGTTTCTCTTATTATCTGAAACTAAGATTATGATCTATGCCTCAATCTCCTCGAGGCTTGATTACTGTAATTTCCTTTATTAGTCCCCCAGTCCTCTTTCAATAGCTTGCAATTTGTTTGGTATTATTTAATCCTAGCCAGAACAAGAAAATTCAATCACATCGCCCCTGATTTCTCTCTGTCAACTCTCCACACGCACTAAAGTTGATTTTAAAGTACTCTTTTTGACTTAAAATACATTATATAGACATGCACCAAATCACTGTGACATCCTGTTTGTTTGTTTTTTCAAAGTATGTTGAAACATGTCCAGAGAGCACGTCGTTTTCTTGACTTTAACCTGCTTAAAGACATTGAGGTCATGAATTGTCAGCTCACTATTGATTTGACCCAGACTGCAGCCGGGATCAATGCTAATCCGAAGGAGAGGCGCTCTTACATGTATGTGATCGCTCAGTGTGGCCTATTGTTTTTTTTTCTTTCTTTCACTAAGGAATATCATAGTTTATACTAAACAGAATATGGATGTAATGAATTAGTTTTTTAAATATCCAGCTAACTGTGTTCAAAAGTAACATACGTGTTTACACCAATTTTCAAACTAATCTCTTTTTTCACCTGCTCGGATCATCATTGAAAAAGAAAATAAACAGTGAAGTTGGTCAAATTAAGCCCTCTACTTCCTATTTTCTATAAAAACCACTTATTCTCTGATGTTAATACAAACCACATGCTTGAAAAAAAATATTTTTTAGCATGTTTAATTTGCTGCTTCCCTAATGCGCCACCTCATTATTTTCCACTGAAGTAAACAAGCTGGATAGTAATGAGCTATCTTATCTGCAGGCCTCTCTCTCTCTCTCTCTCTCTCTCTCTCTCTCTCTCTCTTGTTCTCTTCATTGTGTTGACTCACTGTTGTCAGGCGCTCAGTCTGCTTGTGATTGGCAGTGCTCGTTCTGTTTTTTTTCTTTAATTAGCTCTTCTAAAAAAGGAGAGTGAATGATTTTTCAAGCTGAGAGGAGCGTCGTGAACTGATGAATGAGGTGCAAGGATAATTCAGCGACCTCAGTTCAGACACCAGGACATTCTCTTCATCATGAGCCATATATAGAACAAGAAACCAACATGAACGGAAATGTAAATGTATGAATTTTCCCTCTTTTATAGTTTAAGCTGCAGTTTTCTCATCTGCTTGTCTGCTGAACTCCACGCTTGAATATGGTGTGTCAGCTCAGAGAGAAAGTGGGTTACCAATGACACCAGTTGCTGCAGGGGAGCTCAGTTTAGAAACACGTGTGGGAAGACCTTTGGTGGTCTTTCCTTTTCTTAGAAACCCTGTACAGTGTGGTGTGTGTGTGTGTGTGTGTTTGTGTGTGTGTGTGTGTCCTCTGTATACAGCATGAAGGGGGAGTCAGCATTTTAGCAACAGGTCACATGTCACAGAGTTATTTTCTGTTTTGGCAAGTGCAGGATTGTAATCGAGAGTATGTTTTATGGTTTTATTTAATGAAGGGCGTACTAGTTACAGAGTGCAAACTGAATCCTTAACAACAAACACTGGCACACCCATAGATATGAGTACATACAGTAGATACGACACGCCCCTTTGAGCTGTATGCCTACGAGAGGCTAAGCTAGCGGGGGCATTGTTCCTGTTAAAGGCATGGACATTGAAAATACATCATTACCTGCTTGTTTCTCAACTGATTTTTAGAGGAAATTTGATACATTCTATTTTTTTTTAATAGATTTCAGTGATATATGTCCATGTTTATGATTTGATCTGTGCACAGTATGTGAGTGCAGCTCTAAGTGCATGCTTGCAAGCATGTATAAATAGTGTTTGTGTGGGTGTTTGTAAGTGTACAATCAAACAAGCCATTATGATAAGGTTTGACTCATCATGGGTATTATAATAACAGTCAGGCTAAAATCGTCTGTTTCTGTGATGTATTTGTTCTCGTTTTAATTCGCTCTGTTGTTTTCTTGAACTCCAGAGGTGCCCTTGGTCCTCTACCTGTTCCTGCTCATCTCCCTGGTCTGGCTGTGGGCAGGACTACACATGGGCTACAGGTACCTGTGGATGCTCATCCTCTACGTCATCTTTAATTGCTTCTTGGTGAGTACATTTACCTTAACATTTATTGATCTGTCAACGCTATCATCTTGCACCTTCTACTGCAAACCCTTCTGTCTCACGTTTGTGTTAGGCAACTTCAAGCTTCAGCTATTTTGGATTTTGACTTTTGAAGCTAATTTTTTTAATGTTTAGATTGAGTAGACACACACAAGTTTCATTTCACAGCTTCTAAAATCATCCCCACATTATAAAACTGTTTCCCCGTCAGTTTTGAGGTTTTATCTTTAAGGTTTCTGTTTTAGTCCTCCCTGTGAGAGTTTCTTACTCACTTTTGCAGAGAGTTGGATGTATAGGAAGCTGCCACATATAAGTTATTGAAAAGTCAGGCCACTGAACTGGTACCAAACAGTGTGTGCCTGTTGATGTTTTGTTTACTTAGAGAAAGACTGTATGATGAAGGCAACTTCATCCCACTTTGAAGCCCCGCTTTGATGCGTTGGCAGGGCAGAGCAAGAGGAGCTTCAGGGGCGGAGAGAGAGGAGGGGGTTATCAATGTGTCACATCTCACTGAAGTCTCCCCCCTGCCATCTCCCCCTCTCTCTCTCTCTCTTTGTGGTCCCTTTTTTTTCTATCTCGCTCACTCTGCTGCTCTGTCTTTATTCCTTCTCTGTGTTGACTGTATCAGTGGAGATAAAGACATCGAGATTATCAAGATAACACAATCTGCAAACATCTCTTAACAGCTGGAAACTCCCAAACACGTATACTGCTATCTGCTATGACTATACAGAATTGCATAACAGACAGTAGTCAGGGTTTAAAGGTGAAAGCTTCGGTTTCACTTTCTGGATGATCTTTATGACATAGCTTCATCTATTGTGAAAAAGAGATTTTCTTCATAGGATGGAAGAAATAAGCATCCTGGTTCAAATTTGATTATGTTGGGTCTTGTCCTCAGTCTGCCACCACTCCTCTCCTGTTAGTATTACCACTATTTCTCATAGTTCACGGCTTCTTAGGAAAGTTGTTGTCAGGGCAACAAAGTCCACTGGAGAACCTTTACTTGTTTAACTATAAAAGCACCAATACTATATAAACAAGTATACTTTACACTTTTACTTAGAGTAATTTGATGCCACATGATGGTCTAATGAGGATTCGGAAGCATTAGAAAATGTAAATATGCCCTCATCAGTCGTTAAAGTAGGTTAATATGCTGACTCTGTTTTCCGTTAGAGACTACTGGGGCGCTGCAGCTCTCCAGGCTGCTCTCACATCTGTTCCTGCTAACTGTAATAATTAACTGCCTCTTAAGACGAGCCTGTGAGTCAAACTAGTGATTTTTTTTCCCTTAACGTCTACCAATTTTGCAGACGTGCATGTACACTTTTGATTTGATCTAGTTGCCCCTAGTGTCCCTTCTTCTTTATGAGATTTTCCCACCTAGATGTGAGGTTGATGTGAGTAGTGTTATAGATAAGATTTCCTCATGAGTCTATTAATTGTGTTTGTCTTAGACTCCACTTGCGTGAAACGTGTGCCAGAGGAGGTCTGTGGTAACCCGCGGTGATATGTGGCATCCACATGCAAAAGACGACAGTGTCGCACCAAAGTAAACTCCTCCTGCTGAGACTGTGACTAATGAGGAGAAGTGATGTCAATGCAAACGCTCGATGTCGCACTTAACACTTGTTCATGAGCTTCAGTGGAGTTTGCCTTACTCTGTGACGTCATGTGGTCAGTTTTTGTTGCTGACCAATAGAGTGGCTGAACTGCTTAAACTCAAAGTTTTATTTTGAACTGAAGTTTTTCCTTTGGCACGCCTCTCTGAACTCAATCGATGTCACGGTTTTTCTCGATTTTCTTTGAACAGAGGTAAGACTCCTGTTTTTAATCCTGCAGGAACGCTTCAGATTAAAGTGACCTTAATGTGTTATTGTCTTTAATTTAATCCCTCAACGCCTCACAGATTTGTGCCGCCAATCCTCCGGTGTCTGTTGCAACACAAATAACAGAAAAAACACAAGTCTCCTGCTGTTAGGTCTGCAAAAGTCTGCTACTCTTTTACAGAGAGAGGGGGGAAAGGCAACATTAAAGAGCTAACTGTCTGCCTAATAGATTACCTCTCATACATTTTCCCTGCCCTCGGCTTCTAGCATGACAAATTTTTCTTGCAGGACTGGCGTCAAGTTTACCCTCACAGTCAGCTTTTCAAGCATAATAGTCTCCGAAAGAAAAATAGTTCTTTAGAAAAGAGCTATGGCATTGATTTTCAAGGGTAGCTTCCACATTGCGATGTCAAAGCTCAGACTGAAACTTCAGCCTCTGGGGTTTGGTCTGGCTGTGCGGTAGGAATAAAGAAGTATTCATCAGAGCTGAACAGACGACAAAAGGACAAGGACATTGATTAGGAGTAAACACACTGGTCTGACCCACTTTCACAAAGTCCTGCCGAGGAAAAATGGAGATGCTGTTGCCATGAACTAAGCATGGTTGCAATTAGGTTTGTTTTCGTGAGCACACATTTGATGGAGTGAGTGAAATTTGTTTAGGTGTGACGAAAGGAAGAGGTGCAGAAAGAGAGCTGGCATTTTGTGTTATTGTTGGGCTTCCATTAGAGAATAAATGAAACTTTAATGAAAGAAAATGAGACCCCGGTAAATGTACGTCTTATCAAACACTGTGCACTTTGGACAGTCATGATTAAAACCAGACACAAACCTTTAAATAAAGACTGTATACTTGAAGTAACATCTGCTATAATGTGTCCTGGAGTCAGTGCAAGAACCTCCATATAATGGCTCTTTAGAAAAAGCTTTTGAAACTGTTGTAATTAGGTCAACAGAAGTCTGACTTCTGTTCTGGCAGGGGCACTTTATAACCACTTGTTTCCACACCATTGTGCCACTTTCTGCTTGTTTAAACACGCTGCCTTTTCTTTTATTTGGATCTTAAATGCTATAATTTTCCCTTTTTGTTCCACTGCCTTGAGGTCGGGAGTCATTACACTCTCAGTCTGTGCTTCAAAGTTTAGCCGAGCTGTTTGTTGTTGTTGTTTCTCTCATGCCATGAATTTTCCATTATGAGAATTTTCCATGTTTACCTTGGCGTTGTTGTTGATGTGGTTTCATGGCACACCTCCCAACAGCTGATTACCGAACGCCGTTAAGCAGCTGCAGATGTTACAGCTGTGCGCAGCGATATTTTTGTCGTGGAGCACTCTTCGGTTACTGAGTGCTGTGACTATTGAAATGAATGCTGATTCTCCAGCAGAGAATTCCGCTCATCCAAACTGTAAAACAGCGTTTTGCACAGAAACTGGGTTTTTTTAATCAACCTACCACTGTATTTGTAGTTTTGATTCTTTATGGGATCAGTTCTTGATTCCCCATTCAAACCCTGGATACTCTTCATGAAGATCTGTGCCACATCAGGATGAATAAAAAGACAATAATCAAATCACAGCAGCACCATTCCTTATTATCTCCTCCTGCGGCGCCCTCTCTGCCGGTAAACCTCTCTTTGTTGTGTTGTCAGAGTTAGAAACATCCCCTGCATTACAATCCAATTTCACCCCCTCTTCCCCCTAACCTTTGTACTGGCCTAAAAATAGAGCACAGGATATCTGTGTATTATTATGGAAAAGAAGAGCAGAGCCCTGCGTGTCCTCACACACGCAATCTGCTGCGAAAGGTCTGCGAAGGATCAGGATTCAGGGGAAATAGATCTGTTGCTTTTTATGAGCACAGAAAATGATTTCCACACATCACAAAACACTTCCACGTCAAGGTTAGAGGAGTGATTATCTAAAGTTCAGGTCAGAAAACTTTCATATTTCCTTTGAGTTTACTTTATACTTCTGTAGCTGACTCTCTTTTTTCTTGCTTCCTTGGTCCAGTTTCAGTTTTGTCCCCATTTTTACCCCTTGAATGTATCCTTGCATGGTTTTTCTTCCATCCCTCCACTTTCTCTTGATCAAAAGTCACTCCCCCCCTCTCCCCACCACCCCTCCTGTCCTTCAGCCTCCCTCAGCTCTCCATATCTAAAGACGTGGCCCCTCTTCTGATCAGGGAACACTTACATAACTGGCCTATGGTGGTAAAGCCTTTTCCTCTGGCTGCACAGCCTCTGTGCTAATGATCTGTGCTAATCACCTGCAGCAACGTCGAGATGGAGCGACACACACACACTCACACTCACACACATAAATACCCACCTGAGAGCTTTTGTTCATTGTTTTTATGTTATTGTGCAGAGAGGTTTGTTACCATCTTTCATTCTACGTGCAGAAAATTCAAACAAAGCACCACGACGGTTTAATCAGTCTACTTCAACTCTGAAATGTCCTATTTCTGGTTTGAAACTCATTCTCATTAATTGACAGTCTCTTTAACTCAACTTTTATATAACTCACTCTCCTCAGGAAACAGCTGGCTATAAAGCTTTTGAGGTTTCCACGTCTTTTATCTATTTGCGGCTAAATTTCCGGCCTCCACTTCGGATGCTCCTGTTTTACAGTGCACCTAAAAACACGCAGTTTCCGCCTACAGTTCCTGTCGTTTTACAGTTTGCGTCCTTTTAATGATGATTGCCACCATCAGCACTTCTCACAAGTCCTTCCAAGTCCATTCTTCAGTTACATGGCTAATGAGGATGGTTTGATTATGTACGTAGAAGAGTGCAATGGACAGATTAAATTTTTATAGACTATGCATGCAGTCCAGTTTCGTACTATGTCGGTCAAGGAACCGCCACTGCTGCAAATAAAGAAGGATGCAAAAAAAAAAGAAGCTACAACGGAAGTTAATGAAAAAAGTGGTGATGCAAAAAAACAAACAAAAAAAAAAGTTACCTACTGCGAAAATAAAAGGATACAAATTTAAAAATAATGGAAATCAGCTGCAGGGGACCAATGATGAAAAAAAGTGAGGGGTCTTCATACTTATTTCTTTGAGTAAAGCAACCGAACCGTTAAGCTACTGCACTCGATTCTCCCTCCTGTAGATGGTCTTTTGGGGCGTAATGGGTTTCCTGTGTTATCCAAAGCTAACTCTACACTGGCATCCTCCAGTTTAACTTCATATCGACTCAGGCGCAACATGGCCTAACCAAATGACACATTGAAAAGTATACGAAGCGAAATTAAACAATAACCTTTCCGCTAACTCCTTTGCTCGTCTTCTTGCCGTCGTCTTCTGTGCCTAAATCGTAAAACACCGGTGCATCGTCATTATTGGTCCTCCGCAGCTCACTTCCGTTGTGGCTTTTTTATTTATATCCTTGTATTTTCGCAGTAACTTTTTTTTGCATCACCGCTTTTTTTGCATCGTTAACTTCCGCTGTGTTTCTTTTTTTTAATCTGCACCGTTTCTTTTTTTATCCGCAGCGGGCTTCGGTTTAATTTTTTTTCTGCATCGGTAACTTCTCGCCGTCGTCTTCTGTCGCTAGATCCTAAAACACTGGTGCGTCATCATTATTGGTCCCCGGCAACTCACTTCCGTTGTGGCTTTTTTTATTTGTATCCTTTTAATTTCGCAGTAAGTAACTTTTTCTTTTTGCATCACCACTTCTTATTCAGCGCCGTTAACTTCTGTTGCGGCTTTTTTTTTAATCCGCACCGTATCTTTTTTTATTTGCAGCGGGCTTCAGTTTCTTTTTTTTCTGCATCAGTAACTTTTGTTGTGGCTTCTTTGTTTTGCAGTCTTTTTTATTTGCAGCAGTTTCAGTTCTCGGCCACCGTAAGTTTCTGTCATTTCACTTTCAAAGAGTGTCTCCCTCACAGTCTTTCTGTGTTTGCATGCATCTCTTTGCACGCACACATTCATTCACACACTTCTGCTTTGCACTCCTTCCATCTTAGTCTGCCATCATCGCCCGATGATGGGTGTTGTGAAATACGGTACGACTCTGTGGTATTTGACACTCTGGTGTTTTGGGGTAATTCACGGCCCGGTGCTGTTGACCGAGAGGATTTAGTGATGACGGCTAAAAAGAGAAAGCAGACATACCAGGGTGCCAATGATGTCATGGCACACAGATGAAGTAATTCTTCATTCATCACGCTTGGAGGAAGCTGCTGCTGAATAAGGATACAGTCTAATCACAGATCAGCTTTTGCAATGTAAAGACTTGTGCTTCTGTGTTGTATCTATTTTATAGAGCATAACAAGCAACCATGAAAGCTGCAAACAACAGCGCCTGAGTCCAAACAGAGAGATTAAGCCAGCAATGAAACATACTTCACATCAATGATTTATGAAACGGAGGAGCTCTGTGAAAGATGAAGGAACAGAGCTGTGGGGAATGAAGAACTTCTCTCTCAAAGCTGATGTTTCTCTCTCTGTCTGTCCTCACAGGGCCTGTATGTGTTCGCGGTCTACTTCGTCATGCACAACCAGCTGTGTTGGCCCACTAAAGCCAGTTATACTGTGGAGATGAGCGGCCATGACGGTCAGGACTCATCGTACCAGGGAGGGGGACCTGCCACTGTTGGAGGAGACATCAGCAAATCGACTCAGAATCTCATCAGCGCCATGGAGGAGGTATACACATACACACACATGTAAATGCCTAAAGTGAGGCAAAAAAAGGACATTTTGACATAATCATTTTTTGGATTCACAGTATTTATACTCTGTAGCTTTAATGCCCTCCAGCTTTTATCCTCTGAATTTCTATTTTAGCTCCAGTACACCTAATTCCCTATTCTTAACTCTACCTTACATAACTGAAATATCCATTTTTCATAATCTAGGTCTTTTATTTCTAGGTCTGGACATCATTTTTATTTGTTAGTGCAAAAACTTTAACCAAAAGTTCTTTGCTGAGATCTAATGATGCAGATACTCAGTCAGCGCGGCCTCCTTGCGTACAAAGTCATAGATTTTCCATCCTTGGAAGTTGCATTTGAAGGTTTTGTGAAGGTTTCAGTTCAGCCCTAGAGTGAAAAGCGTTGCATAGATAGTGTCTCAGAAGTTAGATTTATCCTGGAAACTGTTTAAATGAAACTCAGCACAAATAAGAGTTGAGTTAGAGTTTACCTTTACATAAAAAAATCTCAGTCTCATCCTTCTCTCCTTCCTCCCTCCCTTCTTTTTCACATGCCCTCATTCCCATGGTTTTATTTGCCCACTCCCCGATCCTCCGTCATACATTTCTCACATCAGCTGAGCATGACTCCTCAAAGAACATTCGATGCTCATCCACTCAGACGTTTTCTGATTCGGACTGATTCTTATTATGTAACATCTGTGTGAAATGTGTGTAAACGGTCATTCGTGAACACCCACATCATCCGCTCCTGTGACCTTTCTGTCAGACCGGCATATCACATGCAGGCGCCCGCTTAACACACACACACACACACACATGCAGGATTTTCTGTACTTCAGTGACTCTCATCAGCCACCTCGTCCCTGGAGACTACCCTATAAGGCTTGAGTTTGCAAGAAGGAGAGGGAAAGGGGGCAGGTTTAACTTCATCACTCCTGGGAACCCCTCCTTCGCTCTTTCTTCGCCGGTCCTCTCTCCCACATGTAGGAATCCTGTAATCGTGTCATATTCATGAGAGCACACACTCACCTCTCTGAGATCTGGCTACAGCCCAGCGAGAACAACCCGAGAACAGATGGAGAGAGAGCTAAGAGAGGAGGTATGAGAGTGAGATGAGTGTGGATTTGTGGAGTGAATGGGATTTGAAGTGAGATAAGAATAGGGGTAGAAGCGTATAATTTGAGGGTTCGAAGCGCGCACTGGAAGGTGAGTCATCCACTGCCACCCCACACGGTGGCCGTGACAGATCTGTGCCTGCTGGGGCTTAATTCTTCTCAGTGGGATAATATGTACTAGTTGCAGCCAGGCAAGCTTCAGATGCTTGTGCAACGACCTAACACACAGCACATACGACACACACAGATCTATGCATGTTCACGGACAGATGAGCCATGCATAATAGATGAACGCAGTGAAACCTGGGAGAGACGATACGCAGAGTTTGGAGTTTTTTACTTGGATACAAAAGTTTTTTTTAAGACTCTGAATAAGAATCCATCTTCTGTCTGAGAATGCTGACAGCAGTATTTCCATCATGTTGTTCTTTGGTTGATTCATTATGAAACCTAAAGCCCACTGACCCCGCTGTCACCCCATGAACCCCTTGTGATCCCACAACTCGGCCTTAACCTTTTGGGGGTGCTTGGACAACACGCACTCTGCATGACCCCGGCTCTTCACAGACACAGTTACCCAGATGTCAGATGAAGCCATTCTCTGGATTACGCCTACGTGTGCACAAGCAAATCCAACTGAACGAATCTTAATCAGTTATCCCTGAAGACCGCCTGTATGTGCACCACTATGTTCAGTTTAAATATTTTCAGTATCAAATATTAAGAGCTTCTGCTTTTCTACATTAATGCATTTTGAGGTTCGATGGATTTCAAAGGAATTTATAATCCCACATGTCGCCAGCATGTGATAATTCATGATTAAAAAAAAATCCAGAAAATTAAAGGCCTGTGTGTGATTTCTCCATGTGCTCATGCAAGTGTGTATCCGTGTGTCTTAGGTGTCCGCAGATTGGGAGCGAGCATCTCTGCGGCCCAGCAGCCAGCCCAGCAGTGTGTTCAAACCCAGTCCTGTGATGGGGACGTACGGCACCGACGGCGGTTTCATCAACACTAACCTGGTCACTGCAGACGAGGAGTCGCAGGAGTTTGACGATCTCATATTTGCCTTAAAAACCGGTGAGGATCCAAGTGATTCACAAATGATCTGCTGTTTATGGAGTGGCCACAAAAAAGTTTCTCCTACATTTTATTAATTTGTTTGACAAGTTGGTTTCATGGATCATTACTCTGCTTTAAATGGGCTCTAAGATCGAAGTCATGTTTCTGTTCTCTCTGATCAGAATCTTGATTCAAAATTCAGTTATCGTTTCCCCCTTGAAGGCAAGAACGAATAATAATCAAGATTTATTTCTTTAATAGCAACAGTTTAAAACAGAACTGGTCAAAGGGTTTCCAGTTTTTTTGCTCAACCTTCCACTTGTGTTAGCTTTTACTACGCGCCCATGTCTTAAATCAGCTGCAAATCACACTAAAAACAATTCTCTATCATCCAATCTGGTTCTTATCTCTAGGTTACCTTATTAGGCTTCATTATCCATGAAAATATTGCTTATAATAGTTTTTGTTGTGGTTCTCTGGGCCTTTCTTTGTCAGTATACCCCTCATACAGACAACCATACTGAATTAATCTCACATGTCTGGACATGCCTGAAATTGTTTTTTGTGCAGGGAGAAACATGGCTAAATGAGAATTTACTAAATCTCACACGATTGGAAGAGGATCTGACTGTCAGTGTGGTGCCTGACAGTGCACGTATGATTTTACTTTTTGCTCTACTTATTAGATATTAATCTAACCGGGTCAACAGCGACCTTAACACGATAAGTGCCTTAAGAAGAGCATTTTATAATTTAGTAAATTTAAATCTTTTTATTTTTATTTTGTTGAAATAGAGGTTCCTGACAAAGTCAAAAAGTCTTGATACAAAAAAGTGGTTCTTTTAAGCATTTAAAAACAAAAACGGGTCGGTGCAGACCCTATAAAAAAAGGAGGAGGGCTAATATTTTTCCTCCTGTGCTTTCATTGTTGTATAAAAAACACTAAACAAGATCAAACTTTATTGTCATAAAACCCTGACTTGGAGGTCAAAATATCCCCCAAAACACACAGTACTTTTCCATGACACATATGAAAATAAAACCACAGTGTCACCAGAATTGAAAACAGTTTCTTGGCCAGAAAACATTTAATCATTAACAGAAAAAAACCAGCGTGCTTACAAAGTAAATGTTCCCAAACAAGGTTTGGCACCAAAAACCCAAAAACTGGAAACATCACGAGTTCAGAAAAGTCGGAGCCAAATCAGTCAGATCATGTGTACGTGTAGTTTACATATACATACAGTATTTATTATCATCTACACTGCTTAGTCACTCCTCAGCTTACAATAAATCTCTCCGCTGCCATGGAAACCATCCCTCTACTTCCATTAAATTTTCATGAGCTGAAGGCCAAAACTGCTCACTGATATATGGTACACAAACACGAACAGTCCTCTCCTCCAGTCTTACTCCCTGAAGTCTCAGACTAATTCATCCACAGGGTCTGAACAGGAGCCTCTGCGCACAGGGACACTTCTCATGCTAATGTGAGACACTGTCGAAAATGTCAGCCTGCACTGGAGTTATTGTCATTCCCTTGAATAAGAATGAAAATATCAAAGACGCTCTCCGGAGACAGCGATGGCTGACCTACCTTAACTGGTGCTTAATAACTTCAAAATGAGTTCAAAGAAAAAACTTGATTACAAATAAAAGAAGTAAATCTTATTTTCATATCCACTGAAGCACCAAAATCAGAGTCTGCGTTGTAATAAATCAGCTGGTTGGCATCGTGTGAAATTATAAATGTCATTTTTTCAGCCTTTGGCATTAAAATAAACATAATGATTAATGGGGACATTGCGTAACAAAAAGACAACAACCCTTTTTTAAGACACTGAAGCATTTATTTTTAAACTCTGGATTCATTATGGAAATTGCTATGTATCCAAGCCTAATCCGTAGATTTCACTGTTATTCTATGGGTTATTTTTTGCTTCGCCCTGCACCGTCAGTTCTGACCCATAGTAAGTTTTTATATTGATGAACAATTAACCATTTTAACCGTCATTAAACTCAAACTTATGGCATCACAGTCAGGCTCGTCACTATAACAGCAGAGAGGGTTTGATCGATCAAGCGCAGAATGAAGTGTCAGCAGTTCATACAGATAGATCACCCTGATAAGAAGCTGAAGTTAATCGGACTGAGTCAGGACATTTCGACTCTCTGTGTTGATGTTTTTGATTCTGGAGAAAATAAATCACCTTAAAGATAATCAATCATTTACAGATCGTCAATGCTGCGATGTTGAGGTTTGATTTCACTTCCCTGTCTGGCACCCTCGCAGTCATCCCATCATTGTGTATGCATATATGCTGCAGCCTTTGCAAGCATGCATCCCAGAAAAACAAAACATGTAACCATGGAGACCGCCAAATTAAAAGCCCCTCATAGCAGGTGAGAGTTCTTAGGAGACTTAAGGGCGTTAATGATTGCGGATTAGTCTGAGAGGATAGTGTTACACTGAGCTAAAATCTTGGACAGAGATAGCCTTTTATTCCCTTATTGATTGTGCGCTGACAGTGTGAATCTCTGAGATGTGTGTGTTTGTACATCACTACTCGTCTCAAGTAAACCCCCAGACGCAGCAGCAGCAGGTTGTTTGTCTCTGATCTGCTCTTCTCCTGACCTCACCCCGCTGTCCAGAGCTGGCAGGGGTGTCGGACCTTAAATAGCCCCCGAAGCCGCAACAAACAAGCCAAAGAATTTATTGGTCTCCTTGTCTGTAGACTCAGCAGGATGAAGTAATCACTCATATTATTCAGCGTGGCACAAAGGCAAGTTTGTGGGATTTAATTAAGTCGAATCAGTTGGCTCCTTGTAAGCTCTCTGGCATCACCTCAAGAAAACAGGACTGTCAGGCGCACACTTCATCTTCACTTAGGAGAAACAGTCGTATAAACGTTGTAGTCTTTTAGGTTTGAAGAAGTTTTACCATTTCACACTTTCCCTCGTGACCTCTGACCCTCTCTTTCTCCGAGCGCGTCACACTGAACTTCTAACCTGGTTTAATCTCGATCGGTCAGTGAGCAGTAAAGATCATTCAGGATTACATAACAGGGCAGCGCCCGATGGGGGTCAGAGAGTAGTGCTGTAATGAGGGTCTTCACACTTCATTTGGCAGTGAACTATTAACTCATACACACAGAGGTCTACACGTACACTGAGCATATGTGTTCTGCATAGTACTGAGAGCTGATTTCTAACATGCGTGCTTCACTGTCTTAAGCCTTCTCTTATCAAATGAAGCATCAGAGGCCCCTCAGGTCATGTCGCAAAAGTCAGACGTCACCTTCTTTTATAGGTTACTGTTTAACTGACAAAGGATTTCGCCAAGAACAGCGAGCTGAGCAGACTTACTTTTTATGTGGTTAGTTTAGTAACATACAGTAATTGAATGTATCTGTTACACACGATGATTTTCTTCAAGAGCATCAACAGTATTTTAATATTTGGTAACACTTTACAATAACCATGACTTATAAATGGTAAATAGACCATTTATAAATGATAAATAGACCATTTATAAATGTTAACCAGATAGTTTATTGATGTTTAATCATCATTTATAAATAGCATATAGACTAATAATCAGATGTAAAAATTACAATTTTAAAAACTTTACCTTAACCCTAATTTCTAAGTAATCTAAGTAATGTTTATAGATGGTTTGAAAACCAAATATTAACCATTTACAAAGTGCTACTGATACATTTTAATCTAGATGTTTGACAACCAATATTTAAACCCTATATGGACCTTTGATAAATAGTTCATTAATAATTAATAAAAAAATTAATAATCATAATTTTAATTGCTTGTTAATGGTAAATTAACTCTTAACTTACAATAATAAACTACCTATTTGCCATTTATAATTGGTCCATATGCTGTTTTTAAATGATGATTAAACGTTAATAAAACTATCTATTTACCATTTATAAATTATGGTTATTGTAAAGTGTTACCTAACATTTTTGCACATCCAAAACCAGAAACTACAGATAGGACTCTGACTTTAATGTTAAAAATGTTGTAAAATAAAAGCACAAAAAAGTTGCATTATGACACTTTTACTTCCTGCAAGCAGACAAGAATAGAGTAATGAACAAGCGATAAAAATGTATTATTCTAACTTTTTTTTTGTCAAGATTTTGCATCTAAAAGCATCTGGTGTTTTTTGACTAATTTCTGCATGTCATACAAATGTTGAAAATGTTCAAAAAAGGCCTCAAAATATCACATTTTTTATTGGTTCTCTTTCAAAAGTGCCTTACAAAAAGTGATCTTGTGTTTCCCTGATTTTATAGTTCTCAAAATGTTCCACCAACAAATAAACAATAAATAAAAAGCACTTAAATATGAAGTAAACTTTGGAGTGATTAGTTGTTGAAAGTAGTCACGTAGTGGTGAAAATCTACAAAAGTCGCAGTCGTTTATTCAAGTGAGAATGTATAAGTACTATAGGAGCATTCTTATAGATTTACTGAGCATGTGTTGACTACACAGCACATACAGTGTACCACTGTTCTTTGGCCAATAATGAATGACTTTGTTTCATTGCCCCACTCTTACATCAGAGTCTGGAAGTCTGCTCCAATTATTACCATAGGGGATCAGATGCAGAGCCGTAATCTGTCTGATAACACGGATAATATATAACATATGGTAATGGTTACCCAACACTTGATTGGCACTTATGGGGCCACAGGTCCAACATTAAGATTGAAAAACATTTACATCTGCATCTAAAATGATTTCTAATAATTGTTTTGTAACCTCTGTCTGTATTTTTCAGGGACCGGCCTTAATGTGAGCGACAACGAGTCCATCCCTGGAAGCCACGATGGCGTGAGCGTCAGTAACTCTCAGATAGTGGAGCTGAGGCGGATCCCCATCGCAGACACGCACCTCTAACCCGTCCACCTCACCCAGACCCCCTCAGTTCCTCATATCAGATCAAACTACAGCACAGTATTTTTATATTATGAAATGCTTTTGCACTAAAACAGTTTTTGAATAGAACATTTTCTAATAGATGTTTGATACTGTATTTGATTTTTACTGTACATCTGTGTTTTTATATATATATGAACCTATACATAAATGTTTTACTAAATTAATTTTTTAAGTACCCGATGAGGTTGTTTGAATGTATATTTGGATTTTTTTTTTTTCTCTCTGTAGGGACGAGGCAGCTCAGCTGAGCGACTGCTGTTAAAGATGGTGTAACATTGTTAATAAATGATTGACGATGTATTTTACATTAAGCCGTGGCTGATTCTATTTTAAGAGCTCACACCTGTCAAATTAGATTAGATTACTGACATAGGCGGAAAGAGGGGGAGGGGGAATCCAATGGTTACATAAGGGAGTCGCTGCAGGGTCAGAGGTCATGTTAACAGAGACTGGTTTGTGAATGTAGCTGTGAAAATAAACAAATGACGTCCTGAAAATATGTTAAGAAATACTTAAAAGACTGTAAATGTCGAACTCTTTTAACTCTTTTAACTTTTCACTCACGTCTGGATCTGTTGCACTTCACTCAAAACCTCCTCTTTGATCGGCTCCGTGAAGAATCAGGGGGTTGAAGGTGCAAGCAAATATTCTTCTTCTTTCGCTTTGACAGCAGCTTTGAACCTCTTGGAATCCAGCCTCTACTTGACTCTTGCCATGACTTTTGACCTCTGACCTGTGTTAGTTGGACTTCTGATCTTACTGGTTTCTCAAGAAGACTGAGAAATTTTCAGGGAAGAGGAGTCGTACTGAATAAATGTGAAAAAGCAGTAGTTGAGTATGCTACTTGAAGATATTTTAACTCTAAAGAACTGTGTGTACCTTCCCTTACCTCTTTTATTAGCTCTGTAGAACTTCCTGAAAGGTACATGAGGGTGTGAGACTAAAGAGAGAATAGTAAAAATAAGGAAGAAAGTGATTTTTTTTTTCTTCTTTGGCACAAAAAGCAGTCTGTTTTTTAAGAGGAGTGTCTGAGCTGAAATCCATAATACTTATTGATCCTTCTCTCCCCACTTAATGCCGCCAGTTTTCCCCTTTTTTCTGTTTAAAAAGAAATACAGTAATGAGGTGTGCAGATCTCCTCTGCTTTTGCTGTGTTATGAAATTACTTTAAAGGCCCGCCTTTTCCTCATCAGTCTGACTCTTTCCTCAGGGGTTTTTCTTTTCTATAATGAGGAAAGGAAAGCAAAGCAGTCATTACTCCATTAAACGAGATTCCAGCCTGTTTCAGTGTCTACCGCCGACTAAGAAAGCAGTTAGGACACAAGCAATTAGTTTCCATGCTTTATAGCAGCCAACAACAATACAGCTCTGAGGTATTTCCATTAGATATCCATTAGAGTAAATATTACTGCCTGTGGACTGAGTTATTTCATCTTTGTTAATGAGACACCTCAACATTAGTCGTTTCTTCAACTTCATAAACAAAAGTAAAAATAAATCTGCTTTCAAGCAACACCAAAAGCTTGCAGCGTGTTTCTTCGGCCTGCTGATGCACATCTGATGTAACCGCTTCATTAAAATTTGCTGACCACAGAAGAACTCAGAGCTGATGGCTGATTTTACAGCTCGTTCTAGTTATCCAGTATTACTCACTAACTTAGACGTAGTTCCTCCCGTTCCTATTGGAACGTTGGGCGATGAGTCCCCTCCATTTGCTCCGGTCCCTAGCGATCCTTCTTGCTCCATGTTTTTCTTGAAGACTCCAAAAACAGGCAACTGGACTGTGTAGAGTTGAGAAGACGTTTCCCCCAATTATCCAAGAAGCTTATCAGTTCTAAATTTTGCTAGTGTGAGGAGCAGATATTTATCTTACTGGAGAAGGGGACAAACAACGACTGGGAGGAGCTGGAAAGAATGCATTGTAGAAAACGGGTGTTTCCGGGTGTTCCCCCCCGAGGGTCGTAAAAGTAGTTTCTTTAATCCACCATCTTCCTGCAAGTTTTCTCATGCTCCCAGACTAGCTGAAGGGTATCCAACCCAAAGTGTGATCCAATATGGCCGTGTAGATTCTCATTCATCCAGGTCATGGTTTTCTTGAAGACTCTAAAAACGTCCCCTTGAAGACGTCCCCTTCTCCAGTAATATAAATATCTGCTCCTCACACTAGCAATTTTTAGAACTGAAGAAGCTTCTTGAATAAGAGGCGAAACGTCTTCTCAACTCTACACAGTCCAGTTGCCTGTTTTTGGAGTCTTCAAGAAAACCATGACCTGGATGAATGAGAATCTACATGGACTTCTTGCTCCATGCCAGCTGACTCCCATCTCCCTCAGGTCTTCCTTGGCTGTTTGTCTCTGTGTCTTCTTTGGCCTCCTTCTCCTTCTCTTTCCCCCCTCTGGCATCCAGTCTATTGCCACACTTGTCGATCTCTCTCTTGGCAGTCGGAGGACATGTCCGGTCATTCTCTTTCTCCTGTCAGAAACAATGTCAGACAAGGGCGCTACACTTGCCCTTCTCATCACCTCTTCATTGGTGATGTGGTCTCTCCATGATATCTTGAGGATGGATCTGAGGCACCGTCGATGTAAGACATCCAACTTGTTGGTGATGCTGGCTGTCTTCGTCCACGACTCACAGGCGTAGGTCGCTGAAGGGATGACCACTGACATCTAGAGCCGTAGCTTTGAGGCCGTGGTGATGGATTCCGAAGACTAGATGTTCTGGAGTTGTTTGGAGACTCCGGCAGCTTTGCCAATTCTGGTCTGTACATCCTTCTCCACGTCTCCAGTATTTGAGATGTTGCTTCCGAGGCATGTGAAGTTCTCGACATACTCTATGTCTTGTTCCCCTACGGTTATCCTTAGTTAGTGCTTCATGTGCCAGATGAGGTTACTGTCAAGAGCTGGATGAGTCAGTTGATAAAGTACAAAATAAATGGAAGCTGGAGACAGTCGAAGGCTGGAAAAACCTACCTTCAAGTGCCATCCTGTCTGTGTGCAGCTCCTCTGAAGATCCAGATTTCTTAATTCTTTGACAAATGTTTTCAGGGGTGTTTATCTTTTTTTCAGTAAACAGCAAAAATCCACAGAAAATAAATGCTTTTCAAACTTATTTTTCAAAGTCAAGAAGGAGCCTTTCTCAGGGATTAGATATAATTAAATGTGCCCGGTGCTGATGAGTTGGCTCCTCATCAGCGCAGGATATCTCAAGGAGACATTTTCAGATTTGTGTGCTGCTGATTCTGGCAAACGATAACAAAGTAATGAAAGTTTCCTGTGAGCACTTTTCTGACAAGATGTTCAGAGCTTCTGCAAAACTATCAAAACCATCTCTATAAGCTGCAACACTGACAGACATTTAACCGCTACTGCAAACTCCTCAATCTCAAAAACTCGTGCTTTCTGCTTTCAAAGTCATCAGCCATGAGGAAAATGTGTTAATGTTGCAGTCCTCGGTCTCTTTTCTCTCTCTATCCATGAGAGCGACACAGACAAGGCTGCAGAAGAGCGGGCAACGGCTGATTCCTACTCATAAACAGTTTGCATGTTTTGATACCCCGATGATGAGTCTGCGTTTCTTTCCATCAGTGATCCACCATCTCCACGTCGCAATATCAGACAAAATAAAAGAGAGAGACAGCGAGTACTGTGGTACAGATCTTATCACTCATGTCTTATTTTAAGAGCCGTCAGTGATCTCTCAATTTACATCTTCCTCAGCCCCGAAGGACGAATTGTGAATGAGTCTCTTTTGTTGGAAAATGACTCCACTTATTTCCAGAAGATGGAGTTACGCTATCAAACAAAAAAGAAATGACACTGTGTCTATTTTTATACTTTCAGTGACGTCCAACTTGAGTTTTCTGTCACAAGAACAGTCTCCGTGTGGAACATAACTCTTCAGGTTCAAAGGAGAGGGTGTGATGTCCTGTAACACAATAATGTCATCTTTTCTGTTTTCATCAGGCCTTTCATGTAACATTAGATTTAAGAAAACCCTCCTCTTATTCATCCAGTATGTGGATGAATGTACGGTATCACTCAATGACGAAAATCAGACCTTTAAGGGAACATGTAATACAAGCTCAGATCACATTAGAGTGACCCAGATACACACCTAAAGCTTGGTTAACAAAAGTTGTTGTGTAGTGATGGGCACAGCAGTTCTTTTAGATTGTAAGTACGTTACGTAAGTATCGTTCGTGCTGAATTACTAGAATCAGTTCTGTAAAAAGATTCGTTCAAAAGATTCGTTCACCAAATCCCAGAAGCATGTAGCGCTTGGCGGAAGAAGCCTGTGACTCCGACCTCCTGAACTGATACACAGCTGAACGGTTCAGGATTCAGCTTCTTGGACCAGGAGACGAGAGTGTTTGGCTGTGTTGCTTTGGCAAACAGGTTTGTAAAGATGAACTTGTTTATAAGTCATGATGTTTAAAGTGTACTGTCCTATGGTATGCTATTTATCAGGTCTGCTCGGTAAGTTGGAGTCAGTGAGTGATTCATTCACTGAAAGTTTAGAAGAACTCAAACTGAACATGCACCTTTCCCTCACAAAACACTGCAATGACAGGATGCTGCGGGTTTAATACACTACTTGTTACATGCTGTGTCCTATTGTATGCAAGTTGTTGTGGTGGCAATTAAGCAGTGAAAAAAAGGTAGTTTTGTCTGACAAAAATGATTCCAGAGAGTGTAGTTAAATGTGTGATTCGTTCACCAAGTGATTCAGGCATCAGTGAATGTGGTCCCTCGTTCACCGGCTGCTGGCCTGGCAATGCTGTTTCTCACTTCAGCTCAACTGAAGAGAGAAACGAATGAATCACTCGAGGAAGTGATTTGGTTTTGTCAAAAGAGCTTTCACTTAAAAGATTCAGTTCTTTTGAACGAATCATTTGCGAATGACACAACACTATTGTGGTGGTGAAGTACAGTAAAAACAGACACTAAGAGGAGAATGTGCAGCCTGTTGCTCTGGTAGACATCCTGGTTTTTCTGTTCTGGCCTCCTTTTAAAACTCCTGTAGGGTCTGTGTCAAATTTGGCGCCCCCTGTGGTCAAACTAGTCTCTTCCGTTTTTGTCCTCTACGTGCTCTTGAATAAAAATCTCACCCTGCTGACTTTCAAAAGTCAAATGTAAAATTTATTGTGAATATTTTAAGCTGTAATTGTTCGTTTCCCTTAGCTGCTCCGCTAACCCTAATCACTCATGTCTGTGGTGGCTTTGTTCGGTCTGTTTCATTATTGTCAAAATCTACTTAAAAATGATCGAGACAGCTTCGTATTCTGCATTTTGGGGAAAAACACGTTTAAATAACAGGTTTTTCCTCTCTGTCCAGTACATCTTGTTTGCTCACAGTGTACTAGACTGAATCTAATCACAGTAAACATGCCTCATTAGAAGTATCTCAGCAGGTGTAATTAAATCAACCAATCAGCCAACTGTGACGTCTGACAGATTATCAATAACTCACTTGCAGGTAATTTGAAGGGCATGGGAACTGTTTTTTTCGGATTTAACTCTCCAGAGAGAGACCTTCAAGACCATCAAGACAAATTGATCTGCAGTATTGCGTCACATCTGTACTGTGTGTAACGTACCATAATGAACGCAAACGGCTTGCCTTATTGATAAGGTTTGATATGCATGCTTGACCAGTTTGGAGGATCTTACATAACAGATTACACAAACTGTATCTCTGTAGTAAAAGAGCATGAAAGAGGCTCAAACAGAGACAGCTGAGCAAGCACTTCAGACCACTTTTACAACCTAAGAATACGGTCAAGTTCAAGAGCAGATGATTTGTGCTACTAGTAAGCATTTGTGAATTCGTGTATCACGCACATGCACGCCACTTGTCCTCTCATTGCATTCCCCATGCTCCCGTCAGACTCCCCTGAAACACACCGCAGAGCAGAAAAGCAGGTAGTACAGCGAGTCAGCAATTCTTCATTCATAAGTGCAATGCAGGGATGTTATATAACCCCAAGAGATAGGGAGAGAGAGAGAGGACAGACTTAAGCAAAGGTAAACACGTTTTAATGAGGACGGATAAAGAGAGTGTGCTTTCACATGTATTTACATAAAGCTATCTTTCCATCTTTCATCGTCCTCTGTAGTTAGGATACAGATACACACACAGTGAGGACATGATGCAAATATGTACCCAGATCAGTGTTCATGCATGTTACATCGCCATCATCGAGACAGCAAGTGACAGTTCGACTATAATGAGAGCGGTGCGCTTCTCTTTCTTCACTTGACAGCGAACTTTGACATCGACTCCCAACTATGTCCAATTATCAACCAAACACCGAGTCTGACATCAGGGAAGGAGTCCAGTGACATCAGGATAGCATGCTTGAAATTCTGGGAATGTGTTTATTCTTAGGTCATTGGATGTGGACTTCGGCCCTCTAGAGCCAAATATGGTTACATAAAATTCACCCACACATCAAGTGGATAATAAATGACATTATCGTAGGTTTATAAGATGTTAACAATGAAGATCTGTCCATGCCAGAAATATCACAAAAGTGGACCAGTGTAATTTAATCTCCACTGCATGTTTACGAAAACAAATTCTTACATCTGAGACTGAACTTTAATAGCTCTGGACTAATTTAATGACGAGATATGAAGTGCGTATGGGGTGCTGAATGCCAGTCGTGTTTTCGCGGAGTCCAACATTCACTCAGTTTTTATTTGCAGCTGCTGACGCTCAGGTTTAGATAACGTAACCTTTGGACTCTTTCCGTCCACTGACTCCAAAGGTCAGTCAGATTAAAACCGACTCTTCTGGAGATGCAGTCAGGATGTCTTGAGCCACGGACATAGACACCATAGATCACGCACAAATGTTGATTAAATCCACAAGGGTCATTGACTGAAGCTGACAATGAGTCTTAGACGAAGAGCACGCAAATGATGAATTCAACGGGGAAAAAAAGGGTGTCTTTGGCGAGCTCGCCGCAGCTTCTGTGACGTCTTTCTTTGTTTCTTGGCCACATTACAGCAGACATAGCGTGCCATGGCTGCGGGCTGGAGCTGCTCTATGAAATGTGATTCTGCAAAGTGAAAGGCAAGACTGTCCGGGTGGCCTTGCCAACGTGGCTGAGTGGGGGGCATAAATGCTGGCCAAAGGGAGAGGGCATTTCATGTCTGCAAATGACACTGTCAACTTGTTGTCACTATGCTGTCTGGTTGGCAAAAAATATGGTTAGTCTTTTTGTTTGGGGGGAGGGGGGCACCCAAAATCTATGTGAAAAAGCAGAGGTTTATGCATGTAGAAGAGTGAGTCTACATGCATGTTGTGGTTACTGTTACTGTATATACGTTTTTATGTGAGTGAAAACCGATACAGGAGCTCAAGCCTGCAAGGCGCAATATATATATCATCAACCTTTCCATCAGCCTGAAATAGCTGTCACGTTCTGTCAGATGGTTTGTTTGCTGGAAACAAGGACCGCTCTGAGATCTGCCAACAAGAAGAGTCTGATCTGAATCTTAACTGACTCAAAGCAACGTTTAAGTACTTGTGTTTGCTCGCTTGCTGCACGCCTGGATATGTTCCATGCAGTGCAGGTCAAGTCTGCATGTAACACCTCCACCGCCGCACCCATTTGTGCTTCAAGACGGTTAGCG